GGGATCAAACCCCCCCCCCTTTGGTATTTTTATGTGTGTAAAACCCCCTAAAAAAACCTAAACCCCCCCCCCCCCCCCCTTTGGATTTTTTTTTTTTTTTTTTTTTTTTAATTATTTAAAAAAAAAAAAATATATATATATATATATATATATGCCCACGGCTAACCTAAAAAAGGTGACCTTACCCCCCCCCCCCCAACGAAGAAAAATGTCAAATTCTCAAATTTCGAGACAAAAAAAAAGAAAAAAAAGTGTCCGCTGAGAAAGAATTAATGAGAGAGAGCTTGACAGAAATGGACAATATATGAATGCTCTTTTTATCCACTTTTATGTATTTTTTTTCTCAGTCTTAAAATAGGCCGGCAGCCAAGTGATAAAGTGCCTCAAAATCCTAATTAAAAGTCTTCTTTTACCTGGACCTACGTATACAGGCCCGAATTCACATTTGTGAACTCGGGCCATTAAGTCCCAGGCATAATAAGTGTTCACACCATTAACACGCATGTTTCTCCTCCACTTACACACACCGGTCATGTCCTATGCCCCTTTTTTTTAATTCCCTATTGGCATACCTTAAGTATGTACGAAATTGCCCCCTTCATTAGGATCCATCGGAATTCATACTACCCCCCCCCCTCTCTACACGAACACTAACACACACACACACACACATACAGACAAAACGTCCAAAGTGGGGATATGGATTTTTTTACAGGGAAGTGGGATATCACCAACTAGCATTAATTTTAAACTCATCATATTTTTATCGAAAAAAATTATAAAGCTATATCAAGAGTGTCATTAAAAAAATAAAGTTAATGGGAGAATGAAATAGATTTAAAAAAATTGACGCATCAATCACATTAGATGTGGGGAGATAGGGATAGACACATACCAACAGACATGATCCCACATTCTATTTGGAATTTTGTTCGGCATGTTTTTCAAATTTTAGGCCCCCCCCCCCCCCCCCCGCGCCCCCCTATCGGCAAATCTTGGATCCGCCACTGGTGTCTCCACATCCAATCCACCGAGTCATCAGATATCAAGCTAAATACAAATACATTCAATATGCCATATCCCCACATCCAAGTACCAAGACATCAGCTATCAAATGCAATACAAACACAATGTGCCACATCCCCCCATCCAATCTACCGAGTCATCAGCTATCCGATGCAATAGAAACACAGTCACTATGCAATGTCCCCACATTCAATGTACCAAGTCATCACATATGAATTGCAATACAAACACAATCAATGTGCCATGTCCCCCAATCCAATGTATTAAGTCATCAGCTATTAAATGTAATACAAACACATTCAATATGCTATGTCCCCACATCCAATGCACCAAGTCATTAGCTATATCAAATACAATACACATTCAAGATTTCATGTCCGCACATCCAATGTATCAAGTCATCAGCTTTTAAATGCAATACAAACACATTCAATATGCCATGTCCCCACATCCAATGAACCAAGTCATCAGCTATCAAATGCAATACACATTCAAGATGTCATGTCCCCACATCCAATCTACCGAGTCATCAGCTACCAAATGCAATACAAACACATTCATTATGCCATGTCCCCACATCCAATGAACCAAGTCATCAGCTATCAAATGCAATAAAAAAAAACAATCAATGTGCGACGTCCCCACATCCAATCTACTGAGTCATCAGCTACCAAATGCGATATAAACACAGTCACTATGCAATGTCCCCACATCACATGTACCAAGTCATCAGCTATCAAATACAATACACATTCAAGATGTCATATCCCCACATCCCATGTATTACGTCATCAGCTACCAAATGCAATACAATTAACACATTCAATATGCCATGTCCCACATTCAATGTACAAAGTCATCACATATGAATTACAATACACACACAATCAATGTGTCATGTTCCCCAATCCAATGTATTAAGTCATCAGCTATTAAATGTCATACAAACACATTCAATATGCCATGTCCCCACATCCAATGCACCAAGTCATTAGCTATATCAAATACAATACACATTCAAGATGTCATGTCCCCACATCCAATCTACCGAGTCATCAGCTACCAAATGCAATACAAACACATTCATTATGCCATGTCCACACATCCAATGAACCAAGTCATCAGCTATCAAATGCAATAAAAAAAACAATCAATGTGCGATGTCCCCACATCCAATCTACCGAGTCATCAGCTACCAAATGCGATATAAACACAGTCACTATGCAATGTCCCCACATCACATGTACCAAGTCATCAGCTATCAAATACAATACACATTCAAGATGTCACATCCCCACATCCCATGTATTACGTCATCAACTACCAAATGAAATAAAAACACAATCAATGTGCCATGTCCCCACATCCAATGTTTATTGAGAAATAGAAAGAAAGAGGGAAACTAAGAAAAAAAACCTGAGCTTCCGCCCTTGATTCCAACCTAGGACCCTAAGGCGGGACCCTGGGTGCTTATCTGACGGTGATTTTATGCCTAAAACCCCTGAGCTTCCAAGGGCTCAAGCCCCTGGACCCCACGCCAGTTAGTGACCTACCAGTGTCACAAATAAGGTATCAAAATATGCTCATCAGACCTTAATTAAATGCTTAAATCCCCTGAACTTCCGGGGCTCTGCCCCCTGGACCTCACCTAGGGCCCCAAGGCTGGTCCCTAGATGCTCATCTGACGGTAATTTTATGCCTAAAACCCCTAAGCTTCTGGGGGCTCCGCTCTCCGGACCCTACGCCAATGACTGTCCTGCCAGTCTCCCAAAATTAATAAGTTATCAAAATATGCTCATCTGACCGTAATTAAATGCCTAAAACCCCTGAGCTTCCGTGGGGCTCCTCCGCCTCGACCCCAACAAGGGGCCTAAGGCGGATCCCTGAATGCTTATCTGAGCGTTATAAAATGCCTCAAATCTCTGCCCCCTTGACGCCATGCCAATTAGTGACCTGCCAGTGTCATGATTAAGTTATCAAAATATGCTCATCTGGCCGTAATTAAATGCCCATACCCCCTGAGCCTCTGGGGGCTCTGCCCCTAGACCCTATGCAATTTAGGGTACGCTCTACTTGATCGTAAATACTTTAGGCTCCCCCTACCACTTTGAAAAAAGTTCAGCGGGGCCTGCATGTAAGAGTGGGGTGATGCTGATTTTTTTTTTTTTGCCCCCCTCCCCAAACGTTATTGCTCATTACGTCACTGCTGCATGGTCACAAATACGTACCAATATTTAGCTCGCATAATTTCAGATTTGGGCCCCCAAGAAATCCTGGATCCACTGCATGTATTGTGCCATCCAAGTCATCATAATGTGCAGTGTACATGTATTTTGAAGAAGAAAAAATATATATATATTCAAATATGACAAAGTGAACAGAATAAAGTTTCAAATAGTTTTATTTCATTTATATAACAGTACATGAATTTACATATAGACGGCAATGCCTGATCCACTTAAGTCTGAAGTAATTAACCCTCACAAGAACAACTGGCTTTTTCAATAATATTGAATGCATAGGTATCAAATGAATATAACTGAAAAGGTTGGGAGTTGTCACAGAATCTGGTATAAATTCAATCACTATTCGCCAGGGTCTTGTTGACTGTACTGGACTCAAGGGGCACGTTTGAGATGAGCTTCTAGTAACCGAGCCAACTGTCTCATGCATATTTTCTGTCATATCTATCCCCTGTGCCAATTTTTAAAGCTCACAAACAAGGTAATTCTTCAAAAACTGGGAAGCAATGATGTCCTGATGTTTGTTGGAGTTTGACATTTTCTTGGAACCTTACCAGAAGGTGGCATGCATCTTTGGACAGCTTCTGGTTACCTTGGAGACTGTCCCAAGCATCTTCTTTGACACATGTATCTTCTATACCGACTATTATCCACCACGTAAACACTAGTCATTCTAGAACTGGGAATAATTCTCTGGTGGAAAGGGTTTCAGTGCATCCCTACCAAATGGAGATACACATCATGGATCAGCTTCGGATTACCAATGCACACTATGAACATGACTGACAATGAGAGCGGACAAAATATACAGTTCCTCAGGTAGACAAAGGAACATCCCTTACTGCTATTATGTAAAAATGTGTAGAACAGGTGTCACATGCATATTCACCTTTTTACATAATAGCTGTGAAGGGATGTTCCTTTGTCTACCTGAGGAACTGTATATTTTGTCCGCTCTCATTGTCAGTCATGTTCATAGTGGCAACCATTCCTGGCATATTTTCTACCATTCTTCTCCACAGTAGAATGGTCTGTTCAGAACTAAGAATTATCCTGCTTTTTGTTCTAAAAGAGGACGAGCACATCCCTAATAAGTGAATGCCAGCAGTAGATGCAGGAATGCCCCTGAAATGACCTTCCTGTCACCTAGGCAACCATCACTAACCTATCGCCTTCTATACAATTTAAAACTGTTTTATCAATCCTTCACACAGGTAGTCTTACCAGAAGGGGAAACCTGTTCTGGAGGAAAAGCGGGTCCATTTTTACCAATTGAGGGACAGCGCACATCACTCGCAACGATTTTCAGACGACACGACAAAGGCGTATTCTCTCTAGATTTTGTAATAGCAGATGTCCCGCTGTTTGTTCTAAAGCGAGGTCCCGCCTTACAAGTTGAGGGCCAGGACTCGTTACTCACAATTGATCATCAAACGATGCTTGATGGCAAGACCTAAGGGAGGGCCACATTCTCTCATTATCTGGGGGTGTTTCACAAAGATCCTAAGTCAAACTTAACTCTAAGTTGTACTTAAAAGTTATGGAGAGCCATTTGTAGCCTTAAAATAAAATATATTAAAAAGCAAAAATTCAAGTATTTCAAACTTTTCATAAATTCCAAATCAAGAACATGAAATCTCCTTGATAATAGAAAATATGAATGATTTGAATCAACATTTTATGCCTTTTAAAATAACTTTGACAAAATATTTTCATAGACGCTAATGGCTTTCCATAATTGTTAAGTCCAACTAAGAGATAAGTTCAACAGAAAGAGATGATACAAAGATGTATAGAGATATTTTTTTTCTCAATCTAAGTGAGGTCTAGCGGATCCAAAATGGGTGATGGCAGGTACACCCATATATCCCAATGTTTGACTCAAAGAGAGACAAGAGAAAGGCACATAATCTGGAATAAGTTTGTCCTTGAGTTTGTTCTCAGTGAGTCCGATCTCAACGATACCAGATGATGGCCAGCACTCATCCCCCATAACTGTTCCTCCTATGATAGCAGTCTTCTGTAACTCCGATCAGCTACCGGCCGACTTGCCGACACCCTTAGGCATCTTCTTGCTTGATGCGTCCTCTAGTTCCTTGGCCTTGTAGTAGTGTGGAGCAGCCTCTAGCAACCAACCGTTCTCTATCTCTATCACCTACATCGTAGAAAATGAGGGTAGGATTAGCAAATGTATGTTATATAGATGCTGACTAAAGGAAGATAAATGTTTAATTCTGTTATGTTTCCATGAACATATACAAGATCAGGTGCTCCTGCAAATAGCGCAACCATCTTAACTCATCTCTAGTAAATACTTTGTCTTTTGCAAATTTCTATTGTACTTAATGCATATTTTAGACTTACTCATTTTATTTATATACATGTTACTTTATGTTCTTGGCACCCCTAATGACTTTTGTATACTAGTCGTCTTGGAAAAGGCCCAAGGGTTGGAAGAATTCCACAGTCATTTTTTCTCACCCAGAAACCTTCAGGAGGCATAGTAGGAATAACGATAGAAGAAAAAACTAGATGGAATTCGACTGCGCGCAGTCGAAAATGATGCCTCCGTTATAGAGCAATTTTACAAACCAAAACAGAAAAAAAAAATTGAATTCACGTTCAATGGTAATCCATTGACAGGTTCTCAGAATATTGTGATTACAAGCAATTTCTCATATACATATATGACCCTTTGATCTTTGACCTCATGACCATAAAATCTACTCAGTTCATTGGCTCTGCAAGATGTTCTGAGTTAAATAGTAATCCATCTGTCAGTTCTAATGAGAATGCGTTCACAAGCTATTTTTGCATACATAATGGGCCCATGACCTTTGACCTTTGACCTTATGAACCAAGAATCTACTCAGTTCATTGGCTCTGCAAGTAACAAACATGACCTAATTTTGGCATGAATCCATCAATCGGTTCTTGAGATAACGCGATCACAAGCTGTTTTTGCATTCATAATGTGCGCTGTGGCCTTTGACCTTTGACCTACGTGCTCCAAAATCTAATCAGATTGTCTTCTTATGGTGATACACACTATCATTAAGTTTGAAGTTTAAATCTCCAGTGGTTCTTGAGATATGATAACAATCTCAATGTATGGAATTTCATAAGTTGACCTCTATGACCCTTGACCTTTGACCTACGTGCTCCAAAATGTAATCAGATTGTTTTCCTATAGTGATACACACTATCACCAAGTTTGAAGTTTAAATCTCCAGTGGTTCTTGAGATATCATGATAACAATCTCAATGTATGGAATTTCATAAGTTGACCTCTGTGACCCTTGACCTTTGACATACGTGCTCCAAAATCTAATCAGATCGTCTTCCTATGGTGATACATACTATCCTTAAGTTTGAAGTTTAAATCTCAAATGGTTCTTGAGATATCGCGCTAACAAACTCAATACAAGGAATTTCATAAGTTGACCTCTGTGACCTGTGACCTTTGACCTACGTACTCCAAAATCTAATCAGATTGTCTTCCTATGGTGATAAATACTATTCCCGAGTCTTAAGTTTAAATCTTAAATGGTTCTTGAGATATTGTGATAACGGTCAAACGGGACGGACGTACGGACGGACGTACGGACGGACGGACGGACGTACGGACGGACGGACGGACGGACGGACGGACGGACGGACGTACGGACGGACAACCCGAAAACATGATGCCTCCGGCACCACCTTCGGTGGCGGAGGCATAAAAAATTAAAGTTGTTATACCTGTCTCATAAACTCCTTGGTTGTAAAGACAAGTTCATGGTAGATGAGCCATCTTGGTTGTTCTTCAAAGAGACCGCTATTGGGATGAACCATGACTGTCTGCTGGTGCTTGACTGTCTTGTAGTTACCTCCCTTACTGAAGCGTGCAGTATGGTAGAAGAAACCAGCAGTTACAGCCTGCAATATTCATTTGAAGTTGGGGAAGATAGTTATTACTTTTGCATTCAATAGGAATATTTCCTCATTATTACGATATCTACATGAATTGTTTTATTTTCATTTGAATGATTAATAAGATGTAATTATCATCATCATCGCCATCACTGTCATCATGATAAACATTGTCTTCATCAATGTCATCATCAATACCATCATCATCATTAACATCGTCATTAATATCATGATCATCATTATGATTAGTATCATTACCACTAGCACCATTAACATCATTCACCACCAACCACCACCTCCTCCTCCTCCTCCTCCTCCTCCTCCTCCTCCTCCTCCTCCTCCTCCTCCTCCTCCTCCTCCTCCTCCTCCTCCACATCATCATCATCATCAAATCATAGAATTGCAAGGAGTTTATTCCACCCCACTACTCACCCCACACTTAGATTTGCTTGTAATATTATGTTTTGTATGTGTTTATTGTTTACTTTAAAAAATTATTGTGTTTTAATATTGTAATTTTAAGCAGGGGATGATCCCTGATAAACCTCTGTGGTTTTTTATCACCCCCTCTGCAGGTTCATCTTTTTTTTAATGCTTTTATATTTGATTGTAATTTATATTGTCTTTTATGAATCTGTGGAAATAAATGAAATTGAATTGAAAATTTAAATCGTCTTCATCATACATGTTATTATCACCATCATCATCACCATCTTTTCATTGCCACTATAAATCAGACTAGTACATTTCATTGCAATCTTCTAATTTGCCTTGGAGGAGGGAGGGGGGGGGGGATTACAACTATTAAAGACACTCAGTATCTAGCTCTTGTGGGGAATTCAACACAGGTGTTTACCCAATAAGAGGCACTGTCATTCCTGTCAATCACCAGAATTAGCCTTCTGCTTCATGACCAGCAGGCCTTATGTAAGGTACTGCAGTTTCTGACCATTCCCCCACATGGTAAAGTCATTATCTCAATTTTCCCTCACCCGAAGACTCTCTGAGAGACGAGGGGTATTTCTCGATTGGCCTACGGGTTCGCTGTGTGCACCTTATACCTGTACACACGTTAATGATTTTTATCCACCAAGTCTGGTGTCAGCGAATTAGGGCCTTCTGTACATGGAAACTGACGAGTGACTCCCTTTAATATAAGAATGTCTTTTTATATTACCTTTCTAATAACAACGCTATCCATACCACAGCTCACAATCTCCATCTCAACTCTCTCCATGAGTCCCTGGAGCTGATCACGAACATCCCGCGCCCGTCTCATCGATCGATGCTGGATGAAGTTCTCAAAGCACCACTGAGTTGAGAAACCAGTCTCTACCCACTGTCAAACAAGAAAAACAATATTGATAATAATGATGATGATGATGATAGTAATAATAATAATAATGATAAATAATGATAATGATGCTGATGATGAAGATACTGATGATGATAATTATAAAAATAATAATAATAATGATAATGATAATGGTAATGATAATGATGCTGATGCTGATGCTGATAATGATGAAGAAAATGATGATGATGATGAAAATGATGATGATAATGATAATGATAATGATGATGATGATAACTCCTAATCCCTGCCTCATCCCTATTGTCCTTTGGCAAGGTATTTAATCTACATTGCCACTCTAAACCCAGGTGAAGTACATGAGTACCTGTCGGAAGAAATGTGGTGAATGCTTTAGTGCCTTATCGTTGTAGGTCAACCAAAGGTTAATCAATCTGACTTCAGTTTATTCAATGGTGCTTAAAAGTAAGTATAATGAAGCTTAATCATTTTGTAATCTACAATATCTGCACAAAAATGAATTTACGAAAATATGATTCAACTTTTGGAGACAAAGTATCAATGACAATGCTTAAATTGCACCTCGTACTGTCACTCTGTATCAGCCCAAAACGGCTGTACAATCCAATTCTTGTTATGTAGGGGAATTCCCAAATTTGATGTGATTCCTGACTGCAGTTTATCATGTAAATTCAGAAGTTTCTCCTCGCACATAAATATGAGTGGATAATGTAAAAGGGAAAGATGTGTTTTGTTGCAGAGGGTGCTACACAAAATAATCTTTTGTGAGATAATGAAAATCTGAGCATCAAATTTGAAAGAATATACAATTTAGATGACAAATCATCTTTGTTTGATCAAAATCGGTTCAGAGACGGCTGAAATATCAATAAATATAACCATTTCTAATATTAATTTTTGTGGTGCCCCACAAATATTTAGTAATTTTGAACCAGCCGTTGAAAAACGAGATAGCGCTTGATACGTAGCGCTTTATACGTTTTATTCCAGCCAATGCCAATATTTTGTTTTTTTGTTGTCTTTTTTGTGTTGGTTATAATACGCACAACAAGCTGGCCCGTATATATATACGGGCCAGCTTGTTGTGCGTATTATAACCAACACAAAAAAGAAAACAAAAAAACAAAATATTGGCATTGGCACTTTTTCTTTTGATACCTTTTCTTATAGTAATCACGGTCACACGCAAAAGTAATATATTCAACATTTTCTTCATTAAAGTCGCCCAATTTTGATTATTTTCAAGTCGTCCTAAAATTTGCTTTCGTTAAAGTTTAGAAAAGATCAAATTTACATATTTTTTAATGAAGCATTGGATTTTTGCCCTTTACAACTAGAAATATTAAACAGTGGTCACTAAAACCAATAGACATTACACCAGACTTCAAGTTAGCAATAGAATTTGAGGTAAGTTTTAAATCAATGAGTGTACTACTATGAGGTGTAACTCGTGTAGGGTCACTGATTAACTGATTAACCTGGCAAATACGACAAATATCCTTAATACTTTTAGACAATGTATTATCATTTCTCATATTACAATTGATATCACCCAGCAAAACGATATTATTTGACAATAACATTACTTTCTCAATATTCCCTTGAAGGATGGTAAAAATGAACCTGGGCAGGAGGGTTTCTTGTATAAAATACCAACAAAAATGTTAGTTTGTAAATTGCATATAGTAGAGTCATTAATGGAAAGAACTTCAGGATAAGCAGGATTTTTCATGAAAGTAACCTGCAGGGTAAAACACTTTGAAGGATTGAGTGACATATTGTTTGATTGTGACCAGTATTGCAGAGTTAAGTATGCTGTATGTGTTGTAATTGTGAAACGACTATTGATTTACAACATTTTACTAAGTGTTATTGTCTTAAGCATTTTGGATTACGAAAGTGAAACATCGTGGGGCAGCTAATATTACATTTTCCTTTTTTGCTAACAAAAGTAAAAATTAATTTTTATATGAACACTTCCTCCAACAAACACCTCAATCATTTTGTATTTCAAGAGGTAGGATAATAAATTTCAAGTGGATGAAACAAAGTTTCTGCATGTATGGCTCTGATCTAGTGACTGTGTACACTATTGATCAGCTTCTCTTTGGGTTGGTGGTTAACTTTATGATATTTTTACATATACTCATCAAATATCTTTTGGCTTTATCTTGGTTCAGTCATCACTATCTGGATACTGACAATGCAAATTCGTCTGGGATATCAATATTCTCATTGCAAGAAGGTGAAATCTTCAAAATCTTGAAGGGTACGTCATCTGCAGTTGGGGCCTCAAAGAGATTACAATCTTACTATGGTGATCTTGTGTAAATCACTTATTCACAGAAACATACTGGCCATAACGTGAACAGAACTGAAGAGATATTTTGGTTAGTGAGACTTTCAAAATCTCCAAGGGAATTTCTTCTGTAGTAGTGACACCCAAGAGATCACAATGTTCAAGTCAAGGATGACTTGTACGACCTCAAGGATTCCTATCTGCTTGTGGATTGCATGTGTTTTATCCTTGCTTTCTGGAGCATTGCCTGGGAATGACATAGCGGAAAAGGATGGAAACTGGAATTCTGTCTCCCCCAGTGGATGCGAGCTTACGACTTCCAACCTCGGTACTAGAGCTATTTGTACTCGTCTGGGTCTTCGGTCTGTTCCTCAAGATCTTCCAAACAACACAACACTTCTTTATCTCTCCATCAACCTGATAACAACCCTTTACAACGAGTCTTTCACCTATCTCCCAGACATCATCACACTTGCACTCCAAAGAAATCAACTCTCGGTGATAGAAGACGGTGCCTTTGGGCATTTGGGTAATCTCAAAAAATTAATCCTACAGAGAAACCGCCTAATGTCTCTTCCAGCAGGTTTACTTAGTTCAAATAGACTTCTCTCGGTGCTCCTCCTTGGAAGAAACAAGTTGAGTTCAATTCCTACAAATGCTTTGCCGTGGTCTGATAATATCAATTTGTTTGATCTGACCAACAACAACATTTCCTTCATAAAACCCTTAGACTTCACACCCCTTCAGAACTGTTCATCGATACGACTATATCTTGACAACAATGCATTAACAAATCTTCCATCAAATGCTTTCTCAGCTTTTAATAAAGTCAACAAGTTGACTCTTTCAAGGAATACTTTTCAGGAATTTCATATCTCTTCTATTCTAGCAAACAATGAAATTGACAAACTGGTCTTGCAAGAATGCAAAATACTTCGTGTAATTCCACTAAACCAAACTCATAACAATCTTAATGGCTCCCCCAAGATAGATTGCATAGATCTCAAAGATAACTTGGTGAGCTCCTTCCAAGATTTTGTGTTTTGGGGTTTAAATCAGACAAGTATTTTATTACTTCAGCGCAATAAAATAAATATTTTATCAAACAGGACTTTTTGTGGACTAGACCAGCTGGTTGAATTAGATCTATCTTATAATGGCTTAACTTCCTTACCCCTAGGCATGTTTTCCTGCAATAAAATGCTACTGCGATTGAGGCTTGTTGGAAATAATATTGCAAGCTGGTCCATTGGTATATTATCTAATCTATCCTCTATTAATCACCTAGACCTGGCTCATAACAATATCAAGGATATTGAGAGAAGAACTACCATAACATTTCCTTCTCTAGCATATCTGGATCTTTCTTTCAACAAATTCACAGAGATCAAGTGGTATTTTCTATGGGATTTCACTAATCTCAAAATACTGAACATGTCTCACAATGATATTCAAGGTGGGTATTCTGCAAATGCCTTCACGAATCTAAAGAACCTCAAAGAGCTTTACCTCACCAATGAACCTCACCAAGTCATCAATGGAGCTTTTCGCTACATGGATGCTCTTTGCATATTAGATTTATCATTTTCAGGGTTGGCACTTCATTCGAAACTCCAATTTACAAATACTACATCTCTCGTAAAACTGGCTATGCGTGAAAATAATTTGATGAGCACAGATTTATTTGATACCATGACCTCTAAATCATTATTTGTTGGACTTAGATCGTTGGTAAGGCTGGACTTGAGAGGGAATCGCCTAAATATATTAGCACCAGGAACTTTCAACCCCCTAAAGAGACTTGAAATACTACTCCTCTCTCAGTCTTCTATTAAAGTCCTAATTCCCAATGTTTTTGACGGTCTGACTTCTCTCACAAGATTGGATCTTCGTGACAATGAAATCTCGGCAATTCCTGGAGATTTACTTCAAAGTCAGCCCAGGCTTCGAGTCCTCTACATAACCAATAACAGACTAGATTCGATTCCCAAGACCCTATTCAATAGAACCCTATCTCTGCACCACCTGTGCATGGAACACAACAGAATCACCACAATAGAACCTGGAACAGTATTTCCTACAAACAGGACAACAAGAATAGACGCATCAGGAAACCCTTTCTCCTGTACATGCGACTTGAGTTGGTTTGTTGATTGGCTACGTTTAGGCAATGTCGAACTCATCCATCCTGATGACACACTTTGCTCACTCTCTTCCATCAAAGACATGGTGCAATCACCAATCCTTTCATTCCATCCTGATCAATACTGTGGCATTAATATCCTCATCATCACAGGTGTGTCCTTCTTCTTTGTTCTGGTGGCCATCCTGTGCTTGGTGGCATATCGAAAACGTTGGTGGCTCAACTACAAGCTCTTCCTCCTAAAACTAGCCATCTTTGGCTACGAGGAAATCAACCAGGACTTTGATGCCCAGGACTACGAGTACCAGCTCAACCTGATGTACGATGAGGATGACCAGGAATGGGTGGACCAGATCATGAAGCCAGTCCTGCAGGAGAGGTTTCCACATCTCCAGAAAGTGGCCTTAGGCGATAACGACCTAAACATCGAGATGTTCTACATCCCAGCTCTCCACTACGTCATTGAGAACAGCTTCAAGACTGTCCTCTTAATAAGCAACAACTCTGTGGATGAAGCCTGGTTTCTGACCAAGCTACGCATAGCCCTAGAGCACCTCAATGACACCAGACTGGACAAGGTCATACTGATTTTCCTTGAGGACATCCAGGATGATGATCTCCCGTACCTGGTCCGGTTGTTCATGAGTAAGAACAAACCCTACATGCTGTGGACGGAGGATGAAGATGGCCAGGAACTCTTCTGGGCCCAGTTTGAAAAGAGCATGAGAGCGAACAGGGTGATCAATAGTGTAATTCCTGTTTAACCCGACTGTTAACATTCACAACAAGGCAAACTAATTGTCATCCAACAAACATTTAGAACCTCCAAAACAATATCGGCACATTTGATTACCGGCAAGGGCTGAGAATAACATGTGTAACAGTCAATATGTGTGTCTCTACAATCCATATTTGCAGTTCCCTTGTCCTTTATGTGTATTATAGTCTAAGGTATTTTGTCCCTTACATAACCCATAACATCAACATTTGCAGTAAATCAGATGATTCAATCAAGGTGATACCCCTACTACAGCTTGGATCAGACCAGAAAACAAGGAAAGTTGCACTTGCAATGTGACTCATTGTTTATTTTTCTTTGCTGCCACCCATTTTCAATAAACGGCTGGCATTAATTACGTCTACTTTCTTACGATTCCCGGCACCCAGTCATAGCCTATTTTAGGGGCAAGCTTTGATTCATTAGCTTCTGTTTCTATTGTCTGAGTTAGGCTATTTCTGTTCATTCTTGCGATTTACTTCTGATGAGTGCAAGAGGAAAAGATTTAGTATGTCAGTATTGGTTTCTATTCTTAAAAGGATGGTTGAGTTTTGTTGCAGAGGGCGCTACACAAAAAAATATTTTTGTGAGATAATGAAAAACTGAATGTTAAATTTGAAAGAACATAATATTTAGATGACAATTAAAATCATCTTTGTTTGATCAAAATCGGTTCAGAGACGGCTGAAATTTCTATTACTTGTGTACCACCACAAATATAAGATACTTTGAAAAATTGAAAAAACCGTTGAAAAACCCCGAAATAACGCCTTTTACGTCGTATTTTAGCCAGTGGCGATGTTAGGTTTTTTGTTGGCATTTTCGTCTTGCTTATATTACGCACAACCAGCTGGCCCATGTATTGTTATTTTCAATTAAATAATTAATTCATGGTCACCGTGTTTTTTTAAAGTGGAGCTGAATCGGTATGCTTGTATTGGCTAAATTTCACACATTTTGGGGTCTGAAATTGCCTTCATAGCAATTTAAAGTAGCAGAAATGTCACAATGATGCCTACAAGGACTTTGTATTGGAGGCATAGTGCTACATGCACCTAACCACCTAACTTTAGAAGAAAAATAAGGATCTATATTCTCTAAGAAATAAGGCAAAAGTAGGAATTCAGTAAATTAGTATGCTTTTACAAAGAGGCTTTCTACATATTTAAAAAACAACAACAGAGGAATCAAGGGTTACCAACACTTTTTTGAAGGTAAAAAAATAGGATGAAGTCCTGGAAAAGAGGATAATTGACAGCTATTTACACATTAACTATGAATCATGAATTATGAATGTTTTAACAACCGAAGAGGTGTTTGATAGCCTTTTTAAATTTTGAGAAATTGTACAACTACTACATGTAATAAGGAGGTATAATGGTAATACACAGAATACTGTACGAATGGTCAAGATTGTAAATATATACATATTTTAACAATAAAAGAGTTGTCAAGCCATTTTAGCCATACCATCACTCACAACTCCATTCTGAATCTATGTAATGTTGGTGACCTGTGATTTCTTGTTTTTATCCATTATCATTATCATTTTCATTATAAACTACTCAATTTATAGACAAACCTACTCTAATTACTTCAGCTGTTAAATACAATTATTATGAAATGTTGTACTTATGAGCTAACATTAATCTATTTGGTAATGTGTAATGAATTGATTGTAGTACATTGTTGTTCATATATCTATGTATCAGATTCTGCATTTGTTTAAACTTTGTGTACAATATTTCTACTATTGTTATCCATTTATTTGTAGTTTTATTCATATTTGTAATCCAACCACAAGTTTTGGTTGCAATAAAGAAATACTTAGTTCTTTGCAAAAAATTATTACTGTGCAAATCTTAACAAAAGAAGAGCTAAGTATTTTTGAATACATAGAATGAATGTGTTATAATTAAATATCATTCTTAATTTCTTATAGAAGATTAGCAAACGCTTTTATCGATTTTACTGGTTATATCATTCAGTTGATATTTCTTATGGTGGCTGTATGATACATGCTCTGGTGAATCCCAATTGTAACCTTAAGTTTTGGTATGGGGTCATGAATTTGGTTCAAATGAACATATTGGAGGCATATGCGATCCTACAATATTCAGTGACCTTTGTCGCAGTCGAAATCGACTCTAAAGTTATGAAATTGTAAATAATAATCACTTTATGTTGAATAGCTCCCTCTCAAGGTCAAGATATTAATAAAGCTATAAAACAATGTTTATTGACTAAAATCGACCGATTAGCTATTCCTGTTCGGAAATTATATACCACATCTACATATTCTGAGATTTTCATGGTCGCAGCTACCATTGTACGGCCGTAGGAGCTTTTTGAAATTTATCAAAATTTACCGGGAGCACCGGTAAATCTTTATATTCAACTTTTCTCGAAAGCAGAAGTGTTTTAGGGGCTAAAATTTCTAGTGCTTTTAAAACATCCACAAGGGCATCCAAATATATCAAAATTGTAAAGAATCACTATCCACCTATTTTTCAAAATTTCCCAAAACTTTGTAATACCTTTAAACCTAGATCTTTGGCGAAATAAAGCTCGGAGCAACCGTCGCTGTAGCATATTGTCAGGTCACCTCTGTGAATCTTGACCTACTTGAGAACTTTGGCAAGGTCATAGGAGCAGTTCTTTAAAAAATTCTTTTAATTCATTTTTTTCAATGTATGTATATATACTATTATGATCGGCACATTTGCACCAAGTTTTATGGGAATAACATTTAAGCTTGTACTAAGATGAGAAATTTCTATTGGTACACTTTATTAGAATTTTAAATCTACAATCAATTAATTCCTGAAAAACTTGATGTCACATTTGCATCATTACTTGTGTAAAATGTAATTATCTGATTTTTTTATATCAATAAATTGGATCGAAGCACAATTTATGTATGGTTTCTTTATACTTCCATGACCTTTGACATATTGACCTTAACCCCTTGTACAGTTTAGTCATCATCGATATTACAGACGTTCTGTCACATGTCAATTAGCTATTGCACAATCTGTAAATTGGTACACTATTAATATGACTAATGAAATTGGAGAGTATAACTATGGTATTATCATGGTACTATCATGGTAACACAAGAAGAAACCACAAGTACCATAGGTACCATCTATTAACCATGGTTTTACTATGATTTTACCATGGGTACCCTGGTACTTTTCTTATAATGGTATAACAACTCAACTCTCTGTTACAAGTGCGCTTTCGCAAAGATGACGGGAGAATTCACTCAACCGAGATCGTCCTGTACTATGCTCCTGTCTTCATTGTAACCTGTTTCGGTACCGGGGACGGGGACATTGATGCGTTTAGTTGTGAACGTGTTAGAAAAAGATAATAATTAATATGTTAAAAATTGGATAGTCGAACACAAAGTAGAGTTGATATATACGATCATATGATATCTATATCATGATTGCATTGCGATACAGCTCTTCCGTCATGTTTAGGGAACGAATGCTATTATGGCAAAGAACGGTCGTGAAAATCAACATGATAAAGAAAATTCTGGTTCACGCATGCACAAATTGATTTTTTTCACTCGCGTTACTGTTGTCTTTGCTTTCCGTCGTCTTTGCGAAAGCACTCTACTATGTAATCTGGGACAACATTTTAAGAAAACAAAATCAGATCAAATGCTCTATCATGATACTCATCATTTTTGTGTTAAATTAAGGTCTTTAAACTGTGACCTTTGACCCTTTGTGCAAACTTTAATCTCCTTACAATGGTGCATACAAGACTCAAATTCAGTTTACTGTTTAAATGATTCATTAAAAGTTGTGTTAACCAAACTACTGTAACACATGGTAAATACAAAAATATGGGATGAACATAAATAAAAGTTGAGAAAGTATTTTTGACATAATTTTCCCTGCAAGAATGATCCAGATTTTTTGTATAATTTCAATCATTCATTATAAAGAATGAATAAATATTGTCAGCATCATTCCATGGGAAAATGCTCTCACCTAACAATATTTTCAGATTTTGTTCACAATCACCCCCAAAGTTCTATTCACCCCATCTTATGGACTAATCTGTGATTTTAAAGTGACCTTTAACCTTTGGCCTTTGAACCACCTTTTTCATATTCATACGGTTGCTCTGAACATTATAAGAAAAGAAGAAGCATATCATTCTCTAACCTGATTGTAGGCGTTGAGCAGTGTAAGATGATCACCGCCTCATTCTATAGACTAATCTATGATTTAAAGTGACCTTTAACCTTTGAACTCTGAACCACCTTTTTCATATTTATACGGTTGTTCTGAACATTATAAGAAAAGAGGAATCATATCATTCTCTAACCTGATTGTAGACGTTGAGCAGTGTGAGATGATCACCGCCCCATTCTATAGACTAATCTATAATTTAAAGTGACCTTTAACCTTTGACCTTTGAACCACCTTTTCATATTCATACGGTTGCTCTGAACATTATAAGAAAAGAGGAAGCAAATCATTCTCTAACCTGGTTGTAGACGTTGAGCAGTGTGAGATGATCACCTCCCGGAGTGAAGAAGTTCACCCTAGCGTTGTCGGCGTGGACTATCTTGTCTTTAGGCCGGTAGAAGACGGAATTGTTGACCGACAGCATGGCGGTGATGCTGAGAATCTCTTCTGAACACTTGTACCTGAATTGATGGATGATAGAAGAGGGTGTAATTATATTACTCAACAAGGCGGTAAGACTAATAATCTCTTGGAAACACTTTCTAGAGAATATATTAAAAACTGCAAAAAGAACCTTCTTTTCAGAAAACCTATTCTTTCAAAATGATATGATTGAAAGAAAGATTGAAGATCTAAGATTGGGAGATTATTCACATATATTTAAAAATGACAATCATGACAAAATATTCATTATTATGAATAATAACAGTAAATTAAACTAAACGAGATGAACATGATTTCAGTATGCAATATACATGTATATATTCAAGCAGATGCAAGGGAAAAGCAAAAGGTCATTGGGCTGTTTAAGCTGATCCTTGTCATTCCCTGATTATATTGTGAACATATTATTAATTTATCATATACATGTCACACATGTCAAATATCATACATACCTACTATCAAAGAAGGCACCATCATGAAACAAATTATGAACTATAAGAGCAAAATGTATAGCGAAACCTGTATACAAAGACTGCTCAAAGGAGAACAAGAGAGTGGTCTTAAGCCCCACTGCACTAGTCTGGCCAGGAGGGATTAGACCTCCCTGCATGGTCACTGACAGGTGGTTATCTCATCAAATAACCTCTCAATTAACATAAGAAAAAGAGGATCTAGGGGGACCAATAGTCACAGATTATGCATTGTTTGCTATATTGAGGGTGCAAGTAGCTATACGTAGTGCAGTGGGGATTTAAAGAGCAGGTTTGACTGTACTTACTTCTCTGAGGCTAGGATCATCTTGGCCAGCATGGGATCGACGGGGAACTCGGCCATCCTGCGGCCCATCTTGGTGAGCTCCCCCTTGTGGTTGAGGGCCCCCAGGGCATAGAGCTGCTCCAAGGCCAGGACCAGGGTCTCGTGAGGGGGCGGGTCCATGAAGTCAAAGTGGATCAGATCGTTGATTCCCAGGCTCTTGAGTAGCAGGACCACATTGCCGAGGTTGGTCCTCTGGATCTGATGATAGAAGGAGATGGAAAAAGAGGAGGTGAGAGGGAGATATATAGAAGGGATATGGAGAGCGATAGATATATAAAGGAAAAATTAAGGAGAATGAAGAAAATGAGGGAAAGCATAAACCCCAAGCCATTAGCCCAGGTCTGACTTGGATTCCATGCAGGTCGCATTCTACGCCAGCATGTACAGGTACATGGGCTGTCTTCTCACAAGTCACTTTTATGCTTATCTAGAGTGTATTTAAACTTGCAATATCTATTCATAGAAATAATATTAAAAACGTGTCTGTACTAGTGTGGACAGGAGGGATTAGACCACACAGGGAGGTCACTGACAGGTGGCTATCTCATCAACTCAGCTCTCAATTAACATAAGAAAAAGTGGATCATGAGGGACCAACAGGCACCGATTAGGCATTGTTTTCTATATAGAGGGAGCAAGTAGCTACAAGTAGTAAAGTACGCCTTTAAACTCCATATTTTATAGTACCATATGAAACCCCGAACAAAGAGAGGAAAATATGTTTGGTATTTGTGACTGCGCTCACCTCTGGTATAGTATTCTCCTCTAGTTCATTCTTGAAGGCCCATGCTGTGTAGAGACGGAAACACTTTCCTGCGGCCACACGCCCAGCTCGTCCTGCTCTCTGATTGGCTGATGCCTGGTTCAAACAACAATATAGTACACAATCTAATTACAAATATTTAAAACGAAGCAAAGAATATGCACTCTTCATATATTAACAGGCTGAATACCTAAACGTAGAATATTGAACAGTAAACCAACCATGTCCAAACATTTTGTTATATAATAATATAAACCCAACACAGGTGAAAGATGATTGTCCATTGGTCAGATGTGTTTTTTGTTGCAAATCTACATTAACATCTACCAGGACATTACACAAGACCTCAGTACCTTGTTAAATAATAATTTCCTGTAAAATCAGAAATTTTCACAGGCATTTAGTGTTGGAAGAATTCTGTGAGTGGTTCAGACACGCAAAAGTTTCAAGCCGTGAAATTAATGAATTACAACATAGAAAACACTGAATTTTTGTGAAGTCACAGAACTATTTTGAAAGATGTGAAGATGGCTGTCATTTATGATTCAGGAAAGTTTCATGTCGTGAATGTTTCTAGTTTTATAAGGTTGTTTAGAACTTGGAAATGTCCAGTTCCAAAACTACCAATCAAACCAATTTAGCTACTCCACTGATACAGTCAAACCTGCTTTAGTGACCACCAGTCTACAAAGACCACCTGTCGACAAAGGACACAGTTGTTGTTTCCCTTGAAAATAGTTTCTCATTGAATCATGTACTAAAAGAACCTGTCTACAAAGACCACCTGTCTTCAAAGGCCAATTTTTGTGTTTCCCTTGGGCGATCGCTATAGACAGGTTTGACTGTAGTTCCCACCTTTGAGATTGGAGTGACCACCAAGGATTCCATGCCCGTCCGTGCATTGTAGCTCTTCTGCTTACAGAACCCCGGATCGATCACGTAGATGATGCCGTCTATCGTCAGGGAGGTCTCGGCGATGTTGGTAGCCAGGATGACCTTGCGTGCTCCTGGAGGAGTGGGCTCGAAGATGCGGGCCTGGAGGTCGGAGGGGAGGGTGGAGTAGATGGGCAGGACCAGGAGCTCCTTCACCCGGTTGCCAAGTTTCTTGACCCTCTCCTGGAAGTTGAGATCAACAGCAAAATTTCATATATCACATGATATTCACAAAATATCCAACCTTTTTATTATATTAATGGGACATTAGGCTTTCATTTAAGGCCCCACTGCACTACTTATAGCTACTTGTGCCCTCTATATAGCAAACAATGCCTAATCAGTGACCATTGGACGCATTGGTCCCCCATGATCCAATTTTCTTATGTTAATTGAGAACTGATTTGATGACATAAACACCTGTCAGTGACCATGCACAGAGGTACATGTATAATCCCTCCTGGCCAAACTAGTGCAGTGGGGCTTTAACAGTAACAATAGGAATTATTAAAAGCAAACTTTAAATATCCTTGCGTTGACCTTCGTTACACCCTGTAAGAATCTCTAACGCAATCTATAACATATTTTTGCCATTGGGTTACAGTTGTGATGGTTATTTTACCTGACTGCTAAGAAAGCTTAAATGCTTGTGAGTAAGCAACCAGAGGACCGATGGCTTTAGGTCCTCTCCGAGGGACCTGGTAGTGAGGATTAATGCGCATCGCCTTGGTTTCGAACCCGGGTCACCGGATAACGAGACCACTGCTCTACCTACTGAGCTATCGCGCCTCCTCTTAGGGTTAGGGTTAGGGTTCCATGTTAAAACCAGAGGAGATCTCCAACTTATCTCAATGATAAAAAGACAGGAAAGAAGTTTGAAAGGGATTGTCCAAAAAAAGGCAACAATCCCAAGTCAAGATTCTCACCAGTGAATAACAACCCTGATCCTGATGCTAAAACTGAGTGTGGAGGATTCAAAAGGAAAAGTACCAAGGCAAAGTCTCCCCACAAAGGAAATACAAATGTCAATAGAAATTTTCAACCTATAAAATGTTTTGATCCTCTAAACCACTCCCTGGGATATTGTAAATACATATGTCACTTAAAGCCCATTTGTACTAGTTTGGCCAGGGGAGATTAGACCTCCTTGCAAGGTCACTGACAGGTGGTTATCTCATCAAATCAGTTCTCAATTAACATAAGAATAAGAGGATCATGGGGGACCGACAGGCACCGATTAGGCATTGTTTGCTATATAGAGGGCGCAAGTAGCTATAAGAAGTGCAGTGGGGCTTTAATGTGGACCAAAACTAAAGAAACTCCTCCATGTGGAGCCTAAATAATCGTGCTACAGCCTGTACAAATCATACCAACGTGACATGATATCTTTTACAGCCAATTGTTGGAACTTGTATGTATCTTTAATAACTGGAACTGCCTCGACAGAAACTTACGGTTTTATTTACAGTTTCCCCAATTGATTTCTAATGATTAACTTTCTATAATTCTGGTAAATTTGTAAACAGGTTACCATTTTGTGTGTGTTCTCTGTATTTCTACATTGTATATAATCTGTATTTCTTACTTTCATAAAAAAAAAGTGTTTTTATGGATTTGAATTGAAGTTAAAATGAAACTTGAAAATATTCCACTCAATGTAGACCAAGACTAAACAAACTCCTCCCCACGAAGCCTAAATAATCATGCTACACCCTGTCTTCATTAGGCCCCCCCCCAAAAAAAAAGATATTGTATTGCCCTTTAGGTGCCAAAACATGGGTCAGTTGGTCGGAAATCTTTTTTTTTGTTGTAACTTTTGTTCTTTTTTCCCTCTTTGGGCTGATATTTTTCAGTTTTGAATGCTTTTTCCCCCCCAAAAAAAAAATTGGGGGAATTGGTCACAAAGGGCAATACAACATCTTTTTTGTTTAGGCCTTATACCATGGACTGCACCTTTAATACAACTTTGTTTATACTGACTGACCTGTAGCATTTCCATGCACGTCTCAATTTCCTCCTGACCGGTCAAGAAGACCAGACAATCGCCATCAGGCTGGGTCAGATGGATCTGAAGCACCGAGATCGTGCAAGCATCCAAGAAATCAGCTTCGGGTGCCTATTAAAATAACAAAAAATCAGTATAAAAATATTTTTTACCTGACCACTGAAGGGAGACAAGAAAAGGGGTCTTTATAATCAGGTGGTCGTTATGTATATCTTTCAATGAGAAATGATTTTCAAGAGAAACAAAAAAATAAGGTCTTTATCGACAGGTGGTCTTTCCATACAGGTGGTTGCTTAACCAGGTTTGACTGTAGTTGAATTTTGCTTCAATAACAATCAAATTCACCCTCAATTGTAATTTTCACTTTGATTCCAATTTTTAAATATCAATTACTTCTGATTTCTCTTTCACTTCAAATTTCAATCTATTCCCAATTAATCATTTATATAGCAATCAAACTGTTAAATCATTTCTGATTCCCATAAATTCCCAATTTGATTTCAAATCACTATACAATTCTTATCTGATACTAAACAGAAGTGAAGAATCCTATTACTGAATTGTCTTAAATTGAATAAACTATTGCTTTGTCAAATTAACTTTTGCATAAATTACTTTTTAAACTGATGGTCAAATGGATGATAATAAATGTACAGTCAAACCCACTTTAGTAACCATCTGTCTGTAAAGACTACATTTCTGTCTTTCCCTTGAAAATCATTTCTCATTTAAAACATATACTAAAGGAACCTGTACATAAAGACCACCTGCCTGTAAAGATCACTTTCTTTGTCTCCCTTGGATGGTCTTTATATACAGGTCTCACTGTTTATTCTTACCAAAAAATTGCTGATTTTGCTTACCTTGGTATATAAGATATCCACAGGGTAACGCCTACCAGGTATCCTGAAGATAGGAGCATCATCAAAGAACTGAGGAAATTATCAAAAATTAAAAAATAAAATAAATACACACAGATATCAGAAAAACCATCAAATTTAGCATCACATATAAAACACTAGAGATTTTCAATGATAATCTAAAATTTACAAACGGAAAATATAGAAAATTTCAAATCCATGCCATTGAAATATAACAAACAAAATACAAATAAAATTGCTGTTTCTAAAACCTGTATATAAATCAAAAGCGATAAAACCTGTATAAAAATTTAAAATGTCAATCTTTCCTGTAGCATACGCCTTTGACGGAGGATGCAAAACACATGATTTCATGATCATAATAATAATAATAATAATAATAATATGTTCATTCATATAGCGCTCTCACACAATTAGTGTTATCTATGTTATCATATGTTATTCCAAGTTTAAGTTATATACCGTTTAATCTATGAAGAAAGTAAAGATAGAATTCAGCTATATAACCGTGACAAATAATGATAATAAATACTGTTGATGATGATGATAATAATAAATAATAATAGTAACAATAATAATAATGATGATAATAATAATAATAATAATAATGATGATGATGATGATGATGATGATGATGATGATAATGATGATGATGATGATGATGATGATGATGATGATGATGATAATAATAATGATAAAAAAATAATACAAGATAATAACAATACTATTTCAATTCTACGCAATTGTACATTTTCAATATTGATTGTGAGTCAATTTATTTCTTATATTACTCCACTATGTAAAAACGATTTAAAACAAGTTACTGTTTCCATATGAATATGTCATTGTACATTTGCTACTGTGTGTATTATCTATTTGTGTATATTATTTTCTATTGTATATTGTTCATGTGCTTTATGTAAAGCCAACAACTGAATTTCCAAATGGACCAATAAAATTAATCTGAATCTGAATCTGAATCTGCTTGAGAAAGTTTGAGAGAGGTACTCACTGCAGCAAATTTCTCTGTGTCTAGAGTAGCACTGGAGATGAGCAGCTTGAGGTCCGGTCTGAATCTAGAGATGTCTTTGACCAGACCAAAGAGAATGTCGGTGTGGAGAGTCCTCTCGTGAGCTTCATCAACAATCAGTACTCTGAGCAATATAAAACAGAGAGTTTGAATCACTCACACTTAAATACATATATGGGACTAAGTGTATATCTTTAACAAACTTAAACTAAAATGATATGGTCTGAATCAAAATGTCTTCGACCAGATCAAAGATAATATCCACATGGAGGGTATTCTCATGAGCTTCATCAACAATCAGTACTCTGGTCAATATAAAAGAGAGTTTGAATCACTCACACTGAAATACATATATGGGACTAAGTGTATATCTTTAACAAACTGGTATTACACTGTCAATAACAAATATAATAAACTAAACACAAATTTTGTTTAGACAATTTATGCTGATTAGACATTATAAATGGACTGTAACATAATGACATACACTTTTTGTTTACATTGACTCCAACATTACTGAAATCATTATGAACAAATTATCAGGAATTATCAAGAATCATCTTACCTGTAGCTAGCAAGATCGGGTTCACCAAGGAACTCCCTGAGAAGCATACCGTCCGTCATGTACTTGATGATGGTACGGTCTGACGTGCAGTCTTCAAACCTGATACTGTATCCAACCTGAGAAGAAAAGAAATTGATCAAACCTGTATCAGCATGTATCACGACCACCGATCATCATCATCATTATCATCATAACCATCAGCAACAATAAAAACATCACCAACATCATCATCACCATGAACAACAATAACACCACCACCACCACCTCCACAATCATCATCATCATCACCATCACTATTATTAACATCACCATCACCACTACTATTGTCATCATCACCACACCATCATCACCACCACTACCATCATCATCATCCCCATCATCATCATCACCACCACCATTGTCATCTCAACCACCACCATCATCACCATCATCATCATCACCACCACCATCATCATCACCATTATCATCATCATCACCACCACCACCATCATCACCATCATCATCATCACCATCACCATCACCACCACCACCATCATCATCATCATCATCATCAACATCATCACCACCATCACCATCACCATCACCATCACCATCACCATCACCATCACCATCACCATCACCATCACCATCACCATCACCATCACCATCACCATCACCATCACCATCACCATCACCATCACCATCACCATCACCATCACCATCACCATCATCATCATCATCAACATCATTACCATCACCATCACCATCATCTTCTTTATCATCACCATCATCATCAACATCATCATCATCAACATCATCATCACCATCACCATCACCATCACCATCATCATCATCATCATCACCATCACCATCATTACCATCATCATCATCACCATCACCATCACCATCACCATTACTATCATCACCACCAACGTTACCACCACCACCACCACCACCACCACCACCACCATCATCAGCACCACCACCATCATCATCACCATGAACGACAATAACAATATCACCATCACTATCATCATCATCATCATCATCATCATCCTCACCTCATTGCCGAGTTTGACGCCCATCTCTTCCGCTACTCTTGCAGCTACACTCATGGCTGCGACCCTCCTGGGCTGGGTGCAACCAATCTTCATTCCTTTCTTGGTAAAACCCTGAGAATAAACAATGACAAGTTGGGACTGCATCACAACACAGATTGTGAACACATCGTGATTATGCTAGATCAACGTAAAACCATGATATCATATTAATTTACTGTTGAAAGGTCTTCAATAATCATGATAAGCTGGTATATGAGGAAAACATGTCAATCTTATCAACATAATTATGATTTTTTGTTTGTATGTACATTAAAAAAAAATACCTTTGATAAATAGGATTTGAACAGCATAACAACTGTTAGTAAACAATGAAATATTGAAAAATAAAGGGGAAAAAAGACTAAAAATTGCTCTGACTTACAGCCTCATGCAGGTACTGCGTGATCTGTGTTGTCTTTCCTGACCCTGTTTCACCCTCGATGATCAAGACCTGATGGTCCCTGATCGCAGAGATGAGATCGTCACGGAACGGATAGATGGGCAGGCTCTTCCTCACCTCCTGGATGGACTGCTTCTTCTTCTCCGAGGCCGACATCTTTTTAGGCGCATCGTCGTCTTCATCGTCGTCACTCTGTACAGGTGACAAACAAATCATTTAAAATTTAATTTTAAAATTTAATTTTTGGGGTTCACGCATTGACAATGCTTGTAAAGTGTCATTCAGATTTAACGAGGTAAATCCCTTTTTTTATAATGATGCAAGTGTAATACGCTTAACATTTCTGTATCTGATAGCACGGAGCTCACTAAATTAGGTGTAGGACCTTTGTTACCCGCAGTTGCTATTAATTTACATGTTTTTAATAAGCGTTTACCGTCGCATATATGTAAATGTGCCTTAAGTTCAGGTCATGGAGCCAAGGCAAGAACCATTGTTCTTGATAAGATAAATTTTGATATAGCTATATTACCATTGGATTACACATAATTACTATTGCATAACTAAAGACATGAACACGTTTCATCAGTTTTTAGATACATGTAAGATACATTCACACAAATATATTACAAGTAAATCAGTATGTCTACAGTATCAATATAGTTATTTTCTATTGTCTTACATGAACTTTCTCCAGTATATGATCAACAAAGATTCGAAAAAGTGTTTCCATAATTTGAAAAATAAGTAAAAGGGCACCATTGACGGGAATAGTAACTCAACTTCACACACACTGGCTTTTAAATTGGAAAGAGAATCTAAAGAAATGATGCCAAACCTCTTTCATGGTCCCTGGGGCAGTGAAGGCTGCGACAAACTCAATCTCCTCAAAGTCATCTACCACAAGGTCATATTCCTTTTGCTGAGACAAAACAAAAAGAAAAACAACAATGAGCAGTAAAACCATAGTTAGTTGAGAGACAAAGTTATGTCATCGAAAGTTGCTTCCGATTGGTCAGTCATTTCATTGAGCTCCAAATAGATCCCTTCCATAGAGATGAACATGGGAGGGGTCTATAGATTGGTGAAGTGTGACGTCATTAAAAAACTATATTTTGAATTTCTCAATTTTTTCTTTATTTTTCGAAAGAGCATCAAAAATAATGTTCAAATGTCGAAAACCAATTGAATATGTTAAGTATTGGCTGAGATATGACCATCTGAAAAAATAGATTTCCTATGGGAGCTCAGTGTTATATTGCCCTGGTTCATAACATTACGTGCCAGAGTAATATAACACTGAGTTCCTATAGGAAAAATATTTATTCAGATGGTCATATCTTAGCCAATACTTAACATATTCAATTGGTTTTCGACATTTGGACATCATTTTTGATGCTCTTTCGGAAAATGAAGAAAAATTCGAGAAATACTAAAAATAGATTTTTGCTGACGTCACACGTCACCACTCTATAGAAATTGCACATGGGAGGGATCTATACAGAGCTCTATGATTTAACCAGTGACTGCCTGTATGCATAATGGGCGTATCACAACTATCTCTCTTAATATATACACGTTCCTTCCTCTGAGGAATTAGAAGATACTACAGCCAAACCTGCTTTAGTGACCACCTGTATAGAAAGACCACCTGTCTACAAAGACCACATTTTTTTGTATCCCTTGAAAATGGTTTCTCATTGAAACATGTACGAAAGCAACCTGTACATAAAGCACACCTGCCTATAAAGACCACTTTTTTTGTCACCCTTGGGTGGTCTTAATAGACAGGTTTCACTGTATAAAAGCCAGAGACGGAACTAACCTTGTGCCTCTGTTTAGCATCCTTAGCTCCAAAGTGCATCTCTCCTTTACGAACATGCTCATCCTCCCATCGCTTCTGCTCATAGTTACCTGCGCCTTCTTCCCCGACGGGCTCCACGTACCTCTCAGATTGTTTCTGTCATAAAGGGAGCATCAAAAATCATTAAACTGGATTTTACTGGTTTGAGGTTGACCCCATATGTATGTAAGGGCCTAGGGGATCCAATGCTTTAATCCCATATGAGTAATAATAGTTCTAATACATTTCAATTTTTTTTTTCTTCACCCGATAAAAAAATGAACAAGTGCAATCAAGTATACAGTAAAATCAAACAAAACAAAATAAAACAAAATAAAAGAAAGCATTTACAATGTATACATTATATAAATACAGAGTAGGAAAAAAAATTGATAGAGAACAAGTTGAGTTCTTATAAAAAGCTCATATTGTCGAGCAAAGAATGTTTCAAGGATCAAAATAGCTTGCTAGCTTCAGGCAACCAAATTGAGCTAATTTAGCAGGAAAATCAAATCAAATCAGTCTTGCTTGCACAAAATAAGTCAGGAAAGACACTTGAATTATCTTATAGGCCAGCACTTTAAACATGGCTGCCAACTCTGGGAAGAGCATAAGTTTTTCTTTTTCCTTCTGGACAAAAATATTTTTTCTGCTACCAATAATGATTTGTTCATACCTCATCATCTCTTGGCATATAATATCTTCCTTCTCTTTCTTTCTCTCCAGCTCTCTTATGCTCCTTGGCCAAGTCCAGCACTGTCTTCTTATACTTCATCTCTTTTCTCTCACGCTCTGTTAAACTGAAGACACAAATAAAAACAGATCAAAGGGTAGTTTAAAGCCCCATTGTACTACTTGTAGCTACTTGCTCCCTCTATTTATAGAAACCAATTCCAGTGCCCGTTGGTCCCCATGATCCTCTTTTTCTCATGTTAATTGAGAGCTGAGTTTAATATTGAGATAGCCACCTGTCAGAAATTGTAAGATTTCTTTATAATATTTCTTCATTTTGCTGGGGGGGGGGGTATCCAGAGCTCTTTTAAAGTTCTCCACAGCTTTTTCATTTACTAGTCTGTTGTATTTTTTTTTATATATTTAAAGAGCTATCAATAAGAATGATCAAAACAATAAAGCTTCTATTGTGATATGAAACAATGTTTTTGGTATAATGAGTGAAATTTTGCAATTCAAACATATTAATGAATTAAAAGCGAATAACAATCAGTAGTAATCTATTCAATAGTCCAAAGTTTTCTTACACATAACATATGTCTAGTTCTCTTGAAAACTGCATTTATGTATTTCAATCAATTCAACTGAGTAAAAAAAAATGAAGGAAAACAAAAGCAAAAACATTTTAAACAATATAGTGTGGTACGGTATGTCACTGGAACAGCTCCCGTAGGATTTTTGTACCAAAGTTGATTTTTGTTTGCATTTTGGATTCATTGGGGTTCAAGCTATCAGAAATTGATGGGGTACAAATTTTCCCAAAGACACCAAATTTCCCTATTGCGCGTTATATAAGCCATTTTGGCGCCCAATATGTACCCCCCAGAAAATGAAGGAGGGGTCTGAAATTTGAACCCCATCATTTTTGGCCAATTGGGTCCCTTTGAAGCCAAAACAGCAACAAAAAAAAAATCAACTTTGGCACAAAAATCCTACGGGATTACATAACATACCGCACTAATACGGCAGTCTCTAAAATCAAACAAACGATACAAACAACTGAATAATGCAATATGTCTCACAATTCTTACCTTTCCTGAGCAAAGAGGTATTCATCGTCATGGATATCGGCTTCTAACTCCTTGAGTTTATCCTCTCTCCTCATCTTGAGGTACTTCTGACGAGATTCCTTCCTTATGTCTGGAACCGTCTTCTTCCGGTCCTCTTCTGCCTCCTCCAGCCTTCTCTTGGCCTCAGCTAGGTCCTGCAACCAAAACAAATTGACGATGGTCAAACTTCCTATCAGATGCACTTTCATACATAATTCAATTCCATTTTAATTATCATCCAACAATGTAAACACACATAAAATAGTCATAAATACAAAAATTAACAAAAAATAGATATAAATGTATAAGCTCCAGGAAATGAGAAAAGATCCATATAATATGTTTAATATTTTTTAAAGGGGGCTTTAAAAGATCTTTGACTACTTTTTAATTTCAGAGAAAGTTTTCCAATGTTCTAAAAAGCCATTTCTGGGCAACTTAGTGATCGTCATTTCCCATTTTTCTTTTGTTGTTCCTGTGTTTGTTTTGTTTTCTTTTTCATATTGATCTATAATGCATGATTTGAATGAAATGAAGATATTCATGTGGACTTTTTCTTTACTAGCTTTGTGGAAAATAAAGTTACCTTGAATGCTAAATCTATATCATTTCATTCATTCATTCATTTTATTTCCAATTCTCGTAAAAAATACAGTCAACAATACATTGTAAATATATAAACAATACAAAGAATATGGAGGAGCCAGCAGAGGCCATTCGCCTTTCAAAGGCTGGGCTCCAATGGCCGCAGGGAGAGAAAATCAAATACATGACCCACCTTCTTGCTGCTCTTGTTACTTTTCTTCTTTGTTCGTTCCTTATCCTTGTTTCTCAGTCTGGCAGCGAAAGCATCCCTCTCTTCAAGATCTCTTCTCCTCTCCTTCTCTTCATCCTCCGTACTGTCCGATTCTGAGCTTGACTCCTCCTTTATAGCTTGTCTGAAATGAAAATAAGTCAGCAAATCATCATGAACTTTTGGGGGTTTAGTTGCATTTGCCACTTATCCACCCAAGCAGAAAGTCTGTCCAGGTCGTCCTGTAGTCTGGTAGCCTCAAGTTGAGTTTTAATGTCAGAGCATATAATACAGTCATCAGCGTATAGTCATACAGTCGAGGATTACTCGTCCGGTAGGTCGCTAACATAGGTTAGAAAGAGTAAAGGTCCAAGCTCTGTACCTAGGGGAACGCCATTCATAACCCTAACCCACTGTGACGTGAAATACACATTTTTTAAATTGATTCAAAATATCACATTGACAAGTTACCACAACCATTAAACCATTGACATTTCTGGCTGATTAAACCAAAACTACCATGGATGTACACTAGTGATCCTATGGCAATTGCTCTGAGGTCAAATTCCTACACTTACCAAATTTCTCCCAAAAAATTAAAAGTTAATGTCAAATACAGCTTCATAACTGAATCTTGTCATTCTGATATATTCAGACTAGACTTGGTCCTACCTCTTGGGCTCTGGCTCGCTATCATCATCGCTACTTTCTTTCTTCTGTTTCCTGATGTGCTCTCGCTTTGTAGTCTTCTGTCTCTGTATCAATAAATAATTGTAAGTCCGGTAAAGGAAATATCAATAAATATACAATGATGTCTAAATGGCCTGGTTTTTACCAGCATCTTCTCTATCTTTAGAAAAGGCATGTCAAAAAGGTTCCAGCTCACAAATTTAACTCCATGACTGCTAGAAATTATGATCTGGGCCCTGTAACACGTAGGTTAGCAAATGATCGTACGGTTGAATTTTGCAATCGATTGCACATCATGATCAATGCAATCAATCACAAAAATCAATCGTTAATTGCTAAGCTTCGTGTCTAGGGGCCCAGGGATATTTATCAATTTGAATATATTCATTGGTAGAGCAGCAAAATGTGTATTTATACTGTTACTGGTTTCGTTTTTTTTTTTTACTGATATGATTGTAGACTTTGATAGAGCTATGCTCAGAGCCAGAGTTAATCCCCTTCTGACACAAACAAACAGTATCATCTCTTGAAAGCCAGAAGGGTGTTAAGTCTCTGTTAAAGCAGAAATAAAAGCCCTTCTGGCTCTCTCTCATCCGATGATATCTTACCTTTTCTCTGACCATCCTGACGAGTTGCTCTTCTTCTTCTTCATCGTCCGAGAGGAGCTGGTAAGATCTGTTCTTCAGTTCTTGTTCAACTGCTTGCTTCTCCTTCAATCTATTGGGATTAACAGCTTGCTGCTTTCTAGGGATCTGGAAAATACATAAAAACAAATCATCAAATAAAAAGTTTAACCACCTAACACAGAGATCTAGTATTTCTAGAAATGTTAGAAGCCACAGGAAGATCAATCTCCCCATTGCATAAAACTTTGCATTTAAGGTAGCTTTGCCATTAATGGTAACTTCCATGGAAACCTTGATTTGATTGGCTGTTGAGTGATGGTAGTTAATATTGATGGCAAGGTCACCATCAGTGATAAGTTTCATGCAGCAGGCCATGACTGACAAAAATAATTTACCAATTGGTCTTAATTTTCAATGGTCCTTGTCCTTCCCCCTAGATAAAGCAAAGAAATCCTTATCCTAGTTTGACAATGACATTTATTTTTAACAAGTACAAGTCCGAGCTCCTTTGCACTTCCTTGAAAAATCAGTGGAATAAATTTTGCATTTTTCTTTATTTTTTCTTCATTTTCTTAAGGCCCCCCCCCCCCCCCTCACAGAAAAAGATCTATATCTTTATTCAATAACAGGGCAAGTTCAAGCTTTTTTGTCTCATATGTTACAGACCATATGTAAGATTTTATAAAGAGTTGTGATTGATGCAAATCATTCACCAGTCCTCTAATCAATCACAAGTTTGCAGTCCCCTTATGACTGGTTAGAATTCATGTTCCTAACTTATATCGTCTCTTTATATTGACGGGACCCTGATCACAGCATACAGTTTAATAGCCTTACTACAGCTCAGATCAGACCAAGAATAAAGTGAAATGTCACCTTGGATGTACCCCACAATACTTGCTTAAACATGGGACACTGAATAACAATATACCTCAGAGTACTTGCCTATCAGTATTTATTTTTGGATTTTCTTAATTTTCAATGCCTTTGCCTCCTTCAAATAAATAAATCAACGTGAATATATTACTGGTTAAAGATACTATGTCCCTTTTGCAGCCAACATCAAATTCTGTAGAACTTTGCAGGAATTATAAATGTCATGTATGTCCTATCTGTGAAATTTAAACATTAGCAGTGTCCTCATATTCAAATTATGCAAGGAAACCTGTTTGCCTACTAGACTTCACTGTCAGACACTATTGAGTGAGTGACTGACATCTTTTTTTTGTGGTAATAACATACATTAAATGAGCTGTAGCAGGTACATGAGCATTTGTCTACATCAATAACCCACTACCAAGTATAACTTTTTACCTTGTTGTAGAGCTCTCCAGCGAAGCTGACCACGCTATTTGAGATATCAATGGTCCCAGTCTCCTTAATTCTCTCTACCAGGTCTGAACTACTTGTTGCCCTCTTGGCGAGTCCGACGAGGAACTCTGCTATGTACCGATCACTGATCCCAAGGACATCATAGAGCTCATCCTTGACCCACTGGTCAAGACTGCCAGATGCCATTTTTGTGTTTTGGTTATCAGTGCGAGGAGCCTTTACCTGTGTAAACATATTGAAATTAAACAACATCAGATCATGATGTAATGATTGAAAACAACCAACAATGATATTTTATTACAGTCTTCGGCTCATTATTTTGCATGTGAGGAGTCTCTTTTTCCTCTCTGTCAGCTGTGGCAACGATAAACAAATGCGATGTAGAGCGTTGAGGTTTCCCTTCATTTTGAAAAAAACGTCATAAAATTAGAAAATGGCGGAACATACATTGTAGCTGAAGACGGTTGGCCCATTTGGTAAAAGTAGGCTCAAATATCTGCAAAACCAAGGAAATTTTAATCAATGAAACTTAGAAGTTCCATTCATTACTTAAATTGTAATCAACAATTAGACCTAATGCAATGAATTATCGATTTAATAACATTGTTTATCATAATTTGCACCAAATGCTTCCATAAAATTAATATGTGCGTCCACCCGCCATGCGAGCAAAAATAGACCTAGACTAGAGTAAAGGAGCCGGTAATCGGCCAGCTCCAGTTTTCGGCCGATTGGTTGGATGCAAGGTAAAATCACTCTAAAATACATCGCATAATAGCATAACACATATCCCACTCATACCATACCATGCCAGTGTCACTGAAATACCACATATGCAATGAAAAATATATCCTAAAATATCAAATTTTAGCGATGTAATCGGCGGTCCCGCTACCCGAATCTGAAAAATCGAGTATCTTACGCGTGTATGTAAGAAATATGGGTACCATAAAATCAGCTTTATTTTAAGTATTTTTCAGATTTAGAGCCCGATTTTGTGTTAGTCGCAAGCTCAAAAGTATCTCATCGCATGTATTAAATCAATGCAGCCGGACCCTGCCACGCACACACGATATGTCTGTCTAATTCAGATTCCAACTTCCGATCACCGCTGTGCCTGTCTTCGGCCAGGCGAGCACCAGGGAGCTCCGGCGTGGGATACCTGCTCCGCCCGCTTGTGCTGTACATCAGCGCTGAAACGCACGGCGCGCGCGAGCGCTTCCTATTGACTTTGTACATGCGGCCGTAAACTGAAACGCTCGGCCGATAACTGGCTCCAAAACAGTGAAAATTGAAATGAATATTGTCATGGCAATTCGTTATTTTTTTCTGGGATTCTTTTTTTGTTTAAATAATAATAATATTTGCTTCATGATTTGAACAAAAAATGATAATAAATAGGAAGTAAAGGGTCCTAAAAATAGGATTTTGTCTTAAGTGGCCGAAAACGGGCTCCTGGCTTTACTCTAGTTCAGGTTCACTTTTGAACGAAGAACCACTCAATGAAACGAACAGAAGTTTCAACAGGACCACCTCACACTTTCGTATACTGATGCTGATGCTGATAATTTGAACTGCAGTACAACAGTGTTGGCCGACTTAACACACAGCCAGGATAGTAATGCTGCTATGTGTGGGATTACTGGGGGGAATGAACATGATCATGGATCTTCACCATACACACACAAAAACAGATACATGGGACTTAAGTAAAAAAAACGGTCCCCCGAAAACGCCGATTGACACTTAATTAGGGTAAAATAACTGAGATTAAATCATATAATTATTAACAATATTATCGGGGTTTGTTATTTACCTATTTTTACGAAGCAAAATAGTCGAATTTACAATAGAGAGACTGCTGAACACTTGTCTCGTTTTCACGAAAATCAAACGTAATTAGATCTATGTTGTTGTTGTTGTTGTTGTGTTTTGAGTTATTGGCGATTAGTCAGTGATTTGACTATTGTCGCCAAATTACTTTACGGCACGTGTTATATCTCTCAATTTTGGATTTTTTTAAAAATACATTTATTTCGTTTTATATTTATCTATCTTTTAAGATATGGAGTATGGTAAGGTATCGTAAATGTGCAGAACCAGAAGCAAAAATAAATTGGAAACAATATTTTGTGAAAAAATTAATAATAATTCAAGATTTTAAAAAGACTTTGTAATAGACATTTGTTTCATTCTAATAAGCATCAAACACCAAATAATGATAATCTGACAAGTAGAAACCTGTTGCGTTACATTTTCGTTAAAGCAACCGAATGTGGACTGAGGAAGTACAGAGGTGCGACAACTAGCCTCAGGCCTATACTCTCAAAAATTATAAAATCCCAAATTTTACAGATAATTGTCCCTAGCTATTTAAAGGGAAAGACTTAAAGCTTATCTGCCATAGTTTACAGGAGGGATTAGAGCGCCCTGCAAGGTTACTGGACAGGTGGTTATCTCATCAACTCAGCTCTCAGTTAACATAAGAAAAAGAGGATCATGGGGGACCAATGGTCACCGATTAGGCATTGTTTGTTATATAGAGGGCGCAAGTAGCTACAAGTAGTGCAGTGGGCCTTTAACAGTCGCAAATAAAATTGACAGAACAATAAAATCATAGCTGTTGTAAAGATATTGGAAAAAATAGAATGAAATTAAAAAGGAATATAACAAAATCGCAATAATGTTCATTCTTCAAAAACATTTTTTGTACAGTGTGTTTATTCCACAAAAGTCTGTCGGATCTTTTTTTTTTAATCCGTAGACAGGATCCAAGTATCAATAACAATTTGTATTGGATGCAGATTAAGATTGTTTATATATAATATATATGTGGATTATGACTCGTTAAAATTCACGTTTCTAACATACCTGTATGATGTTAAGAAGGTTAAGTGGGGCAAATTGTCCCAGTTCACCCCAGTAAGCAAAAAAAAAGCAACAAAATGCCTGTGAATAAATATATATTTGATTAATTTAATTTTTCATCATATCAATATTATTGCAAAGTATTGGGTCTAATTAAATATCAGACCTGTATCATGAAGCCTATATGCAGAGTGTTCACAACAGCTAGATCGTATTATTGGTAAAACATTTATAATGTTTATCACTGAACGCCGAACTAATAAATAAAAAAGATTAGAGTGAAAAAGGACACATCGAAAGTGTGATATGGCCATTTAAAAAAAAATGTTTATATGATTAGTTTTAGAGGGGGGGGGGTGTTGTTGTTTCTTACTTGATTGTTTGTTTGACAGGGTATAATCTTGAGCATATCTTGCTTTCCTTTAATTTTAAGAGCGATATCCGACCATCCTCATCCACTTTTACTATCCTTTCTTCTGAATATTTACTCAAAACAAATTATTCAAGAATAGAAAACACACATGTTCTGAATAACTTCAGAGCGTTTCAAACTTTTTTTCCACCTACACGTAATCTTCCACACAAGATTTCACTATATCTCGGCAACGTTTCATGAACTTCATAATAAAGTACAAGTTCCCCTATACATGAGTGTTAATTTGTTTGGGGGTGCCGGTGAACTTGTATACTTGTGACGATCTCGTGAAAAGCTTCCCTAATCAGTGGCGGATCTCGGGGGGGGGGGATTTCCTCCTTTGGCCCCCAAAACAAGGTAAATTTAACCTTTTTTTTTTTTTTTTTTTTAAAGACGAGCCCCTCCCCCTGGCGCAAGAGGGGGGGGGGTGTTGATTTTAAAATATAGCGCTCACTATATACCCCTCCGGCCTCCCCCCCCCCTTATTCGCCGGATGGCTGATTCGCCGCTAAACATTTTCTATCTGAATTGGGTCGCCTATTTGGCCCTTCCCTTGCCGCCGGCTGGATCCGCCCCGGTCCCTAATCATTATATTAACTTAAAAACACTTCGAGTGAGGACAGAAATGACTGAGTGAACTAACACATTTTATGTGCAGAACTTTATACAATATACTTATTACTCGGTATAAACGTTCATTTCATTTGTTCGTCTTACTCTTAGTCTTCAGTCCTTTATTCTTCTGTATCTGCTTTATCTCGTCTTTTCAATTTTTTTCCTTAATTGTTTGTTTTCCTGTTCATTTCCCTGTTAATGTTATTATTGAATGCTATTTCAATTAGTATATTATTGTATTTTACTAAATCGACGTTTCATGTATTATATTTTAAAGAACTTAAATTAAAAAAACCTCATGGCGGCTATTCTGAATGTTTTGATAATCAACCATATAATATATATATATATACATACATATATATATATATATATATATATATATATATATATATATATATATATATATATATATATATTAAAGAATTTTAAACGTGCCGAAAAAAGGAGGGAGGGGGAAAGCCGGAAAGAGATAAGCGAACATGATCCAATACATGCACCCTTTGAATCAAATAAAGTCAGTTACGATGAAAAACTCGATCCACATAATTACAATTGATTCAAATAGTTTGGCGGAAAAGCCAGATATTAAACAATATTTTTTCTTCCAATGCGACCAGCAGTTATAATTATGTTGTTAATGTAAGGAAAAAGGGTAAAAAGCACAATATGTCAATGAATTTCTCAATAAGGGAAACAGGGGCCTATATAATTGCAAACAAATGAGTCTTGGGGAAGGTTATCCCTAAAAAGGTTAGTTTGTTACGTTACTATTCAAATATCCCTGATTCCAGCTTATTGGTAACATAAGCTTTCCTATTATTGATGCCATGTTAGGGAATACCACACATATTTTGTTTGGCGGGGTTTGGCAAATACGTTTGATGTGTTAAAAAAGAAATTTGCGTCTCTTATATGTTTCCTTGTGCTGCATGAGGGTGGATCATATATAAAACAAAACTCTATTTTGTAGAAGAGATAAATATCTCCTGAATTTATCTAATTGGTTATCTTGATGTCCCGAACAGTTTGGTTAGATCGACATTCCTTTGAGAGAAGAAAAAAAGCAAAAAGAAAGAAAGAAAAGAAACAAAGAGCTCTTTGATATTGTACCGATAGGTAAAGTTGCATGCTGCCCTCTTACAGCCCATATTCGAACGACTCCTATCAATATATTAAAATGCATGTTCAATCAAAGCATTCCATGAAATTTTAATATATTTGATTTATCAATTGAACCTTCAAAATCCCTGAAAAAAAACTCCATAGATGACCCCAGGTTGCGAATCCCAGTGCAAACAAACAAGATAACCAAGTGGCGTATCCTGACATTGGCCTAGATCAGGAGGGGCATACCCTTACAAAATGCCATGGTAACCATGGTACTTTTGTCCAAATAACCATCCACCATGGTAACCATGGTTATCATGGTACCAAAACAATGAAATACATTGGGTCATTAAACAATGTATTTCATTGTTTTGGTACCATGATAACCATGGTAATTTGGACAAAAGTACCCTGTCAGCTTATTCTGATCCATAATTATAGGTCAGTGAGGAAACCATTTTATTAGGGCCCTGGTTTGTAATGGGGAGGGAGGGGAAGGGAGGGGGGGGTTGAGGAATTGCCCCAAATTACTTGCATTTGTGGAAGAAAAAGTGAATATTAAGAATGTGTCTATATTTCATGCGTTTGTGTATGGTATAAGGGGAGGAAGGGGGTGGGGGATTGCCCCCAAAGAACTTATTTTTTGGTATAGAAAAAGTGAAGGTGTGTTTCTATATTCCTTGTGTGTCTGTCTGTCTCTGCAATTGTTCTGACTCACACCTATGACTATATTAAAGGTAGCTCCATTATACTTTCAATTGATTGCCTTGAATGTGTCTGTTTCCTTAATTGCTAAAATAAAGTAAAATAAAAATGAAGAAAATAAAAGAATCACATATCTGTCAGGAGGGGCAAATTACCCCCACCCCCTCCCCATCACTGCATTTCCCCTCCTTCAAATATTCTAATGACCCGACCCCATTGTCATTACTAGCCCAATGATGGGGATGCGTGTATCCTTCTGGCTTTCAGTCCCTTCTCTCTTGTCATATAGCCTAATTTTTGACATGTTTGTGCTGATATGACCCTTGTTTAAACAATGATTAATTGCATCCTAACCAAGCAAATACAGATATAGGTCTAATCTCTCATGTAGTATCAAACATTCCGATTAACATAGACCTTGATGCCCTCGCCGATATCATTAAAATACAAATAACAAACGCAAATAAGATTGACATCGCAAAAATAATTTATTGGTGTACAACTGAACCAAAAGGTTCATCATCGTTAGAAAATTTCATGAGTTAAGTATCATTGCTTGGGTAACCATTTCTTATTACATGCAGGGTCGTTACATGTGTCATGAATCTCATCACCTTTTCACACAGTTAGGATATGAAATTAGTAGTGTTGGCAAGATAGAATATTTTTTATAGCATCATATAATTAAGCATCAATCTACCTTATTTTTTCACCTTCATAAATGAGTGGAAATTATGGCCATATAACATTAAACCTATTTAATAATTTGAAATAAATAACTGCATTATGAGAGAAATATTCGGGGCAAGACACTAAAATTATCCATCAAGACTTGGCTTTATTTCACTTAAACAAGTTATGCTATCCATTTAGTTATAGGGTATTTTCTGTTTTTATTCAATAAAGGTTAGAATATAGTACCAAATAAATGAAATAACCAACAACAAAAGGCTCAGCTATCTTGTGATATATTGACATTTCAATCAAAATGTGTAAAAAAATGACGGCAATAGCAATACCTTACTCTTTAATTCTGCTACCCAAATAGCATTAGTGTCCATGGCATGAAATGAACAGGAAAGGCAATGTTAGACACAGTAGGTAATCTATATATGTCATGGTTATAATAAATGAGATCTTTCTCTTTCAAGGGGCACCATCTCTTTGTAGGTCCATATCCTGTTCACTTTATAAGAAATTAATATAAAACTCTTATACAGGAACGTTGTATAATTAAACTAGCTTTGAAGAGGTCAGGTGACATTATCGTCTGTTTGGAGCCAGAAGGGTGTTAACTCATTTATATAAAAACACAGAGTTAATGCCCTTCTGGCTCTGAACAGAGGATATATACCATGGATATAAATATATACTAGCGACCATGGTGTCAGCTAACATGATAGCTAGCCAATCATCATTGTTCACAAGATTATGTGAATGATCCCTTCCCAGTTATATACACTTAAGTTTTTTGGTACGATACAAAGTTCATATAAAGAGTGGACCCTCATTTTTTAACGAGTGTTTGTTAGAAAAGATGCTTCAACATCCATTTGGCTACACAGTTCATTAAAAAAAATACTAATTGTATAGTGATATGGTTCTCAGAGTCATAGGGCTGTACGTTTTATTTTGGTAATCTGAAGGGGGGGTGTTAGACTCATAAATACATCGTACCTTACAGACGTAAGGTTATGGGCATAATTAGGAGGCAATGGGAACTGACTTGAGCGATGCTAACATTTACTTAACTGCAATATTTGGACAGCTCTCTACGCAAGGAGTGGACTTTAAGCAGCAAATATTTGTCTTCTAGTTGAGGAGTGACAACTGACAAGTGACTTTGGTACTAATACGTTAACCAATTTACTATCAAAGAAAGGAACAAGGCTTTTAACATATCACCGTGACATTTCAGTCTTGAATGACAAAACCAAGACAAAGTTTATCAAATGGTCAAATAAAAATTATTCACTGGAAACAGATCCTTCATTCAAACATATTCTCAGAGAAGCATTTATTTGTTCATTAAACACAATGGGAAACTTTGTTCTTCTCACTTCATAAGATTGACTAGAACACACTTGTAATATCCTGATATGTTTCACACTATTTCCTGGAATAACGCAAACAATGATACATGCACAGATACAAAGATAGGTTTAACCAAGGACAGGGTTTTGAGCTATGGTAAAGATGAAACTTGTAACTTGTACGTCATTTTGGAAGAATATCACAGTAGAAATTGTTACCCGATAAAGATTGTTTCTTAAATGCCCCACATTCAAAATATGAGCAAGAGCTTTGCTTGCAAATGTCAATTCTTTTGGAATACCTTCCCTGAAACCCACTTAAATCACATCAATAATAAATTGAAATATTTAGTTTAAAGTTCCACATTATATTTGCATATGAATATACTCTGGAAAAATGTCTGGCCGAAAATGTGTAGCATATTCTCTTTCAAAGTGAATTCAAAAGAGAGTATTGGTTTATTTTTTCCATAAAAAATAAGTCATCACTAAAAAAAAAGAGTTGAGAGTTTATTTTTTGGCAAGCCCTCGACCTGAATGAAAGGTACAAAGTATGACAAGAAGTAATGATTCTGAGTTTAGAAAGCACTCATATATCTAGGTACATTACAGGTATTACCCCTGTCATAAGATTCAGATTTTATTACAATGTTTGCACATTCTCCACTCCCTGGGAAGCATTCCAGTCAGGCACAATTTTCCAGATGCTTAAAATGCTGAGTAAACTACAATGACTTTCACACATCCTACTGGGTATCATTATAACACCTGGGTGGAGAGAAGCAAGGCCCTGCTTCAGGACATAAGTGCCTAAGAATGTCTTTAAGTCTCAATAATGTTCAGTCATTGACTATCTCCCTTTACTCATTTTCTGTCCACTGCAGTCCTCGTGATTCTCATCTCCCAGATCTTGATCGGTGAATTTCACAGCCTTCCGTTTCCCTCTCATCTTCCTCTTCTTCTCCTTCTCCGTCTTGTCCTTCCCATCGTCCATTAATGGAGTAATGTCATCCTTTCTACCACCTCCTTGACATCCATTTCCATTTAAGAAAGGCTCTTGCAAGGATTTCTGCTCCTCCATCCTTGTATTTCCATCTCCGAGAGTGCCATTCTGTTCTTTCTGCACTCTTTCTTTTCCTCCACTATCGCTCAATCTCTCATCAATGAGTTCTCCATTCTGATTGGATGGCTCGTCAGGTCCTTCTGTCACCTGATTGGGTAATTCCATAGTCCTTATTTGCATATGATTTGCATTGATGTCTTCTTCAGGTTGAGTTGATGGGTTGGTACCCTCTGAGTTGACGTAGGCAATGGCAGGGTTGGGGAGCGGGTCTGGACTGGCTGTGCCTGGTGGAGTAGAAAAAAGAGAGAAAATTAACAAGATATTGACGGAACAATCAAGCTGATATTATGAATACTTATCAAATATCTCACAAATATGAATATATATTCAGACGATAACTATTCCGCGAAAACTGCCATGTTCCTGAATGATTGGAAATTCACACTCTTTGAGATATTTAAACAAATTGTCACAATTTTGATTCATCTATTTTAATATTATAATCATTCAGAGTAGCAGCATTTTGTGTATGAGAGGCAAACACTATGATATCAATACATTAGAAGAGAACAAAATTCTAGTGCCATTAAGCTAACAAAAATAGTGTTTATAAATTATAGTTGGATTGCAAATGTTCTCTTTAATGTCACAAATTCAAGGCAATGTAGTATTTTGACCTAGGCCCTGTAACACAAGGGTTGCGATCAATTGCAAATTTGAAATAATGATTCTGATTGGTTGATAGTCAGCCTTGTTAACAATAATTATGTTACTTGCAACTATGATCTTGATTGGCAAATACCGTTTTGCAATTGATTGAAACTTTTGTGGCACAGGGTCCAGGAATATATTTGATGCTAATGATCACATTATTAACATCATTAAATAATAATTTAATTGTAAAACTACACCAAACATGCTGTTAGTACCGGTATTTATAACAAAAAATGGCCAAAGTAGATTGTTGGACGCTGTACATTTGTCTGTTCCAATGGCTGCATTGGCAATTAAATACTACAGTCTAATTTAAATGACATTATTCCAATTATAATAAACTTGCATTTTAAATGAGGTAGTCATATGAGTAATATCATATTCAATTACTTGTTATCACCCTTAACAAATAAGAATGGGAAATGACAGAAAAGGTTACACATAAAGATAACATAATAAATATAGCCTGTATCAAGACAATTTAAATAATATCATGTGTAGATATTCTGCACGATTCAACTAATGCATGCATGCAAGTCTCAAAACTGTATTTAAAGAATGATAGGAATCTCACAGTAACAAAAAAAACCCTGAAAGATCCAGATTGGCCAACCATTGGTATAAACCCTTTTGTCCATCTGTATACATTGTATAACCCAACAAAGGTCTATCGAAGGGAGATTCCCTATTCAATCCCAGAAGCTAGAGGTGGATCTACCAGATCCCCTTTCTTAGCTATTCACAGGTTTTTGTGTAGTGAACCTTCTCCCCCCCCCCCCCCCCCCGCCTTATGTTATCCCTTTTTTGCTTTCTTTTTTAAAAATTACTAATGGCCCTTAATTCTGTATATCTTATAATTAACAGTTTTTAAAAATCTGATGACCCTTTTCCAAGTCATTTTTTCTGAATTGGACCCCCACCCCCCCCCCCCTTGACGAATTCCTGGAGCTGCTCCTGCCATTGAGCCATCGAATTACAATGAAATATCACATAGTGGATCTGTAACCTTCTATTGATTTGCAGTTCATTGAATCTGATTCTCTTTGTATTGGTCCTTAAAGCTGCATGGTTTGCATTGATCTATTCTCAGTAATGATCGCGACTAGAGGAAGGACGCTCATCAAAATTGATTGACCAACACAATTCAAAGTGACCTGAGGGGGATTTCCCATATAATTCCCATGCAATACGGGATTAATTGACTCAGCGATGCATGTCAACAAGGCAAGTATCAACTGATAATTGGCCAGTGACTATATTCTCATTCCTTATCAGCATATATACGTGTATGATGTGTAGTATGTAACATTTGTATCCCACTGTGTACCCATTTATCATCTGGGTAAAGAGAGGCAGTGTAGACAAAATGCCTTGCTTAAGGGCATTCATGCCAGGGCTGGGTTTGAACCCAAGACCTCTGCACTGGCCTGGTCTACAACTCAATGTGTTATTCTGAATTTTCTGAAATTAAATAACGACTGAAAACAGTAATAAAGATAAATATATATGACCAAGCTTTAGCTTTTACATCCCAATAACGATCTACATTACGAAAATGCAAAGTTGAATTGATCTGTTACACCGCAAGTTATCACCAATCGACCTTTATTACAAAACAGTGAAATTCATTAAGTCCAATTGGTCTAATAAAAAAGGGCACTACATTAATGAACTCCACATCTATGATAGAAGGATTTTTAATTAGATTAGTCTTTTGTCTTTTGTCCTTCAGAAGTAATTCAGCCTCACCGCACAGATCAATTTCATTTAATCATTTTATTGAATGTTGCTATTGTTTGATTAGTTTTAATGGCACTCGTACTTTATCTGATGATAGTCTCTCATTCCAGACTTGGATATTGCACATTATCTTGAAAGTGATGAGAATTCTTATTTCACATGAACAGAAGAAAATGATCTATCGTGAATGCTGTAAATAAAGTCAAAGAATCTACCAATGTGCAGGACATGAGTACAAATTAGTACAAACATAATATAAAAATACTTATAAAGCACCTATGTAACTAGAAATTATATAGAGAACTATATCAAATCTATCACAAGATAGAATATGACCAAAAAAAAAATTATTTTCCTACTGCCATTTTGATGTGATTTCACAGAAATAGTTATGATACAAATAAAGTATTTAGGAAACTAGAATTTACAACAGATGCAGATTATCAATAATATCTGTTCAGAGAGAAGGAATATCTGTTCAGAGAGAAGGAATATCTGTTCAGAGAGAAGGAATATCTGTTCAGAGAGAAGGAATATCTGTTCAGAGAGAAGGAATATCTGTTCAGAGAGAAGAAATATCTGTTCAGAGAGAAGGAATATCTGTTCAGAGAGAAGGAATATCTGTTCAGAGAGAAGGAATATCTGTTCAGAGAGAAGGAATATCTATTCAGAGAGAAAAATTAGAAATTCATTTGTGTTCCTGCTACTATTTGATGCAATTTCACACTTCATTAGTGAGGTCATATTAGACATATCGTCGCTGTTTTCACGAAGTGATGGTAGTGAACAAAAATTGCATTCACTTTGCATGACGATTTTCCTCACTACCGTCACTTCGTGAAAACAGGGACGATATAATCATCAATCATTCTTTCATCTACAACCGGCTTCCATTATAGTTGACCTTGCTAACAAAATACACTACTGCTGCATGGGATATAATTGCAAAAGATCAGTATAAATCTACTTTCATTGTCTGCCTTAAAGTGCATGTACATTTAGACCTTTCAGTTAAGACCATATCAAAAAAAAAATTAAATCTTGATATGCTTATAAACTTGTGACAGTTACACTTTGCTTTTATATGAATGATTTGTCAAGGATTTTCAAGCAGCTTAATTATTAATACTCTCTCTCTCTCTCTCTCTCTCTCTCTCTCTCTCTCTCTCTCTCTCTCTCTCTCTCTCGTTTCTGGCAGTATAATTAGAAAGTCTGAGGGCCCTTTGAACTGATATGCACTATTTGTTGATGTTTCTGGTGATGAAAATGTTAGAAACACATAACTACATTAACATGAGTGGCTGTTGTATAATGTTACCTACAATTTTGTTATAAGTTCATTCGTGCAGTCAGTGTTATACTAATGGTTGCTACTTCAATGGGGGTAATATAAACAGAAACAGACCGCAAGGATCTATTTGAATATGAACACAAGATCATCAATCATTCTTTTATCTATAACAGCTTTCATTGTAGTTGGCCTCCCTGATGAAAAACACCTTAAATATATCTCACTCTCTTACTTGGTGTGCATATAATATTCAAAAAGAGTAGTATAAATGTATAAAGAAATGGTTTGCTTTTACCCCTGTGTATTTAGCCATTTCAGTTAAGACCATATACGACATCAAATTTCTTCTCTCTAATAAATTGACACTTTCTAAATTCCAAGATGAATTGTTTTATAATACATTTTCGAGGAGCTTTAACTCATTCCACTGGTGCTGTTGGGAAAAATTGGAGGTCCTCAAGCCCCTAAGTACTATGTGCACTCAGTGTTTTACGTTTCCAGCGATGTTTTTAAATGTTAAAATTTGGGGTAGGGAGCTCTCCCGAGTTGAAAGTGTAGGGCACATGTGCGTGCTGGATACTGGATCTTTAATGTCAAGCCTTTGTAAAGCTATATGAATAGATGTCACAGCCTGTATTCTAACAAAGAAAAAAGCAAGCATATTTGTGCATTTAGTTTTGAATGAATAGTTGCTACTTTACTGGAGAAGGACGATTTGTTATTCTGTTTGATCATGAACATTAATTCATCAATCATTCTTTCCTTTCATCTATACATAATGTAGCTGCTATTGTAACACCCTTTCATTATCTCTCACTCCAAGAGTCTATATGCACCCTGGGAAAATACAAGTAAGGCGTACACTGTAAACGGTGTAGAGTCAGTAAGCAGTGTAATTGAGGTGTAGGCTGTATTCCCTAAAATATTCATATGTGCTTCTTAGATAAAAGAAGTATTGGTATTGTCAGGCTTGTATTGATGAAAGAATGCAAACCACAAAGGATCAAGCTTCTACTACTGTTCGCAAAAATGAAAGAAAAGAAAAAATCCTACCACCATCTTGAGGTTTGTGTAACCATGGTAATCAATGTGTGTCAGAAGGATGTAATTAGATGCCATAGCTATTACCCCCCCCCCCCCCCCCAAGAAAAAAAAAGAGGAAACAAAATCAATGAAGTATTGTATTACTAAGTTGGAAAGATGATCCTTTACCCAACCTCTAGATTCTGACACACATCTGCTGGAGTTGGTTTGTTTACAGTGAGTAACATACTGTTGCTATGGCAACATACAAAGGTCGTGGCTGAGTGAGGAAGATTCATTTACTGGTCAAAATCAGAACTGTGGAGACTGGAGAGCCCCCCAGGCAGAAATGTTCATACATCAGTGGAGCGAAACTCTTCTGGAGACCACAAAAAGCAATTACATACATTCAATGAAAAGTGCATGTTTGAATAAATCCTGATAAAAATAGGCTGGCAATTATTCTGTGTGATGGTGTCTTGTCACAAGAGTGTTTTTTGTTCAACTTCTTTTTTTTTTTTACAATGTCTCTTGAGAATTTGACATATGTAGCTAGCTCACATCTGAAAATATCAAAGACCCAAAATCAACCAGTCCATCTTTCAGTCTTGAGTTACCAACAATACAGAAAACAACAAATTTACAAAGGGTATTGATTAATTCTGTTGTTAGTTTTATCTTATTAAAAATCAGGGTCACTTCTTTAAATCTACAAAATCAATTAATCAATCAATATATAAATCCATGATGCCTCACAAAGAACTTGGTAGAAGTGATGGTATCTTTGACCATAGGGTCGCAGAAATACAATCAAACAACATAACCAGGATGGTGGGAAATTAGTGATGCCTCCACAAATAACTCATGCTTATTAAAACTAAACTCCTAATTTTAGCTTAGGTTTCTATTAAATATTGAGAAAAATATATGATTGTTATCATCCATATGATAAATATTTAGTAAAGATCATCATCACCAACAACATCAACATCAACATTATCATTGTCATCACCAACAACATCAATATCAACATTAACATCAACATCATAAACATCATCAACATTGTCATCAACATGATTGCATACAGGATTATGTACATAATTATTAACAAATTGTGCCCCAAATTTATGACATATATATATTCACGGGAATATATGAAACAGGCAACAGATAAAGGTCTGGTTCTTTGTGAAAGGTCTCAAAAGGTGAATACATCACATGAAGCAGTCTATAAATTTGAAATCACCCAGCAATTATAAAACAGGGAGCCTCGTAACCATAGCTACCAGCGATATTCTGCTTTACACCTAAGGGAGCATAAATAAATTATTGATTATTTACCACACACGTAATACTGCTTCATAAGCTATTCTTTATCAAGCCCATCTATTCTGGCAATACAAACTGGTTTTTCTGCATGTTATTATAATTCAGATCCTGAATATATTTGATGCATTTTCAGTTAGAATCAAATCATTCTCCAATTATAAACAATGTCTAATTTTGGTATAAATGTATTGCCATATTATTCGCCTTTGATGGTTGAAATGTACCTCACGGTGTTCCCTTTAGAATGAAAATCATAGGTATGCAATGCGATTTGAAAATGACACATTAGAATGTAATTGTAGAGAAATATATTCACAGACATCAAATAAAAGACAATGACTAATTAGCTTTTTGAAATGCTTAATGATAAGTGCAATGTGTCTTATTATGTGTGTTCAGTACAAAACATCCCTTTCTATTCCACTTAAAAATGAATTGTACGTGATTTATTTTCTACTTAATGATAATACCACTCATAGATTTTCTATGAATTAAAATGAACAATAGCATTTGAATGCTCAGATGCTTCATGTTTATTAATCAAGAATAAGGAAACATAATTACACTAGATTCAACATTAGACTCTGCTGGGTCTGTGTATACAGTCAAACCTGCTTTAGTGACCACCTGTCTACAAAGACCACTTTTGTGCTTCCCTTGGGCGGTTGCTATAGACAGGTTTGACTGTATAAACATCATGCAAGAACTCCTCTATTAGACTCATACCATTCTTAAATGATTATCTTCCGCATGGCAGACTGTTAATTACTACGAGATAACCATCTCTTGTAGTTCTCTATTTACAAAAAGCCTTTAATTAAGCTTGGTTGCTATATGCACTCTCAAGAGTGTAGTTATGTACTGTCTAGTGTGGTCTAATTTATCAGTCTTATAAGATGCAGTATGTAATGAGTGCCTTTCACGAGATTCAATGGCCATTAAACTTACCATTACTGATGCTGTACTTTATTAAAAGTGTTTCCACTATATTAGATATCAAATAAAGATTGCTACTCTGAGTATGAATTTCTACTCTTATGGCTCTTGATGGATCATACACAAAAGAAGAATAACATTGAAGAGAAAAGTACAAACAGAGAAAAGCACCAAGTTTGACACAATGACAGACATGAGCACTGTACACGGACCCACTGTATATCATTATCTTTTCTCTTTTTTAGCAAAATTTAATAGGAAGAAGACTGCATCGAGAGTAGAGGAGATGATTTTGAAAAGAAACAGATAATGATGAGGAGATGGAGGAAGAAAAGGAACAGAAAAAAGAGGAGTACAGGAAATTATCACAAGGTTGTGTACCATGAGCAATTAAGTGTCACACAATTGACAGAACCATCTTGGGCTTGGCGTTAAAATGGGTTTCAGAGTTAGAAGAATAAATATCTTTTTGCCTACATGAACTGGGTCTGGGTGGTTCCTGTATTAAAGGGAAAGTCCACCCCCAAAAAAAGTTTGTTTCGATAGAGGCAGAATAATAAGAAAATCAGGTGAGTGAAAGTTTGAGCAAATTCTGAATGAAAATAAGAAAGTTATGAATTATTGAAGTTGTGATCAATCAAATACAAATTGGCAACTCTGTGACTTATTATACGAGCTCTTCTTCATTTGCTTTGTGCATAATATTCCATAAAATCATGTTTTCTTCGTTATTGATGACGGAATATATATTTGTTCCTTGCAGGGGGAGTATAGAAACATATTTGCAATTATTATATTTAGGGTGCATGTATGGTTGAAATTTTTCTTGAGGGAAAATGAAAATTTTAGATTTTTTTAGTACTGAGCAAATGGAAGTTGAGCTCGCATGATACGTCATAGAGTTGCCAATTTGTGTTTGATTGATCACAACTTCAAAAATCCTAACTTCCTTATTTTTAATCGGAATTTGCTCAAACTTTCACTGACTTGTTTCTCTCATTTTTCTACTCCTATTAAAACTAACTTAATTTCAGGGTGGACTTCCCCTTTAAGACAACAGTGTATGGGAATAGAAGAATTTAGTGGTCGAAGGGTTTAAAATAGGAAGACAAGAAGGAAGATAAGAACGAAGAAAGGAACATAAGGAAGGTAGGGAAGAAAAGGAACATAAGGAAGGTAGGGAAGATAATTTTGGTTGCTTACCATCCGATCCTCGGACTGAGATGGAGACAGCAGGCGAGATGATGTCACTGTTCACCCCTGATGACCTCCAAGACATCCATGTGCTGGTTGAAAGACGTTCTTTCTCTGCCATGGCATTCTCAGAAATTGTCTGTTTGTATAGAATTATAAATAATCATAGTAGCAGGAGTAATAATGATAATGAAAATTACAAACAAAAAAACAACAAGAACAATATGATAACAATAATAATAAGGTCAAGTCCTGCTTGTTCCAAGATTTTTTCTGCCTCGTTTTCAATTACAGATCGATCCATCAATCTCATTTACTGGGTGTAAGCCACAAATATGTTTAAACAATTTAAATTTCTCCCGGGAAGCATTACATTTATGAAAAAATAAAAGTAATAATGATAATTATACTACTACTAATAATAATATTAACAATAAGAATTATAACAATAAGAACAATAATAATATGAATAGCAATCATAATAATAATAACAACAACTCAGGGGTGAAGGAGGCAAGGTTGCAATCTTGAATAAAATTTGGACAAACAACCTCCTGCTGCAAACATTTATAATATTTTACAAACACCAATTTGTTTGGAAATATGGGAAAAGGAGAGGGGGGGGCAGTAGGCCAGTTGTTTTAAAAGATGGAGGGGTGGTAAGGTCTGACTGTACCCTCTAAACACAACAGTATTTCATTTTAAGAGAGAAAGACAATTGCCTTACCTTTGCCATGACTTGTTTCTTGGCATGCCTCTCCATGACAGCTTTCTTCCTTCTCTCTCTTGCTTCATCTCTGCCAACTCTTTCACCTCGTAGTGGGGCTGGTTGAACTACAAAGATAGAGCGAATGAAGGATATTAATATATATTTTTAATCATTTTAATATTCAGTATTAGTTCATTCTGCAGCATCTATATGTATCTGTGAACTTAAAGAGAAGGGGAGTTTTGAGAAGGTGGAAAGTATTTTGATCTTTTTTGTTCATGAGTTAGTGTAGAAGAATATCCTAGACCCCAAAAATGTCTTCTGAAAAGGATCGCTCTGCAAAATATCAAAAAATTTGAGATATGACAAGAAGTAGCTAAAAATGAAGCTCAGTTATACATGTAATTAGGCACAGGGGCCATTTTTCCTTCACTGCAACTGACTATCAAAGTTGAATTTCCCTTTAACTCACTCTATCAAAATATATACTTACACACAAAAATGATAAATATCGTCGCTGTTTTCACGAAGTGACGGTAGTGAAAAAAAATTGCATTCACTTTGCGTTACGATTTTCCTCACTACCGTCACTTCGTGAAAACAAGGACGATATTTATCAAAAAAATTAATGATAAATTGCCTAAAATTGATTTCTGAACTTTCTGTAGCAAAGTTTATAATCAACCCATTTACTGCTGAATTATCTCATTCCCATAGTCTTCATACATGATGCAACTGGTTCCCAAATGCAATAGGTTAAATTGTTACTAAACCACAATCAGAGTTTCATATTGGATTAAAACAACATTTACATGTCTTGCAAAAATATATATATTCCAGAGAATTAGAAAACTCCTGATCAAAATCAGGTACAATATTTTACAAATCTAGCCGCGACTGATATACTCTGTTATTTACGAACAGAAAGCCTTTAAAGTTTTAACAATACCGCTCTAGTATACCTTCCCCTTGAATAAGGGCCTACACAATACATGAAGACTGGTGCGAAATAACCTGCATAATTCAGATGTATTGTGTGTTTCTAGGCAACTGCATAGACTCGTGCATTTTATCAAAAGCCAAGAAAGACAAGGCTGAAATGCAGTGTGACTCCAGTACTGTTATGTGTTTAGCACTCAGAAAATAAAGGTGAAGCTACAATAAACAGCCTTTATCGGATATTCATCCTTTTATCCGTCTAACAAGGCCTATATGTCTTTGCATAAAGGAGAAAAGATAATTGAAGAGAGATAATTGAAGAGAAAGAATTGGAGAGAAAGAGGGAGAGAGAGAGAGAGAGAGAGAGACTGAGAGGGAGAGAGAGGGGGGGGGGGCAGAGAAAGCCAAAAGAGAAATAGAAAGAGATATAGAAAACAAGTGAAGCAGAGAAACAAAGAGGTAAAGAGAAAGAAAGGGAGAGACAGACAGACAGAGAGACATATAATCTCATACAGTTATAGAGCAGAGAATAGATTAATTAGGAGATAGAGGAATTAGGAAAAAGAGCATAAGAGAAAGAAAAATATATAATTATAGAGAAAGAGAAAGAGAGAGAAAAAGAGAGAGAAAAAGAGAGAGAAAAAGAGAGAGAAAAAGAGAGAGAAAGAGAGAGGGACAGAGAGATCTAGGGGTAATATAAATGCCTTCATGGTATATAGTCTATGAAGAATCAATTATTGTCATAAATTAGAATATAGTTATAATTAGAAAGATGTTGAAATATATTTTTGCACTGCAATAGACTATCTCTTGAACAGTGTGGGCATGGTAAATCCAGCTACATCAACATCCTTCTGTTCGAACTAGTTCATATTAAATATTTTTCATCAAATCATTACCCCTTTCTAATCTCTTGGTCTCTTTATTTAACCCCCTCCCATTGTTTTATATATATATATATATATATATATATATATATATATGTATATATATATTTCACCTTCTCTCCCTCTCCATCTCTCTCTTTCTCTCTCTCTCTCTCTCTCTCTCTCTCTCTCTCTCTCTCTCTCACTTTCTCTAGCTCTCTTCTTTGTTTAATCTAACAAATTAACAACAAAAGACAAAAACAAAAACAAATAAACGTATTTAGTGGAATAGATATATCAAACATAATACAATTATTTATCACTAGCTGAAATATTTCAATTTACAATTTATAGTCATAACATTCAGAAAAATATTAAATAGTATTCTATGATAGAAATAATGTTTCCATTCTTGTTCATTCTCGATTCTCCTATAAATATTCAGATTAATCATTTCTGTCAAAAGCACTGAAGAAAAAACCCCACACACGCTTGAGTTTTCCTGTTATATATCTATCACAGACAGATAAAGATATATGACCTATATCGTACAAAGAGAGATATATTATTTATACAGTTGAAATATATAATTTAACTTAAGATGAATAATTTCCTCACCCTTTCCATTTGCTTGATTTATGTTGACTTTCTGTCCATTTGAATTCGACTTGGCAACAATATTCGATATGATAGATTCCGCACATCCCATTGTCCAGGTCAGAATGAGCAAAGATGTTTCTTTCATACGAACGTTCTCCTTTCGAATTAAGAATTATACCACCCAGGCTCAGCACATGCAGAGCAATAGGGTAACCGTGGTGAGATTGCAACGGGGGCTGGCGGGTTGGAAAGCTCGTCGTGAATCGGTGTGAAGCTCATCCGGATGTGATAAAACTATTTTCAAAGAGTCGCGACGCAGAGACAGATCTATAGAATTGTGATGACTTTTCCAGTCTATGTCCCGATGGAGTAATCCTTTTATAAATCTTTCTTGACAAAACTTCCGTGAGTTTATCGACTTTCTCACACAACTACTGAATTCATCGTCACGGTACGACGGGTATGAATAGGATTTGTACTTGGTGCGGTAAAGTGTGCCGAACGTCGCACAGTTGCCAAAATCGAAGTGATGACGTATGTTATGCCAATCATGCGCGTGCGTGGATTCTGCAAGTTAATTGGGTAAAAAGTTCTGCCCGCAAGAAGGTCATTGCTGCCATCGAAAATAAAGAACTCTTACATACAACCTTCTTTATGTCTTGCAGACAGCCGACAGTGTATTGCGTAACAAGAAAGCCCACAAGAGAAGTCGAGCCAAGACAAGCATTTTTCTTCTTCTATTTATTTATTTGACGCTGAGTGGGGCATTTCTACGTTATGATGAATACGGTCTACAGTTTGTATACCGTCACTATGTAGGCCTCATGCATTTGTATTTAAAAGGGAAGGGAAATGGAAGAAAACTATAAACAGGGATGAAGAATTTTAAATGTATAAACACAAACAAACAAAATCAAACAAAAACATACCTTTAATTCGTGACTTTCGTTGTGACTAGTTTAATACCACTCTTATGATGAGCCACAAGTTCCCCCATGGAGTATTAGTAACTCCATGGTTCCACTACTTCCCCAAAAATAAATATATCCTTACTCTTGAAGCAATTCTATCAGAGATGAATTTAAAATATTTTCTGAAAATGAAAATTATATCAGGTAGTATTTGTTCAAAGAAAATTTGCATTGTTGGTAAAAGTTTAACAGGATTGTGAATCAGAGCCGGATCCAGGATTTTGTAAAAGAGGTTGCTCAATATGCATACAAATGTGATGATAAAATAGGTCCTCACATCTAGCTCTTACTCAGGTTGTCTTTTAATCACTTCAAATTCAGCAAGAGCACTCCAGCAACTCTGGCTCCACGCAGAAGAAAAAAAGATGAAGAAAAATAAGAAGAAAGAAGAAGATGAAGAAGAAAGGAAAAAAGAGGAAAGAAAAAGGAGAAAATAAAAAGAAGAAAAGAGACAAAGAAAAAGAAGAAAGAAGAAAGGAAAGAAGGAGAGAAGAAAAAAGAAGATGAAGAAGAAGAAAGGAGAGAAGAAAAAACAGAAGAAAAATAAAAAGAAGATGAAGAAGAAGGGGAAAAGAAGAGAAAAAGGAGGAGAGAAGAAGGAAAAAAATGCAAAAAATTAATAAGAAAAAAGATGAAGATAAAAAAGACAGGCAGCCCCACTAGCCATAATTAATTTTCATTGATTTAAGAAGTAGAATTTTTTTTTCTTTATCCAAAAATAAGAGACATATTGGCCCATATTCTACTAAAACTACTCCAACAAAAAAAACAGGAGGTTAGTATGAGGTCTAAGTTGTATTTTGTTAAACTAGCACTAGTTAGTACTCTATTTGAATATGGACTGTTACAAATATTTGGGCAGCTGAAACAGAAAAATACAACAACAAAAAACACCCAGACAAACAAAACAACAAACAAACAAAGACCAATCACACCAAAGGCCTGTATTTCAGAGATGGTATGATTTATTAGAGCATTTTTTTTTTTTTTTTACAAACTTCTGAATCATTCCAATAATCAAGATGGCACAGTAGTACTGAATAATCAGGAACCATATTTTTTAATTTCACAAGAAATAATATTGTATTATTTATTGGTCTCTTAACATCTTGCCTCGAAAATTATCTTTTTACATGTTTATGAATTACAATTTCATTTTTGTTGTATCTGCGTAAATTGGCACAAAATATATTTCTAGAGCCCTAAAAGGACAATACAAGTATACCTTAAAAACAGCATGAGTACAAAAATTCATGTACCTTCTGGACTAATTTCTAACTTTGCAAAAAGAAAAAAAAAAAGTATAAAAATTTATGGTCACCGGTAATCTGGCACAAACATGTTTCTTTACACAAGCAGTATATGGTTTTTAAAAAAAGAGCAAGATATCTCTACAACTAAAATGGGAGTAAATAATTTAAGAAAATTAGACACAAAGACAGGAGTTGAACTGTTTATCATCATTTCCACTGTAATAATACAATACCGGTAATATCCTGACTGACCTAAAGGTTTATAATTATGATTGCAGCATTAGCTTTATCCAGGATTTTGTGTCAGATCTGAGGCAATGTTACCAAGTCACCTACAGAATGACAGGTATAAACAACTTCACAATTTCATTATGGGTACCAACTTTGAAGGCATATCATTTTTCCTAATGTCAATTTTCAAAGTAATCATTAAAAGGTCTGATCGTACGTAACATTGCTCTTAAAAAGAATGATATACAGATAAAAACACTGTTGAATATATAATGACACACACATTTTAAAAATTAAAAAAGATTACTGATTGTCCGAAAACATTCACACAAACTCATGCTCTTAACAAATACTTCATTTACAGAATATTATCTTAACACCATCTTTTAAGTTCACCAATAGACGTGTAGCGATGTACTTGATAACTGTCACATTATTGAGATATGTATTGATCATCAAATACATATAATCAAGCAGGGATGCCAGTTAGAATTGATCAAAGGGCCTGAAAATCACCTAGAATTAGCTATTTTGTACACAAAAAAGCCTAAACTATGGTCTGAAAATAACTCGCCAGGACCTGAACTCAGGCTATTGCCTGAAAACTGGCATCCCTGATCAAGCTAAAAACACAGTACCCTAAGCACTCTCGCCAGTTAAAAACAAAGAATTATGTTAGGTGCAAATACAAAGAATTGCTTTCAATTTAGGATGAATAAAGTACCAATACAGACAGGCTTAAAACAGTGTACCAATAGCACTCTTGCCAGTGAAAACAAACAGAATTATATCTCTCTAATTACATGTATTTCCAATCATTACAAACAATGAGTTAAGTTACAGATTCTTTACAAATATAACTCTTTCTGTTTGATATCTACACATTCATGATCTACATGCACAAACTCATGCAAGTTAAATTCATAAGAAATAGACTACAAATTCAAGGGAATACACAATTAGATGCTACAAAAAGCCTCTGTTTTTGGAAGTGAATTACTTCTTCCGGACAATATCTACACAATAATCACATGACATTGTGACCTTTGACCTCCTACCATGTTTACAGTACCTAGAGAGAGGTTGAAAGTATGGAATCCTACCCAGGCACTAATGTCCTTTGGCAAGACATTGATCTACACTTGCCACTCTCTACCCAGGGATAAGTGGTAAAAATAAATTCCTTGATTGTCTGAGCACCTTGAAAAATGGTTGATCTAATGTGCATGCTGAATGAGGATATGTATGTTTCTGTCCATAATCCACCCCACCTCTCCCTTCTTCCTACTTCTTTCAAACTAAATTAATATACATCAATCTTTACTTGAACTGAAATTATCATTGACGTGTCTGGTGCATTCCATTTCAGCTGCTTTTACGAAAGCACCATTTGTCATTTGAACTATATGTTGATGATTACATAACATTTCCCATGATCACATATATCAAATCATTAGCATTATCAACTACTGCAATAGTGTTCATTCTGTTATGCTATTCCATCTCTTTTACTGTATCTGCTTCAAAAAAATGGAATGATCTACCACTAAGAATTAGGCAGTCTCCATCAGATATTACCTTCAGAAAGGCATTAAAAACATATCTTTTTTTGCAGTTTGTAGTTGTAAGACTGTTTTTCTTATTATATGTATTTGTGTAATTTTAATTTTTATTCACTATAACCGATTTGGGCCTTATGGGAAAAGCGCAGTATAAGTAATAATAATAATATGAATATGAATACATGTATACGTGATATGATTATCAATTCAATTCAGTACAGTCGTTGTGTACAAAATTCCCACCACATCAAGTGTGTGCCGACGATCGAGGTTGGTATGGTGATGTGGCCATGCCGGACGTATCGCCAAAGACGTTTGCGTAGGAGTTCTTGAGGAAAGACACGTAATTCTGCATGCTGCGGTTAGTACTGTGTGATTGCTCTAGCCGATCCTTGAGATCATAAACCTGGGAGTTGAACTTACGCTCCAACTAGAATTCAAGCGAGTGAGAGAGAGATATTTAATTTAATATTTAATTTTTATATAGCGCTTAATACAAATGTCTCTAAGCGCTTTACAAATATAATATTACCCCGGTCATTGGATTCAGTGCTTGCCCGCACACACTGTGTGCACAATCTCCACTCCCTGGGGAGCATTCCAGCCGGGTGTTACTTGACGCTAAAAAACTGTTTGACCAACAATGACGGTCACATCCTATCGGGTACCAATTAAACACCTAGGTGGAGAGTAGCAAGTGCAGGTTAATATCTTGCCAATGGATATTAGTGATATCAGGGATTGGAACCCTCGACCTTCGCATCTCCAGTCAAGCACCTTAAACCACTCGGCCATGACACTCCCACACAAGATGTAAGTAGTACAGGAGGACATAAGCATATACATTTTAAATAATCCTAATTAATTATGTACCAGACCCTCACGTAAACTGTGTACAAAAAGAATCTGCTGCATTTGAATTCAACAAAATACAAAATGTTAGAAAATATACCAGTACATAATTCTTTGAATAATGAACTAAAATACTACTTTCTATCCATTATTTAACACTTATTCATACAGCAAAAACATTAGTTTTAATCATTTCCATTGTAGAGGAGAGTCCAAGTGTAATATATGCTGTTATGTTTCATCAAAAACAAAAATAAAACAAATATATATATATATATATATATATATATGTTCATGATTCATCAAGGCAATATCCTTTTTTCATTTTATATACACAATACTACTTCTAAAAGAGGACTTCAAACAGATGACAGCAAAACTTTTGAAGAAAGTTTTAACAATTTCTCGTTCTGTTTCAAAAGAGAATAAGACCGATTACTTACATCTTCCTTCTGTCTCCTGTTCTGTACAAGTTCACTTTTAGCTCTACTCTGCTGAGCTTCAAGGTCTAGGATCCTTGCCTGACTGTTCCGTTCCCGTGCCAACGCCTTCTCTCGAGACTCCTCCTCCAGACGACGGCTGTCCGCGATGGACTGCTCCAGCTGACGGATCAAGCCGGAGTTCTCACGCTTCTGCTCTTCAATGCTCAACTGCAACAAAAAAGAAGGTAAAGTGCACAAAAGTGGCAAATGATTTACAATGTATTTCTTGGAGGCTGTCAAAGATCTCTGGTACAAAACAAAAATACATTAAAAATTAAGAGCAAATCAGAGAGAGCTCCTGTGAATCTATAAAGTATTGTTTTATATTTAACTGGATTATATACTGTTAATACTTCACCATTTCTACATTTTAAAATAACAAAATATTAGGCATGTTACTTTCAATTTTTAACCATTCACTCCTATTCAATTATACTCCAGGTAAGAATCATTTCAGTTTGAATGTTGTTGTTAGTCTAGGAACCAAGTGTTTTCAAGTTCACAATAAAAAATAGTACCAAAATTAATGTGCTTTTAAAAAGGAATATCATCAATGGAAATTGATTGTCAAAAGCTTTATGTAGCTTATTGGAAACACTCCTGACATGAATTGAGAGCTAAGACTTTTAGAGATTCCTCTTCCTTTAGCAGTACATTCTCTTAACTTCTTTTCTCTGAATTGTTATTTTTTCTAACTTACTTGCATCTCGTGTACGGATTCATCTCTCCTCGACAGATTCAGGCGAAAATCCTCGTTCTGCTTCTCACACTCTAGCAACCTCCTGCAGGCAAATAAAAAAACAGCAGGGTAAAGATGAAATTTCACAGCAAATAATCTTTGAAATAAAATAGGGTATTTGTAATCGAGTATCTTACTGGGTGAAAAAGTGTCACCAAACACTCAATAATAGTGGCTTTGGTTTGTCAAGTTGTACCTTAGTAGCTAATGCAATGCTAATGTGGTTGGCCCAAATTATATATCTTTTTTTTTTAAAGCGGGTATGGAAACAACATACTAGATTTTGCACCTTTTTCTGATGTCCTACAAACTCAAACATTTTTTTGTCTTTGAAGTAGACAACATGACACCGTAATACACAACTTCCAGTCATATTTTTAATAGGTTCCTCACATTTCACTTAAGCTATTATAAGAATTGAGAATCATTGAGACGTGCCCATTTATACTACAAGATTTGTATAATTTTTTATTCTATATGTATGTCTATATTTTTTGTAAAATGTGGAACAATAAAACTTCCTTAAAGGGAAAGTCCACCCCCAAAATAAGTTTGTTTCGATAGAGGCAGAATAATAAGAAAATCAGGTGAGTGAAAGTTTGAGCAAATTCTGAATGAAAATAAGAAAGTTATGAATTATTGAAGTTGTGATCAATCAAATACAAATTGGCAACTCTGTGACGACTTATACGAGCTCTCCTTCATTTGCTTTGTGCATAATATTCCATAAAATCATGTTTTCTTCGTTATTGATGACGGAATATATATTTGTTCCTTGCAGGGGGAGTATAGAAACATATTTGCAATTATTATATTTAGAGTGCATGTATGGTTGAAATTTTTCTTGAGGGAAAATGAAAATTTTAGATTTTTTTAGTACTGAGCAAATGGAAGTTGAGCTCGCATGATACGTCATAGAGTTGCCAATTTGTGTTTGATTGATCACAACTTCAAAAATCCTAACTTCCTTATTTTTAATCGGAATTTGCTCAAACTTTCACTGACTTGTTTCTCTCATTTTTCTACTCCTATTAAAACTAACTTAATTTCAGGGTGGACTTTCCCTTTAAAATGCCATATTCACCTCTGAACTGAGTCAAACTTGGCCTTGAGGGCATGGTTCTCTTCGTCGGCTGACATCCATTTCTGCCGGAAATTCTCCATCTGGGTGCCGCTCTGGTCCGCCTGGTAACAATGAATGAAATAAAATACCATTCACAGTAAACACATCCCCAAACAAATTTTGTCTGCTTTCTAGTTTCTAAATTTCATTCTTAAGGGATAAAAATATTAGCGTTTGTTAAATGACCAAATTCTATAACACAGTATAGCCCCATACATAATTCTTACTATTCAGATTTTGAACAGTCACATTTGTATAGCTTTTAATGCTATATTTCTAAGTGATATTATATGAAAGAAGCATTAACTGCCTGATGAACAGTGATGATTTTCTTGAAAATTTCAGTAATGCCTCTTTATTTATTCTAAACAAAGTCAATTACCTATGGAACTACTATCACAACTATGTTGGCTTTTCCCTCAAGTACAAGGATCAATGAGAATTCATTTGAGGTCATTGCTGACCAGTTTTGGAAACGCCCCCCTCTCAAAAATGAAATGGAAGCTCTTATTACCAATCATGTGAAAGAATATGTTTCGATTAAAACGTGATCATTCAAATTTTGCAGAGAAACTGCCTACTAATTGATATATTTGGTACATTATCATATCTATTCGGACCTGATAGATATAACGCATGTGTCGCGCACATGTCGCGTAGTCCCATATACATCTTTCTGGGTACAGTGCTTGTAACTTTACCAAACTGGGCCAAATTTCTAATCATTTTGGTGATTCCAGAGCCTTGCAGTAGACACCAATACTTATATGCTAGATGATCAACCTTTTCTGATCGATTCCACAACGTTTCTTTCACAATGCAATCGATAATCAGAACTGGTCTTTACCTTTAATGCCCTTCTGGCTCTCAACTGACGAATAATCTAGTTAAAGGAAGCAAATATGCCAGGTGCAAGAACCATGTTTTGGTTTGGTTCCCTCACTTACTTTTGTGGACAATTCTGTAATGAGTTTGGTTTGCTCCATCGTCTTTTGCTCTCGCTCGAGGAGTCTCTCTGTAGCATCAACCAGCTTCTGTTCTGTGGAGCGCAGCATACCCGGTAGCGGTTCCAGCTCTAGAAGCCTTTGCTCCAGTCTACCTCTAACCTGTAGTAAAGGGTATTTAAACGTTGTTTCATCACGTCTTTGTTTCAAAGAACTTGTCAAACATAGATAACAGGACCATGGTCCAATTCAGACCTATAGCAGGTCTGACCTGGTAGCGGTTCTAGCTCTAGAAGCCTTCGCTCTAGTCTACCTCGTACCTGTAGTAAAGGGTAAATAAAATGTTGTTTCATCACGTCTTTACTTCAAAGACCTTGTCAAACATAGATGCCAGGACCATGGTCCCGTTCGGACCTATAGCAGGTCTGACCTGGTAGCGGTTCTAGCTCTAGAAGCCTTTGCTCCAGTCTACCTCGTACCTGTAGTAAAGGGTAAATAAAATGTTGTTTCATCACGTCTTTACTTCGAAGACCTTGTCAAACATAGATGCCAGGACCATGGTCCCGTTCGGACCTATAGCAGGTCTGACCTGGTAGCGGTTCTAGCTCTAGAAGCCTTTGCTCTAGTCTACCTCTAACCTGCAGTAAAAGGTTAATTAATGATGTTTCATCACATCTTTATTTCAAAGAACTTGTCATAGATAGATACCAGGACCATGGTCCTGTTTTGGACCTAGTACAGCAGGTCATACAATTTTTACAGCACTATACCACAAAAATAAATTTATACAAAAATTACCGGTATATAATATACTTTGTTAATACAGTTACAGTTGTGTTACAGGTTTAACAAGAGCGGATTTTGTTCATTTGGAAATTTAATGAATTCCATTGTATATGCCTCTCTCTAAGTTACTCAAACATCCAATAGAAGTCTAAAGAGTTGAAGAGCCACGCTCTACATATGTTAACAACCCCCTGGACTCTTTGCACAGCCTGTGTCAACTGTCAAACCTCAGGTTTACGTACGTCTGCGTTTTCTGATCAGATGAACAAGAAAAGGGAGTAACATGGGTCTGTAGCATCAAAGACATCCATTATCATACTTTATTTCAATTCATTGCTATTTTTCCATATCATTTAATTTTTCTATTAGTTTCATAGAGTTGCCATGGTCGAGTGGATATGTCACCGGACTGTCGAACACAAGGTCCGCGGTTCGAGTCCTGCCGCGGCACTAATGTCCTTTGGCAAGACATTGATCTACATTTGCCACACTCAAACCCAGGTGATGTAAATGGGTACCTGGCAGGAATTAGTTCCTTGAAATGCTAGAGCGCCGTATGGCAGCCGTGCTAAGGCCAGGGTAATAATTGGGAGCGCCAGGAGTGTCACTATGACAGACATGAGCGCTATACAAGAACCCACTAATATTATTATTATTATAAACTTTTCACTTCACAGCCATCTTTTACATATTTATTTATTTTATTTCAAAATGTCATTTATCTCTTACCATCAGTTCCATTTAATTTCTTGATTTTATTGATTTCGAAACAAATAGTGCTTGCATTATTATAATACGATGTACCTTGCCGATTTCTCTGCTAGTTTCTTGTTTAACCCTGGTAGCTTCATGTTGACTCTGTTCCAACTGATGAGATACATCCAATGCTTCTCTTCTTGATTGATTCATCTAAAACAAAGAAAAGATTCATTTTATAATATATTCGATTATGGATGACTGTTTGAAAAATAATGGAAATGATGTGATTTTGATTTACATTCAAATTAAGTTCCTTATACTCAAGTAGCATGAAGAAGAAAGAAAGTTAAAACTGGAAGGCAAATGAAAATGCAGGGATGTTAGTAAGTGCATCAAAATTCAGCAATACAGAACACAATACATGGTTAATAGAAAGTTTAAGATTGTTAGAGAAAGAGAATTCAAGGTAATATCAATCATTAGACAATGCACACTTGTGTGAAAAGAGACAAGAAAAAAGAGTATTGATGCAATGTGAAGAAGTGTCAATATTACATTTACACATTAGCTAATTAGATTGAAACTTTTGTAGTTGTGTCAATATTACATCTACACATTATTTGATTGGACAGAATCTACTGTAGCTGTGTCAATATCACATGTACACAATATTTTATTGGATATCAACTATAAATGAATTGTAGCCGTGACAAAGTAACAATGTAAAGCACTTTCCTCCTCTTTTTGTTCGAGGAATCTTTCATGAAGTCTATATGAAGTATTATTATGAATGCAATTTAAAGTTAATTGAACCCCTAAATGTTTTAAACTATTAAGACAACAGACCAAATAACTACAATGATGTACTACTACTTCTACTACTACCTCTACTACTACTACTACTACTACTACTACTACTACTACTACTACATGTACTACTAAATCCACTATTGTTTCTGAAGTTACAGTAGCTTCAACAACACAGCTCAATAACGTATCAGGAACAAATGAATTTTCAGAAGATATGTATTTTTTTTAAATACTTCATAAATGTAACTCAAACTTAGGTATACAATGATTCTCAATATCATTTAATCTTATTATTAAAATATATTCATAGTGCTTGAAATGGTTATTCATGAGCTTTTGATGAAGGTGCTATAATGTGCAACGACTAAAGTGAATGTGTGAGTACTGTACTAGTCTACTGAACTGTTTTGTACTTACTGTATGAATGACATGCTGTTCTGTATGTGTAAACTATAATGTAAAGTAGGAATGAAAACAGGCAAATAGCAGATTGTATTAGATGCAAAGTATTATGGGCCCGGTAAAACAAACACACAGGGATGGGAAAGTTTGGGTGGGGGAGTGGGGAAGGGTTTTTTAATCAGTGCCATTGAGGAGGGGAGAATAACGCTTTGTTGGGCAAGCACAAAACAAAGGAATATATGCTTTGTTGTGACCAATTGAAACCAAGTTGGCCAAACTCTGCGTATAAATGGCTCAGCTTTGTTGGGTAAGCACAAAATAAAGGAATATATGCTGTGTTGTGACCAATTGAAACCAAGTTGGCCAAACTTTGCGTATAAATGGCTCAGCTTTGTTGGGTAAGCACAAAACAAAGGAATATATGCTATGTTGTGAGTAACTGAAACCAAGTTAGCCAAACTCTATGTATGGCTCTGGTTTTTTAAATCATGAACAAGTTCTTGCAATCTCTGTTTTCATAGAGGAGAGGGTGGGTGGAAAAGGGTTACTGTAAATGAATATGTGATTTCCTGCAGTCTCTCTTTTTTCAAGGGGGGGGGGGGGGGGGGGAGGGGTACACAAAAGCCAATGGAATAACTTGGTCTACCGTACAAAGCAAGGGATAGTAAACATTCTAATCACAAACATGGATGCATTACCATCACACTACCTTTACATATGAAATGCATGCATATGCTGTTCTACATGTACATGTGAAAACTAATAACACAATAAATTGATTTTTACAAAGGTAGTACTTATTCATTATTTGTTTTAAATTGGATGTGAAATTTACACATAGCATAAAATGACAGTCATATATCTAAGATAAACATAAACCCAGATAAACATAAACATCAAACGCAATAAATTTGTTTTTTACTAGATAAATGGAGGCATGTGCAACTGATGTAACAATGTTTGTTTTACCAATATGTCACAACATGTACTTTGTACAAGTCTACTGTTTTTTTCTTGCTCAAGAATGATTGAATACAATTTTTCTATGGAAAAAAAAAAAAATTCTTGACATTAATTCATTTGATTTGAAATTCATCAAAGCCATTTATATTCTTGTGAGATTGCCAAGGGGATGAACAAAAATGAAAGTATAAAGATATTTATAATGACCATTTCCTTTTCTAAAGAAAAACACACAAACAGCAGGACTAAACGACATGTGGTTAATGCACTTTAACCCATAGCCTACAGGAACCAGGTGGTTCATGTGCTAAGCCTATGGGAATAGGACAATTCAGGAGTGAATGGGTTAACACACAGATATAAGTGAAAAAATTCAAAGAGAACTAGCTACATGTACTGTAGTTTTATTCACCTCTCTACCCATTCATTTACTCGAATTTTTTTTTTAATTTAAAAAAAAAAATATTTAAAAAAAAATATATATATATATATATATATATATATTGTTATTTTTTATTTTTAATAATAATTTTGTGTATAAAATATTTGTTGCGTCAAGAGGTGTTTTGGGGGAGGCAGTTTAATACATCACTATACTCTTTTCGCCTGAAACATTTTAACATGCTTTCCAAGAATTATAAAGATGGGGTAGAAGTCAAACACTTTCATTTCATTTCAAAGATATTAAACACTACCTTCAATTCAAGGTGCAACATGATGCAAACAAAAGTATCAAAATGTATTTGGAAACACATGATAACTAATGAAACTAGCTTGTAATACTGGCATATTAATACAATGTTAGAAACAGTGTAAGTAAATAATGTAAGCCATACGGTAAACACAAACCGGTATTAAAACTCTAAGCTACCTCTCGAGGTATTACTGATTTCCACAAACATTAACGATTTTTGATGTATATGCTTTATTGTTTTATTTATTTCTGTTATATGTTTGTGATTATCTATGAATAGATACATTTCTGGTAACCATTTCTAGAATGTAAAATATCCTTTAAATTTAATAAATTCTATATGACCATACAATAAGCCACTACAAATCTGTCGAGTATCATATATTTGGCATATTCCTTTTCAAATTTTATTTAAAAACAGTCAGTTATGCGATGTCAACAATCCATGCATAAATTGGAGGAAGTGATCCCTCATCCCTCCCTTTAAAAGTTGTTTTTCCATATAAAATTTGAATGCACACAGTAATTGATAGATAAAGTTAAAATGATAGCCATACGGCTTTTTTTTTCTTTTTAAAATCAACATGTCATTCTGTTGTTGTTACTTGGGATAGTGACATCCTGATCTTTAAAAAATGCTTTTAATTTGACAGTCTTTGATTAAGTATTTTTTTAATGAATTGAACGAACTTTTTTTTTCTCTATTCACATGTATACGAATTGGATATATGGAGTTTAAACACCTTTGTAACAAATATAGGACAATTTATTTTGTTTCATCTTAATGTTACATATTATACTGTATAATTGTATATTACTTCAATACATGTGTAAAGTGTGCATTTGCCCTATATCACCCTGCCTGGTACAGATTTCATTAAAGGGGAAGTCCACCCTGAAATTAAGTTAGTTTTAATAGGAGTAGAAAAATGAGAGAAACAAGTCAGTGAAAGTTTGAGCAAATTCCGATTAAAAATAAGGAAGTTAGGAATTTTGAAGTTGTGATCAATCAAACACAAATTGGCAACTCTATGACATATCATGCGAGCTCAACTTCCATTTGCTCAGTACTAAAAAAATCTAAAATTTTCATTTTCCCTCAAGAAAAATTTCAACCATACATGCACCCTAAATATAATAATTGCAAATATGTTTCTATACTCCCCCTGCAAGGAACAAATATATATTCCGTCATCAATAACGAAGAAAACATGATTTTATGGAATATTATGCACAAAGCAAATGAAGGAGAGCTCGTATAATAAGTCACAGAGTTGCCAATTTGTATTTGATTGATCACAACTTCAATAATTCATAACTTTCTTAGTTTCATTCAGAATTTGCTCAAACTTTCACTCACCTGATTTTCTTATTATTCTGCCTCTATCGAAACAAACTTATTTTGGGGGTGGACTTTCCCTTTAAGTTGTCTTAATCATGTTGCATTATTCCATACTCGTTCAGAAGACCATGCAAATGTATTTTTTCTCTCAATGATCTTTCTGAATAATGCACTTTCCTGACAAGTGATATTAATCAAGGGAAACAGTAACAATTGTTGAAGAAGGGAAACAGTTACAAATGTTGGGAAGCTGAAATATTAGCTTGAAAAGCCACAATCTCATAGTCATGTTTCAAACATACAATTAAGAACTAAATTCTTCATACCCATACCAAGTGTTGTAATTGTTAAACTTATATACTTAAGTATGTGAAAAATTGATTCGTCCCAATTTATGTTTCTTGAGAATTTGACATATTAAAGCTTTATACATTTGAAAGTATTCAACGAAAGCCCTAATTCACCCAGTCCACCTTTTATTCTTGATTTTCAACAAAAAGAAATAAAACAAATTTACAAGGGGTATGAATAATGTAGTTATTAACTGTATAATGTAAGGATGCAGTATGTGAAGTAACTCTGTGACTTAACAGGTAGATAGGAAGAATGTGACAATTTGAAATTTTTGCAACAAACAGTCACTTGTACTGAATAAGATAGCAGTTGTTTTCCATGTACTGACTCATGAATGCATATTATCTTCCCCGTCCAATCATCTGTGAAACGGTTCGTGCATGGGGAGTGGGGAGGGGGGGGGGGGGGGCTGTGCAACTACTCATGCAAAGTCTTGTTTCATGATGCTTTGGAAAGGCCTCTCTGGTAGTGGATAGCATAGGATTAAAATTAAAATGTTAAATTTTGCAAGTTACAGAATTTTAATAGCCTTTGGTTGCCAATGCTAGTACATGTATGGCATCTGAGCTTGTTATCTGCTATATATGTGCTTTGTTTTTTCTTTGTTCCAATTTATACAATTTACAATTAGGCAAATTTTGATAAGCTTTTTACTATCATAAAACCTGGTTAATATGAAAAGATCAATAATATTTTCATCAAGTTGAATATATACATATATACACAGGTTTGATAATCTTTCATAAAATTATAATAGTTTCTCTCTATTTTCCACCACCAGAGGGCTCCCTTTAATATAAAATTGTGACGGAGAACCGTCGCGGACCCACCTGTTTAAATGGAGTTATGTTAGGAGTATGATAGGCAAACTTTCGGGTAGTGTAGGCTAGCTGAGCTGTTTTTAGTGTACAATCAATAAACTGTTCCACGGAATTGTGAGAAAAATGAGTAAAATATATAGAAATGGACGATTTGTTAATACAATGTAGTGAAAGATGTAAATCCGAATTCTGAAATTGTTTGTAAAGAGCACAAAGACGTTAACTCAATGTCGAGGGATATGAGTAAACATCTTTATGGTTCTCAAAAATATACGAAAATAGAGTTGAGAATATATATATATATATATATATATATATATATATATATACTTGATTCTACAATTGTCACATCATTTGTCTGTTTAGAGTCAAAAGTAGTGGGCATTAATCATATACTCTAACATAGAGTTAATGCCCTTCTTGTCGTGAACAGATATGTAGCTACAAAAATGTTAATATGATTGGTGTAAAGATTGTATAAAATATATAACAATTTTATGATTAATCTCATGATTCAACATATTATCAAATAAACATTTACTTTACTTGTATTAAAGATAACTGTTGCTGAGCTAACGACATGAGCGTCCCTGGAGGTTGTGTGTGCTCTATAAGTTAACCATATTATTATTATTATAAAAACATCAAAAGTGAGTAATGAATATACCATCTAATCTTCCTCATATTCATGCACATGTTTGTTTGACTACTGTATATTTATTTGCAAGCTTTGGAAATAGACCTCTTGTAAATATAATCTGTGACTCGATATTATACCACAGGTTTCAAGATTACTTGAATGATTAAATAACAGCAAATTGAACACATGATGGTAGCACCACAACCAATAAACATGCAAAATGATTAATTAGGATTGGAATGAACTGTATCAAGTGTTAGTGGCATGATCAATAAACTAAAAGATAACATACCTGTGCTTTGTAATCTGCAACTAAGGATTCATATTGCTGTATACTGGATTTGAGTTCGTCTATATTGGAATGTGCATGGGTCAATTTGTCCTGGGCGTCTTTCAGAGAAATCTGGTGAGCGATAGAGAGAGGAAGGGAGAAAGAGGGACAGGATGGAGGGAGGGGAGGGGTGGAAGAAAGGGGCAGAAATCAAAGGGGTGTGCTTCAAATTCATATCATTTTGAAACAAGAACGGGACGCACAGACTGACGTACGGACGACCCGAAAACATAATGCCTCATAATGCTACTTTGTAGTAGAGGCATAATAATACATTCTTACGTTCATTTTTTTTTAAGACTTGTTCTAGTACATCGAGTGTAAAAGCATTGTTTATTGAATATGTCTTGCATAACCTTCCTTAAATCATTCCGTCTGTTCAGAGTCAGAAGGGCGTTAACTCTCGAGCTGAACTCGATATCGAGTACGTAGCTCATGAAATATCATTATTACTGTAAGATATTATGAATATCTCTAGTATAATTTGTCAAAGCAAATAATTATTTTACGGTAATTTTGTTGAATTGGAGTCCCTTAAAGTCTTAAGTGATATTTTTAAATTGGTTTAATGCTTAATGTTCCGATCAGCTCGGATGGTGGTGTAGGGATATATGTTAACAAAACTTGACTCGTAACTTCAGCTTGCCGTTATACATTCTTCATGTTATTTTCTTACCTGTAGTCTTTCATTCTCCAGTTTAAGGTTACTTCCTTCTGTACTCTTATGATGCAGTTCTGTGTTGACCCTGTCTAGGTTCACTCTGGAACTCATGTCTAGTTCCCTCACCTGCAGCTCCAGTTCTTCTAGTTTCCTGATGAAAAAAAGCATCGGTTCCACAAAAGAAAGTTATCATATCAGAAATTTATACAGAAATGAGAATGCCAAGTTACAATTAAGAAATACCTGAAAGGACTGAAGCTAATTACTTATTTGTGGTGGTGGTTATTTTACCTAACTGCTAAGATTGTTAATAAGCAACCAGAGGACCAACGGTTGTAGGTCCTCTCTCCGAGGGACCTGGTGATGAGGATTGATGCCTCACCAAAGGGCACTAGCATATCGCCTTGGTTTTGAACCCGGGTCGCCGGATTAGGAAACCACTACTCTACCAACTAAGCCATCGCGCCTCCTCATAAGCTCTAGAAGGCCTTCCATTTTATATACTTATGAAGATCAAATATTCCACTTTTCAGTCCATTAGTATCATTTTCAAGCCGATTCGTTTCCTTGATGACCTTGTTAATGATACCCTTTCATTCCTCTAGCTAGTGTCCACTTCAATTTTTTTCTCAACTTTAAAAATTGACCTTGTGCTTATTGTTTCACAAATACCACAACAAATCTTCACCTTCTTATTTAGTCCCTTCTATACCTCCATCCCAATAATTGTAATTTGACCTTTGAACTACGATCTTAAACTTGACCTTTCAATTTATATCAAGCCTTCATCTTCTTATAGCACTGTTATAATTCTCAAGCTGATTCTTCTCCCTGGTGACCTTGCTATTAAGTCCCTAACATTTCTTCAGCAGGGCTCCCACCTCCATCCCTATAATTGTAACTTGACCTTTGAACTATGACCTTCAAATTGACCTTTCACTTTATATCAAATCTTCACCTTTTTAGAGATTCATTATGACTCTCCAACTGATTCTTCTCCCTGGTGACCCTGTTATTAAGTCCCTTCCATTCATCCAGCTGGGCTCCTGTCTCCGCCTGTCTGGTCTCCGCCTCCAGGACCTGGAGCTGCAGCTTCTCCACCGCATCCTCGCTCCTTGACGCACGGTCCTTCTGCACCCGGGTCGCTCTCTTGAGGGCCTCCTTGTCTGCGGAGGCCTTTTCTTTGGCAGCCAGGAGCAGGGCCCTGAGGTGATCCCCTTCAAGCTTTTCTCGCTCTACTTGATTCTCAACGTTCTAGGATTGAATGAAACAGGCATGAACTAATATAATAATTTGAATTATATCCATGTATGAAATGAAAATGACAAAGCTCATGAAATCATTCCTTATAATACAAATAACAATAATATTAGGATTTGATTTATACAAGCCTTATCAACAATTCCCTGAAGGGCATTTCAGCCACCCAACATTTATACATTGGCATGCGATGAGAAACAAATAACAATGAGGTTCGCATCCCACCAGGTACCCATTTCAAACGTGGGTGGTGAGAAGCAATGAAGCGAACATGAGGACACAATGCCATGCTAAGGATCGAACCCTTGACATTTGGATCTTCGGTCGAGCGTTTACACCATTGGCGACTAAGACACCTCTCTACTTCATCCATTACTGAACATAAGCTGTAAGCTTACCCTGATCTGAACTGCCATGCGATTGCAGTCAGCCTCTCGTTTCCTGAGTTGATTCTGAAGATGGGCTCTGGTAGTCTCCGTAGTCCCGTGAAGGTCAGCCAGGGACTTGGCTTGGGTCCGCTCTAGGTCTAGGTTGGCCCTCATGGAATCTACCACTCTGGAACTCTCAAGGACTTCTAGTCTAAGACTCTGGTTCACTCCTTCCGCTTCGGTCAGCTTCTTCAGGAGGACGTCTCGCTGCTCTGTCGCTTGGCTCTGACGGGACTGTGACAATTAGAAAGGTCAATGAATTAAAATGTAATCTTGAGGTCTGGAAACATGAGAAAATAAATCCTCAACGCTGAAACTCTAACCCAATGCTAAAGACTTCAAAGAGATATATCTCCCAATAAAGAAATTTAGCAAGCATTCCAGTATCCTTCCGACAGATAAACCCCTTTCTGGCAAATTCATAATTTTTACCTTATTATCTTCACAAGCACAACACATGATAAAAGGACATAGTACCTGTCTTTTATGTTCATCTCGTAGCATGCCTCGTAAAGAAGAGTTTGTAGTTTCAAAATCCTGTAGTTTATCCAGGAGGAGGTGTCTTTGCTTTGAGAGCACCTTGCTATCTCTGGCAGTCATGTGCTTTTCCTGTTTTTCAAAAGAAAAGGTGAAAAAAAAGGATGTTTATTCTTGAATGCTCATCATTTTCTTGATCAACCAGAAGGTATCTCTACAAAATAAACCTAAGGAAAACGACCAGGGACCCATTTCACACAGCTTTTTTTTTCAATGACAAATGATAAAAATCAGTGACAAATCTGCTGATAACCAATCAGAAGCAAGGATTTCACTAGCTTATAACAAAAACTGTCGTTTGTCACTGATGACAAGTTTTGTGAAATGGGGCACAGATTAAATCAGGTATCTTTACCTAAACAATCTAAGGAAAAAAACCAGGGGGGTGTTTCACAAAGCCTTTTTTCAATGACAAACGACAAACATCAGTGACAAATCTGCTGATAGCCAATCAGAAGCAAGGATTTCACTAGCATATAACAAAATCTGTCATTAGTCACTGATGACAAGTTTTGTGAAATGGGGCCCAGATTAAATAAATCACGCCATTAATTGCTTTATTGCCAGCAATCAATCGCTCCTTTCCATGAACACATCAAATCACCCTCAATCACTCTTGATCAGCAATCACATCAGCCCTAAAAGCTAGCCAGAAAGCCATGGCTGTGTAACAACCAAAAAATTACTTTTTTTTTTACGAGGGCTCTTTTCAGATTTTCCCTTAAAAAAATAGCCCCCCTTAATTATTTTGCGGTGGCTATTTTGGAGCTCAGGGGGGCTTTTTTTTTTTAAAGGTTGTATTTTTTTTAAACGCGGTTTTACCCAATTAAATTCCAAGCAAAGGCAAATATAGATACAATTGTAGAGACATATGTCATGTAGAGTATTGCAGACATTCAGATACCCATGATTTATTCACTTTGTGTTAAACGTGTGGCTTTATGATGTAACTAAAACTTGTCAAAAGGAGTGTTTTGTTTAACTGTTCGTTTTTCATATCCTAAGAAAATATTATCACTGACACGCGGGCTAGGAATTAATTTTTTTATGGGGGCTACTTTTCCCCATTGCCTAAAAAAAACCAAGGGGCTACTTCCTTAAAGCCATATTGTAAGCTGTAACAATAAGTTGTGTTTTTCCTTAGCCATCATACTACTAGCAACCAAATTGGTAGGTAATATGTTATTTAGTCTTTTTTTCTGTCCCAAATTTAATTGTTATCATGGACAATGCAATCCCATTAAAACAAAATGTAGACCAACTCCCTTTAAAATTGTGTTATTTAGACCATTTATAAGTTATAACCATTAAATGTGAGTAAATATTTTTACTGTTGTCCCACATACCGATGTAGGGTCTATTTGTTATGCCGAAACATGCAAAATCATGGCCTTATTTTTTTTTTTATATACTCTAATTCTAAAGGCCAAGCCAAAGCTAGTTTCATTTCGTAGACAGAAATTGATGTCATCATCACTCATGACAATTGGCCTGGCATCGATCGTATATAAATAATTTAATTTAATTAAACAGTTGTAAGAAAGATTCTGAGGAGTAGGAACATCCTTTATATATTTATTTACGGTTTTTTTTATAACAAAATTCAATTTCTGTGTACGAAACTTGCTTTATACTGATTTTACAGGAAAAAATCCAGCATTGATTTTGCACGTTTCGTTATTACAAATATATCAGTATGTGGGACAATAGTAAAAATATACTCGCATTTAATGGTTTTAACTTATAAATAACACAATTTTAGACGGAATAACATTTTTTTAAATGGGATCGCATTGTCCATGATAAAAATTAGGGCCAGAAAAAAGACTAAATAAACATATTACGTACCAATTTGGTCGCTAGCAGTTGAGCTCTCGTCACTCGCAAATACTTATTTGCTTCATACAAGGAGCGTGCGGGCGCACGCTGGAGCTGAGCTAGTACGTTTCTGTGTATTGTGAACGTGTGCGAACTGCGTATGCATTCATGCTGTGCACGAAACTACATCGGGGCCGGTGGCCTGTCCCGCCGCCGGGAGCTTAGGCGCAGGCAGGCGGATACCGCTGTAGATCTAGCTACAGTAGGTACGACCGCCGATCCGCTGCAACTCACAAAACTTTTAAAATGTTGATGGAAGTTTCTAGTTTTGGAGTTGGTAGTTGGAACGGAGATTTCACTCAGACACATCAATAAATTGGTTTATTAATTCATAGGGAATATCAATTTATGGCGGGGGCGATTTTTCAAGATATATTGATTTTTTTTCGCCCTCGTCTTGATTTTTACCGTGGCGATTTCAGAGGTTTAGGGGGCGAATCGCCCGTCGCCACCGTGTATTTTTTTCGTTGCTGTGTAAGGGTCCTGTCAAGGCTCTGCACAGGGTATTGACTTAAGCACAAATATCATTTTGCCATATGACACACAGTGTTCTATACTTTTAGTACAGGTGTTGTGGTTTGGTGGATTAGTCGTTGGACTGTGGATCACAGAGTCCGTGGTTCGAGTCCCGCCACGGCACTAATGTCCTTTGGAAAGACATTAATCTACATTTGCCACCCTCTACCCAGGTGTTAAATGGGTACCGGTAGGAAGGAATTTCTTGAAGGCTGTGAGCACCGAAATCGGCTACCTAGCAGAGCCGGGGTAACAGTTGGAGCACCTTGAGCACCATGCAAGGTGGATATGTGCGCTATATAAATATCCAATATTATTATTATTATTATTATTTCTCACCTCTCGTAGTCTTTGAACCACTTCTCTCAGTTCATCCACTTGATAGGCAGCTGACTTGGCATCCATCTCGGTCTCTACAAGCTTCTTCAACAGTTGGTCTCTCTCAGAGCTGGCAAGACTCTTCCCCAATCTTAGAGTGATGAGATATTGTACAAGAAATTTTGATATATCTACACAGTACAACTGATACAAAGATAAGTGCATCAGCTTTTAACATTAAATCAACTTGATTCTTCTCTTCATTTACATTTTGATTATTTCTATTGGCATTATGGATCACAGTGACACATTTTCATATTGGTATTCATACTGTATTTTGCTTTATACCAAACATCTAAAATCTAGGACAGCTCTAATTTGCAATGTTTAGATCAGCTTTCCATAACAATGTAGCACAAAGTTAGGAACCTGGGACCAATTTTCTTGAAACCGCCCAAAGTCTCAAGTTTGTGGAGATTCCATAGACACAAATTAATTTTATAACACATATTTCAATGTCATTTTCAAGAAGTTAAACTTACAAAGGTTTCGAGAAATGGTCCTCTGGTTCAAAGTTACTCCTGGGAATTGGATCATATGGAAATATGTTGGGGTAGAATCAAGTGACCAAAGAATAAGTGGGTACCCGGTAGGATGTGACTGTCATTGTTGATCAAACAGTTTTTGAGCGTCAAGTAACGCCGGAATGCTCCCCAGGGAGGGGCAAGCATTTAATCCAATGACCGGGGTAATAGTATATCTGTAAAGTGCTTACAGACATCATAGATGTATTATGCGCTATATAAAAGCAGAATATTATTATTATCATTCTTACCTTGAAGTGTCTGCATCTTCTTTTATTTGCTCCATGGACTTCCTGAGATGCCTATTCTCCTTCTCTGTTATATGGAGCTCCTCCTTGAAGCCTAGGAGCTCCTCCTCTTGCTCCTCCAGGACCCTCCTGGACAGTTTCAGCTCCTCCTTGGCTCGATCTGCTGCTCGCTTGCTCCTCTCCACCTCTCTCTAGAAGAATCACAAAAAGTTGAAATTATATCATTGATCCTTAGAAAGCTTCAGCTTCACACACCATTCCAGCAATTCATGACACTCCTTGTAGTTACTCTTCTCACCTACCATCCCATGTAGCTTCCTGAGTGAGCTGCCAAAGGGATTACCCAACCAAGTACCAAGATGATTTAAGTCTCCCAGTATTCAAACTGGCTCTCTATACATTTGGGATATGAAGAGTTTGGCTTCCTTCTTGAAATTCAAATTGAGTTCATGCATTTTGACTGTTGATACCAGGGAACACATTGCGTGTGTCTGTTCTTATTTACATCTGAGGACCGACCTGTAGCATCACGTTACAAAATACAGAACTCAGAATTTGAACCGGGGTCCTCCTGAGTCAATTTGAAGGCAAAGACAAAGAGCTGACCATGCATGTACTGAAGATGCAAGTTTGAAAACTTGGTGGCGTAGAAAGGGCTCAGTACATCAAATATCACTTTCAAAATCTACATAACATTGCTTCTTGTCATCCCTTTTCTCAAATAGTGGTTTTTTTTGTTTGTTTTTAATAGATCTAGGTTGCATAGTATTCAGCAGGAATTGAGGGAAACAATACATTCTTTTCCTTTCATTATTCCTTTCATTTCAAATTAAACATCACATAGTATCAACATAATTATGATGGATCATAATAAAATATAATTAATGTGAAACGTACACATGTCTTAAATACATAAAAACAAAAACAAGTATTAATATTACATGAAAATATAAAAAAATAAATAAAGGGGAGCAAACAGTTATGAGCGTCAAGAAATGCCTGGCTGGAATGCTCCCCAGGGAGTGGAGACTGTGCACACATTGCGTGGGCAAGCACTAAATCCAATGATCGGGGTAATAGTATATATCTGTAAAGCGCTTAGAGACATTGTATTAAGCGGAATATTATTATTATTATTATTACCTGTGTTTTGAGAGAGCCGACTTCAGTCATGAGGGTGCCTATCCGGTCCTCATAATCTCTGTACTGTTCGTCCGCCCTGTTATCCCCATCTCTTAGATCCTCCATCCTCATCGTGGAGCTGGATCCATCCCTGGTTGGGGGCTGGATGTCCAGCCGTGCACCAGCTCCCTGTAATCAATGAACAATGTGGATATCAAGGGGTCAATGACACAAAGACGTAATTCCATTTCGACCATATTGAGAAAAAGTGGTTTATGTCTCACTGAGCACTTGGGCCTTAAGGAGTTAAGTATATGTTCCCTAGCCATTGACTTCAATGGGGTGTTGGGTGGAGTTAAGTCTTTGTGTTTCCTGCATGGAAAGTCCACATTTTTCTGAACATTTTGATATCAAATACTAATTTTGGCAAAATATGGATTTACGTCTGTGTCACTGAACCCTCGATATGTTGTTGGCACTCTGTGTACTGTGCATGTTTGCTTTCAAAGCTTTAGTTGAAAGTCTTGATGTCACTTGAGTAATTGGTAAGGTGGGGGGGGGGTAGGGGTGGTGGTGATGGTCAACCACTAGTCTACATTTTTGCTCTATATGCATGCATTGTTAATAGGTATGAATCTGATAGAAAGAAACTTCTTGGATGCTTGTGTATCATACCATGAAAGCTTGGTTTGAGCTGAAGTATCAACATTTAGCTTTCCAAATCCTTAGCACAATGAGCTTCACATGTAATCCCTGCCATGATTAACGCAACTGCCACCTTTATCATCATCACCATCATCATGATCGTCGTAATCATCACCACCAACATTAGGCCTAAACAAAAAAGATGTTGTATTGCCCTATAGGTGCCAAAACATAGGTCGGTCAGTCAGAATTTTTTGTTTTCTTTTTTTTTTAACTCCCTCTTTGGGCTGATATTTCTCAGTTTTGAATGCTTTAATACATTTTTTTTCTAAAAAGCGGTAAAAAAAAAGAAAGACTTTTTTTAGAAAGCTGAACGTAGATTTCAAGATTTGGGGGTTGGTCGCAAAGGGCTATAAAACATTTTTTTTTTTTTAGGCCTTATCATCACCACAACCATTTTTTCATAATCAACCTCATCATTACTCTCATCACCAGTATCACCATCATTTTCAGCACTATTATCATCATCACCATCATAATCATCATCACCATCATAATCACCAACATCATCTTCATCATCATCATCACCATTACAACTATCATCATCCTTACATTCCAGCTGAATTTCTGTCCCTTGGTACTCCTGCCTGGTGCAGGAACCCACGGTCCTCTTGCGCTGTTTGAAGGTCGCAGGTTCCCAGTTGATCCCAACGTTACATTGAAACGATTCTTGCTAGCTTTAAGTTTCTCCTACAAGTCAAAACAGAATTTGAAATAGTGAGGAATACAAAGTCATCAGAATCTAAATATAAATATGAATTGTCATTTATGAGTATGTCAGATATAAAGGTAGGCATTTTTATTCTTATGCACACAATTCATCTCCAAATATCTATCGTTAAAACAATACTTGAGAATTTTCAGACCAGCACACTACAATAATGCAGAGGGAAAAAGTACATTATCAATCTTTTAACCTACCTTTGAGCCAGAACAGCATATTCTTCCAATGGTTTCAATGCTACTTCTAATTTTTCTGCCTCTATCAAAACCAACTTAATATCAGGGTGTACTTCCCCTTTAATAATTAGGACTCTACAATTACCTCTACTGCAATCGCAGAAGCCGATTTCTTGGCTCCTTTCTTGACATGGACATGGACGGGTGTCTCCTGGTCAACGTGTACATGGATTGGTGGAGACGCCGAACTCAGAGACTGTACTTTATCAATTGTCATGATTACAGACTCATCTCACTGAAAAACAAGTTGTTTTTTTAAAGGAAATAAATTTAAGTCATGTTGCTTGATGAGTTTGGTATCTAATTATAAAGCAAATATTCAACTGTCTCTCAAACAGATTTGAATTCATTCAGTAAATAAATTTATTGTGTCTAGACTATACAAAAATAACAAAAAATGAAGAAAAAATGAAACACTCACAAACAAACAAAATGCACCAATTTGTATACCGGTACATCACATATTATGGAGCGTCATGTAACGCCTGGCTGGAATGCTCCCCAGGGAGTGGAGATTGTGCACACAGTGTGTGCGGGCAAGCACTGAATCTAATGACCGGGGTAATAGTATATTTGTAAAGCGCATAGAGACATTTGTAATAAGTGCTATATAAAAATTAAATATTATTATTATTATTATGGACTGCACCCAAGTGTACATACATGTAGTATGTCAAGATATACATGTACACTGTATGAGGTAGTGAGTATTTATTTTAAGGCATTCAACATGAGTGTGTTATTCAGTACAACTCTCCTATTAAATACAGATAAAGATGATGAATGGATTTAAAGTGTCCAACTGGTTGCTATGGAGACAGGATACACAATGACTGGATTTGATTTGCATACAAGCAGATTTTGCACCTGCCACATCTCCCCCTTCTTCCCTTATAAATCACCTGCTACTACAATGCATTCATTTTCTCTCCACTTCCCCAAGGCTGCAGTCTCTAAAAGCGTGTTTTAAAGGTACAGGTTAGCAGTTTGATATGGCTTTGAAAGTACGGTATTTGAATGTCTGCATATACGTCCTAGAATGTGAGGAAGAAATAAACGAAAGCTCCATAAAAAAAACCATTTGGAAATATTTGCCTTGCTCGCATGTATACAGGATTAAGATTGCCATACACATATATTTACTTCTGAGTGACCTTGATCGTTTCATCTTACATCTGAGCAACTGTACAAGTAGAAGTGATCGAATGTGTCTGAACTTTAACTTCTGATGTAAATCATCAAAAGTTCATATTTGACCCACTCTGGTGAAAACCACACTCTACCAATAATTATCAATCTTTTACACGTAGTTCTGTACAAATATAAGGATTCTTGCCACTGGAAATTATATTCTAGTTCTTGTACTGTAGGGCTTACTATTTTTCACATTATGTACATGGGTCAACATCTTTTACGTGAAAATGGGCTTTGAACAACCAAAGAAAAGAGTACATAACCAGTTAATCTCTCGATTTAGGGCTATCTTTAATGATCAAAGGCCAAGCTGAAGATGTGACTTCAAAGTGGATAGAATAGAATGGGGTGAAAAGATTATGAGACTTGAGCTTGAATTTGACCTAATGTACATGTACATCCTGTAGGAGCCTGTTGCTACTTAGTACTCTTTTCATTCTACTGCAGTTGAAGTCAGTATAATTTAAATCAATCAAGTCATGAATAACATTTCTGACATGTATGAGTTTTTTCCAATAAATATGCCAAATATTCTGATGTTTTTACCTTTTCAAACTTGGACTGGAGGTCGACCAACACCAAAATTGACACAGCCCCCAATATTTCATTCTAACTCATCAAAAGTTATTAGGATAGATCTATGATTTGATCTAGAAAATCAATTGATCAAATATTTCTCTCAGAATTTTATAGATTCTACCCACACTTTTTGTGTCTGGACAGGTTGGTTATCCAGACAGTTAATTTCAAAGGTACTTGAAAAAGTTTACCGGTAATTGCATTATTTCATAAATGTTTAAGACTTTGTGTTGGACATTAGTATAAATTAGGCATAAATGACAAATATCATTGATGGCTATTTGATGAATCAATTTTGTTAAATTGTTCCAGACACCGACCTCCCATCTTACAAAATAAAACTGAATCGTCTAATTAACCTCAATCAAACTTTTCATTACTTAATTACTCTGTTGCAGAGTTTGTGACCATTGGGTTTTGAGCATTTCATGATGAATTAATCAATCAAAGATTTATATTATTGAAGTTAAATAAAAACGTAACTAAAGTAACTATAGATCATCGGAATCGGCTTGACCTACATTGAATTGTACCCTTATTGGCGCTAGTGTAGTTCCGTATCCATTTTTTAGCAGTTTAATATCCATTCTTAGCACATGAATTTTAGCCCAATTTTTGACTAATTTTAATCATAATCATATATTGCATTGTCCACCTGAATTTGGATCACATCCGACATCGGGAAACCTTCGTTTAGGGCTTCGATGTCGACGTCGTCGCTTAGTACTGTCTCTACGCTGCAGTCCGGCACCTCAAACTGAAGCTATCAGTACAAAATTATGCAGACTTCTCGTAGTCGGAGACGGTACTGAGCGACGACGTCGACATCGAAGCCTTAAACGAAGGTTTCCCAATGTCGAATGTGATCCAAATTCAGGTGGAAAATGCAAAATATGATTATGATTAAAATTAGTTAAAAATTGGGCTAAAATTCCTTTGCTAAGAATGGATTGTTAAACTGCTAAAAGAAATGGATACGGAACTACACTAGCGCCCCCTTATTAATTGCTACATCTACTTTTTATGATGAATTCACACTAGTTCTACTTCTAAATAGTTCTAGCAGATTCCAAAATTTACAATGGATGATTAGGATGATTGATAATTTCCATACTTCATAGTTCTCTTTGTAGTGATTCAGCCTGAGCCAATACGGCTCTGGCGGGTATATGCGCGCAAGTCCCGCATTTGGCGACACCCGCGGTAGTTTTCCTGGCCATATCCCATACTGGGTAGGTTAGATTTGAACTGGAACTGCAACCGCGCTACATGCCGTCTGCTGTGTTCCTCCGAGTCTCTGATCTCAACGTAGCTACGTGGAGCTCCACACATCGGTGCTTCTTGAGACTTACTTCAAGCAGTTACTTCTACAGCCTATGGTAGGATTAACCCGTATTATATTAGTTTAAGTATATTGCGTAGTTATTTAGGCCCAGTAAGATTATATTCCGCTCCGTCACTATAATGGCGTAATCGCTAATTTTTTATCCGAACCTGTTCGGGCTAGTTTTTTTTATCGCGCACGTTTTTGAGCCACCATCTTGTCGGTATATTCACTCGTGTGTTGAAGGGATTTTCTATTTTTGTAAATTAATTCGTGGGGCCTTGTAAGCTTGTTTTTTCCCCGTTTGTAGTTGGTTATTGCTGTAGATTAGTAGTTTAGAGACTAGTAGGGTATTTTTAGTGCTGTATTCCGGTTTTTTGGTACTCATTTCAGTGTTTTGGGGATTATTTTTTGTGGTCGCACGCATGTCCGAGCCGCCATCTTGGATACGTTGACTCGTGTGTTGTGGGATTTTTTTATTTTTGGAACTTTTTTCGTAGGGCCTTATAAGCTCATATTTTTTCATTTCTTGTCTACTTAGGGTTGTAGGATAGTTTTTTAGGGACTCGTTGGTATTTTTACGGCCGTATTTCGATTTTTGACATCGGTTTCGGTCATTTTTTGTGCTTAAATTTGCTCATTTTTTTTCTACTCACTAGACTTGTTGTACAGCCGTTTTTTGTCGTGCTCGTAGTTTTGATCCTCTCGCCAGAGTTTTATGCTGTGGAGATAATTCCACGGTGTTTTTCGGTGAGGTATACTGTGGGTATAGGGTTGTTTAAGTAGGAGTAGAATTAGTGAGTAGATCTAGGAGTAATTAAATTATTTTCAACCCTCTCGCCAAAGTATTATTACCGTGGAGATAATTCCGCGGTGTTTTTTCGGTGAGGTATACCATTGGTATAGGGTTGTTTAGGTAGGAATTTTTTTAGTAAGAAACTAAGTAAGATTATGAAAGAAACTAAGTAAGTTATTAAGTAGGCAATAGGTCTTTCCTGTACAAAACTAAGTACTTGTAAGTTAGTAAGTAAGCAAGTAGATTCTATATCTATTTTCTGGAACTACGTACGTTAGTAAGTAAGCAAGAAGGAAGGATTGGGTAGGTACCTAAGTGGGATTTTTTGACTGTCAGTATTGTTTTGTATATCTGTGGATTTTGGGTTAAATCGTGGGTGGTATTTAATTTCATCTTCATTTCATCATTACTAATATTGTACGGCCATCTCGCCGAGCATTATACCGTGGAGATAGTTCCGCGGTGTTTTTCGGTGAGGTTTGTTGCCGGTTTAAGTGTAGTCCTTTAGTGTTACTTAGTAGGGTTTAGTTTTGGCCCGCTCGCTGAAGCTGTTCACCGTGGAGATAATTCCGCGGTGTTTTTTCGGTGAGGTTTAGGGTTTCAGTATTTACCTGTCGGGCACTTGGTAAGCTATTAGGAAACTAAGTAGGGTATTATTAAGTAAGCAAGAAGGAAAGATTGTGTATTTAATTTTATCATTTGGCTATTTAATCGTTGCTGATTTAAAGCCGGTTATGGCCTCAGAGAAGGTTAAAGTTAATTATGTGACTGAGGAGACCCTTCTGAGGGTTGTCGATAAAACAAAGTCTGGCAAAATTATGAAGTGGAGGGAGGAATGTGGTAACTTAACAGAGGAATTATTTTTGCAGTGTCCCCGTCTCCATGAAGCCAAGGAGCTTTTACGTTTATTTGATTTTGAGCCTTATCAGGCTAAGATAGTTAAACCTACAGATGGAGGCCCAGCTGGGCCTGTAGCCAGTTCTACGGCTGAGCGACAGCAGGGGAGGAGCTCGCCGCAACCGGCCAGCTCCCCAGCCGAGCCCACAGCCGAGTATCGGCTTCGGGCCGTTGACTGTCCGCCGTCCAGGGAATCCCCGCCCGACAGGTCTTATCCTCCTAGGGAATCCCCGTCCAGAAAACCCCCGCATAGGGATTATTGTTATCCCCCTTCTAGGGAATCCCCTCCTAATAATTATGGTCCGCCTTCCAGGGAACCCCCACGTAGGAATTATGTTTACCCCTCTTCCAGGGAATCCCGACCCGACAACCAGTATCCTCCCAGGGAATCCCCACCAAGGGGTCAGGTAGATTACAGGTCGCAGGGGCGCCGAGATTGGCCCCCCCGTCTGCCGAGGTCACTTAATTACGATGGGCGAACAAGTTGGCATTCCTTTCTCAGGAAATTCACCAGTTATGCTGTATCATGTCAGTGGAGTCCGAGCGAGTGTTCGGATGCACTAGGCTGGTGTTTGGAGGGGTCTGCCTCAGATTGTTTTTCGAACCTTAGGGATATGGGCACTAATTCTTATTACCCGATGTTGACAGCGATGGGGCGTCGGTTTGGGGCTACCCGATTTCCGGAGGAGGCCATAGCCGAATTTCGAACGGCTCGCCAACTCCCGGAGGAGTCTCTCCTTGGGTGGTCCGACCGGCTCCAAGCATTGTTCCATGAGGCTTTTGGGTGTGACCGTAGGGGTGACGACACTCAAATGGTGTTGCAACTATGCCAGGGTTGTATCGATAAGGCGGCTGGTTTAACAGCTTTAAATACGCGCCCAAGGTCCATCGAGGAGGCTCTGGATGCCATCAGGTGGGCACAGCACACCCAACGTGTAGTGTACGAGAGCGAGCCCCGCCGTTTATATCCAGCTTCTCGGCAGCAGGTGCAGCAGACTTGCATGTACGATCAGGAGGTGGACAGTTATGATACGGTTGAGGAGCCGGTAAGTTATCGTCATAGGCAACCCTATCCCCTGAATCGTTCCCCAACAGTTTCCAAAGGTCGAGATGTTCCCCGTCCGGCTCCTGTGGAGGACCGGGGGAAGGTCACAACGCCTTTTGAAGTTCAGGCCAGGAATGACATTGGCTATTTAAAAGAGGAAGTCGCCAGTCTTAAGACGCATGCGTACAACACCGATTGTATGCTAGAAGAAATACTGAAGACTGTTAAGTCTTTGGAGTTTTCTATGCTTTCCCATGCCCGCCCTCTATCTCCCATGGCTACTGGTGTTCCGGAAAACCTGGAGGGATCGGAGAGCGAGGCCGATCTCCGATCTGGAACCAAGAGGCCTACAATCGGTAAATACTGGGGTAGTTAATGTTAGTGACCCGCCTGACTCTTCGGTCGGTCCCTTGGACAAGGTAGTTAATGTTAGTGACCCGCCTGACTCTTCGGTCGGTCCCTTTGTCAAGGTAAATAATGTTAGTGACCCGCCTGACTCTTCGGTCGGTCCCTTTGTCCAGGTAGTCGCTAGGACGGCCATGGTGCCTCCTTCTAGTGGGAAGCGGGTAAGATGTAAGGTTGTTGGGAGTCCAGGGCTCCACAGAAAGGACCTTTCCCTTTTCCAGCCCACCCACAGGCTCCCATTTTGGATTCCTCGGATCGTGTTTGATCGGGGGAAATAACATGTTTGTCTTAAATATATATATTTTAGTTCACTTTTGTTTACACTGTTTAATTTCATTGTAAATCGTCCATTCTGAGTTCCTGAACTTTAAGTGTTGATGTTTTTAAACTGAATAGATAACAATTAAATAAACTGAAAAGTTTCTGCTTCGGTTAGCAGAGTTATCTATGCTGAATTAGCTGCTCCGCTTTAAGAGCTGACTAGGAAGCATTCTTTCCACAGGGAGACAGAGCACCCATGTGTGTTCGAGGCCATAAAACGGCCGGCTTTTGATATCTCCCAAGTGACACTACGTGGTTCCAATAATAAGTCAGAATATGATCATGTTTTGGGGGAGTAATTCCTCTGGATCAATAAGAGCCTTTTGGATTTGCTTGATGGTGTTGTGGGCCTGGGTGCCCTGAATGATATCAGGAACTTGCCGGTAGTGGCTATTGTGCCCCCGGGTGCCGAGTGGCCCAGAAGATGTAATCTTATTTTGTTGAAGTGTTTTCACCTTCTATATCATTTTCCATCTGATTTCAGTGATCTGCTTTTGTCATTCTAATACTTCTTATATGCACCGTTTGGCTCTCATGTGGGATTGCCCAGTTTCTGGACATTGTACCATCCAAACTGCACTTGGGGAATGGGGAGCCATTGGGCTCTTCCCCTTTTCTGCACACTTATTGCCATTCATCGTTTATGTTGATCACTCACACTTTCATGCTCGGTCACCTTGGGAATTTAATGTAATGCCCCGGTTAATCCCTTACGCCCGTGCCAAGACGTATTGCAATTTTTCATTATGTATTACCGGCACGGTAAGGGTTAACTGGTATATTTCTGTTTCTTTATGTTCTTGATCCCTGGGACATTTCCGGGACTTGAATGCTATTTAGTAATTAAATATACCAAGCTAGAGATATTTCTGGTTCTGGTGCGCATGTTACCATTCTTTATTCTTACCCATATATTGCTCAGTCTCTGTGTACCTGTACTTTAATGTTTCCCATACCAAATTTTGGAATACAGTACTTATTAAGGTATGATAAAGGCGCCTGCCCTCTGGAAAGGCCAAGACTTCACCGGTGCTGGCAAGGAGGGTCCTTGACCCATCCACCAGCGGGAACGGCGTGACCCCGCACTGCGGTACGGGAGTAGTTTTAAGTTAGTTTTAGTTTAGTTTTAGTTAGAAGTAGGCTTCAAACTCATTAAGTGGGGAATAATGTAGTGATTCAGCCTGAGCCAATACGGCTCTGGCGGGTATATGCGCGCAAGTCCCGCATTTGGCGACACCCGCGGTAGTTTTCCTGGCCATATCCCATACTGGGTAGGTTAGATTTGAACTGGAACTGCAACCGCGCTACATGCCGTCTGCTGTGTTCCTCCGAGTCTCTGATCTCAACGTAGCTACGTGGAGCTCCACACATCGGTGCTTCTTGAGACTTACTTCAAGCAGTTACTTCTACAGCCTATGGTAGGATTAACCCGTATTATATTAGTTTAAGTATATTGCGTAGTTATTTAGGCCCAGTAAGATTATATTCCGCTCCGTCACCACATCTTCATTCACTTTCCTTTAGAAATTCTACTAGATCTAATTCTCTGTAACTAACTCCAGCGAGCTCCGACGCTAAAGCTCCCTGGAGTTACTTATTATCCAACAAATTAATGACTGTAAACATGGAAACTTTTGTGCACATAAATTGTTCTCAAATTTACTAGATCTAACGTTATTGGTTAACCACAAATCACAACTGACAGTGTCAGTGACACCACAATGAATGTTGTGATTTGCAAATCTGTACTGTACATAGGCCCCTACATCAAACTGCTATAAAGAGCTAGAGTCTGCAACTAGCAACTCTGCCTCATCAATCAAAGGAAACAGAAATTGGATTGAAATATTGAGTTTTTAGTTTTCTATGTTCTAAGTTAGACCCTATCCCAATTCAACGCAACGCGAAGCGGAACAGAGATCAAGATCCAGCCCGCATCTGTGCGGCTCGCAATGAGCTTCGTTTCGGTGAATAAAACTCCGCATCCTCATGAACACATTTTTTGAAATTTCCCAGCCCTAATTATCTAATAATACCAATAACTTACCAAATCACATCAAGGCTATACAACACTTTATTGGACCTGAAGCTGGAGTTGGAGAAACGCCAACAATCGGCTAAGTGAGGCTTCTAATTGGCAAATCGGTCAAGGACTTAAATTCATCGCAAGCGCAAGCTGAATTGTGCAGACTCTAGCCTGAGACTGATGGGCTGCGGATGGCCTGGCCTGGCCTGGATGAGGGCTGGAGATCCCCTAAAAATGCCGACGCCTCGTAGCGTTTGGTCGCGTGGGGGAAGCGGATCTGCTGTTCAAGTCGACCGTTATACAAGCAATGAAAAGAAAAATGAAAACAATAACAAGGATGCGCTGTCGTCAGGATGTTTGCGGACTCGGTTGTGAGTGCTAAATTTATCGATGGTAAAAAGCTTTTCGTCTCCACTTTTTAGTTTTTTCGGTGAAGTTACATTTCGCTGTAAGAAGGATGAATAAAAAGTTTAAAAAATAAATAATTGATAAGAAAAAGAGAGAAATGAAAGAAGATGGAAGGTTCGTCTTGAAAACATTTAACCAATAATGCAAAAAACCTGTAATGGCCTGTTTTCATAGGCCTTTCCTTTCCTTTCCTAAACATTAAAAAAAAGTGACAGGAATCCTAGAATGCGCGAAAGGTATTCCCAGTGATGAAAATATACTCTATCCATACAGTGGAAAATTCAGGATTCTCCTGTGGGGTGATTATCATGTCAGATATAGAGTCTAGGTGGTTTGTGCCAATATTCTTTGATTATAATTATACCAACAACAAAAAAAACCCAAAAACCAAAAACATCAGGGCTGTCAATTTTGGTGAACTGCTTCAAGGGAGAGCATATCTCGTATGCAAACATTTTTTTTTGCTCAACTGGGGGGGGGGGGGGGGTCGAATTAAATTTATTTTATTAAAAAAAAGATTTTATTATAAGTGCTCACTACCCCCCCCCCCCCCCTTCCTCACACTCTTCTTTCCTCTCTCTTCCCTTAGCCCCCTGCTTTCTCTCTCGCTCTCTCTCACTAGCTCTTACACCTTCTCTGTTTCTGTTCATCACTCATCTTCCTCCCCATCCCAAATCGAACATCACTCCCCATAGTCCAAATGAAAGAAAATCAAAAAAAATTTAAGTTTTATGGTTTCAAGAAACATGGTTTACTCGGATATTTTAACTCCAATCAGCTGATTTCCTGTACATAGTTCATTTCACACAATTCATGCAGTTGCTGGACTATAATAAGACCAAGTATAAGATACCATTGCATTTCATACAAAATAAATACCTGCTGTCATTTATAAAAAGGATCCCATCATTCATGGTAGAAGTGATTTGCATGGATTAAGTTAAAGTGACTCAGTAACATATTTGCCTCAGATTCTGTGACAAAATCCTGGATTTAGCTCATGCTGCAATCATAATTATAAACCTTAGGTCAGTCAGGAATCCCATGACTTTTACAAGTCGATCGCCTGTCTGATTATCAAGATATTTATGATTAGAAATCAAAAATTCATTTTTCGTTTTCCAAATGGTTCTTATAACACTACAGTCTATTGGGGAAATGAGTATGGTAAAACCGGTCACTCAAAGACTTGTACTTTTTTGAGGCACTTCATGATCATTTTGAAGCACTATTTTTTTAGGGCTTCAATATTACACCACATCACAGACACTGATAACACGTAGGGCCATGCATCTCAGATTTAACATTTAAACATTGCCTTTAAAAAAATCATCAGCTGAGAGCCAGAAGGGAATTAACTCACATCATTTAACACAGATTTAACGCTTCTTTGGCTCTCAACATACAAAATCTTTCATTAGTCACACCTACGAATTACAGCACAATATTTTGAAGTGTCAATGATCTATAAGATTGTTCATCCAGGGCCCCGTCTTACAAAGAGTTGATATCAATCGTAAACTATTTGCGACCGATATATATATCGCAACTATGAACATAAGATAGGAGACTGCAAACTTGCGATTGATTGAAGGACTTACGATTGATTTGGATCAATTGCAACTCTTTGTAAGACAGGGCCCAGCTAGGTTCATTATTACAAACATCATTACAATTGAACATTAACAACCCTGTGGAGTTCAGAATAGCACATCAAATATTTAGACCGATTTATCAAATTTCATCTTTTGATTAATGAAGACCCTTATATAGAAAATTTGCACTATGAAAATGATTGTCCTTTGGAAAAATAAAGCTTGTATCAGCCTAATTATATGTATTCTCATGATGATAAAATCGTACAAATCAATACCGGTACTTTTATTTCATCCTAAAACTGGTCAAAACTGAAGGTAAAAAAATATTCAAATCCAAATCTGTCAGTCCATAAGTAGACCGAAAAATCAGCCTATTTTGGGGGAAAATGCTCCACTTAGACTAAATCCAGGAAAAGCATGGGCAATGTGTTTAAATACTGTTCCGTTAACTTTGGCACAGAAAGAAAATGCATTGAACATGCTTAAAGCGTACAGGTTAACTCTAACCTACTCACTGTCTTGCAGAGTTTTCAACATAAATATAAAATAGTTTTTTTACAAGGCACCCAACAGCAACACAACAAAGCTGCTTTATCAAGTTCCTTCACACATTTATTTACAATGACATGTTGATATTACAATATCAGGTATCAAACAACTCTCTACCAAAGAATACCCACAGGTTCAACTGTTATAAAGTTGACAACTATTCATCCATTTTCATCCATTTGTTAAACATGTTCAGTAACTACCGTGCTCTAAAAGTAAATGGTTCTTGATTTCATATTCTAACAAGGAAGGAGGAAATTAAAATACCAGGGGGGTGTTTCACAAAGATCTTAAGTTGAACTTATCTCTAAAGTTGGACTTAACGATTATTGAAAGCCATTAACATCTATGAAAATATTTTGTAAAAGTTATTTTAAAAGGCATAAAATGTTGATTCAAATCATTCATATTTTCGTATTATCAAGGAGATTTCATGTTCTTGATGTAGAATATATAAAAAGTCTAAAATACTTGAATTTCCGTTTTTGAATATATTTTATTTCAAGGCTACAAATGGCTTTCCATAATATTCAAGTCCAACTTAAACACCCCCTGGATCGTCTGTGATCACTGCCTTGAGAGAGGCAAGAATATTTCTTACGATGAGCTTGCAACAATTACTAAATCCATAATTACTACAACTGCCTCTGTGAACAGGGGACAGTTAGTATTTAGGAAATTGATTACAACGATGTCAATTTTTTACTCAAAATACAAGTGAAAGGATCATGACTGACAGGAAAGTTAGTGAATAAATGGGTTCACTCATAGAGTATACTTGACAAAAATAATTTGTCAGGAATTCTAATGGCAGCGGGTAAATTCTCCTTAAAAGCAAATCAAAGCTTTCTATTCAAACAAAATTAAAGGAAGAAACTCAACACATCTGAATTGAATCCATACAATGCTTAAACCTTTCTCGTCCGTTTAGGTGATGCTTCAGTAACATTGGAATCTTCCAAGAGTCTCTTCTTGCTCTTAGGAGATCTTGTACCTTGGCTCCCTTGTGCACTTTGAGGTATCCTTGAAGATGCAGAGACACTGTCATCGGATCCTTTCTGGGAAGGCTGAAGGGTCTCTGATGGACCTGACGATGTGCCAACTGCCTCATGTGATTGATAAAGTGATGATGGCTCTGTTGCCTCGATCACTTTCCCCACCATGGGATATCCAAAGGCCATGAGCACTTGTGGGTGCACTTCTTTCCCTGTGGGAATGTGAGTCTCTAAGGAATATTCTTCCCCTTCGCTGTCGGAATCGGATGACATATCATCAACGTAAGCTAGCCGTCTCCTCTGGTCTTGACCATTAGGTGTGGTCGGATTCTTTTTCTGTGATGCACTCCTCGTTCTGCGTGCCACTCCATCCATTTTGGCAGCATCCTTCCACTTTGAACCTTGTTTGCCTTTCTGTTCTCCTGTCCCCTCTGTTCGTCTGGGAGATTTCTTGACAGGTGTTTTCTGAACAGGTGGTTTAGATGTCTTTCTCCCGTGCTTCCACTTCCATCGCTGCTTTGGTTTGACTTCCTGTGTGTTACCTGCTTCATCACCAACTCCGTCAGTAGGAGTGACTGACTTGCTTCCACTTGGTTGGTTCTCTTCCCGCTTTTTAAGGTTTGTTTTCTTTGTTGGCTTTGGACCAAGAACCTTCTTTCTATGAGGTCCGACGATGGACAACAAGGCTGGCCAGAGGAACATTGACAGGAAGCGTGGTTGTAGAGCTTTGTACCAATCACTTTCCCTGATGATATTCAGAGCCTTTTCATGCTCTTTACTAGTTCTCGCTGTTACCCAGTAGCCATCTTTCTTACGTGATTTCTTGGAAGCACCAACAGGAACAGGAACCATCCTCTCCCATTTTCCTTCTCCAGTTTCGCTACTGCTGGCTGCAACTTCGACTGTAGCCCCTGTACGATCAGCAGAATCACCTTGAACAGGCTTGGAATGTGTCCCCTTGCTGGCAACTCTCTGACTTCCAGCACCTTCCGGAATTCCTTGCACCGTTTCATTAGATGATAGTTCCTGCAATAGACCTTCATGACCCCTAAGAATTCCTCTGTCATTGCTTGGAGTGTGCCATCTCTTTGATTTCTTGATGGTTGCTCTCTTTGCTGCATTTACCTCAAGCCGTTTTCTCTCCAGGAGCAGGGCCATGAGTCCAGAAATGGTAGATTCATTAGGGGGTAGAACTGGCAGCACTGGGTCAAATTTCACAGACTTACTACCGTCACAAGATGGATCAACCTTTGAACATTCAGCCTCTTTGTCACATTCCATAGGTGACTGATGATTCTCTAAGCTTCCACTTTCTTGTAGCTCACATGAAACATTTGACTGTGCAGATAATGAAGATTGTCCAGTGGTTGCAGCAGGTGGAATGGAGCAAGCAGTTGTCTCACTGACCGAAGTCTGTCCTGCCTGCTTCACTGACACTGTACTTTGCTTCTCCTGAACAGGGACTCTCATCCCACCAGTATCAACATCTTCAACAGCAACATGGACCTCATTCTCCTGAACAGGGACTCTCATCCCACCAGTATCAACATCTTCAACAGTAACATGGACCTCATTCTCCACTTGCAGTGATGCTGTAGTACTACCTGGGGTAAGATTCACAGGATGCCTTACTGAACTTTCCGATGACACAACAGTTCCTTGCCCAGAAATGACTTTGGTTGGTATACAGGAGGTTGCAATATTTGCTGTCTGGGATAGGTTTGGAGATGGGAAGGCACCACGACCACCCATAACAATATCTCCAACAGTGACATGGACCTCATTCTCCACTTGCAGTGATGCTGTAGTACTACCTGGGGTTAGAGTAACAGGGTTTGTGCTTCTGGGTGCAAGGTGCCTTACTGAACTACTCAATGACTCAACAGTTCCTTGCCCAGAAATGACATTGGTTGGTAAACAGGAGGCTGCAATATTTGCTGTCCTGGGTAGGATTGGGGATGGGAAGGCATGATCCACAGGCTCTTGCTTGATGCAGTTGAGAGGTACAAGGAACCCTTTCCCTGGAACATGGATAATGCCTGACTGCTGTTGCAGAGGGGCCCTGGTCATAGGTAAACCAATCGGCTGCAGAATACTGGAACCAGGTTGCAGAGGTCCTGGGGCAACCGCTGGTGGTAAACCAACAAGATGAGGACCAATGGAAGCAGGTTGAATAGGTAAAGGAGCCAGTCCCATGGGCAAGCCAGTCTGCTGTGGAGTATTGAGTATACCCTGCATTGGTAGTGGAGACCCAATGGGGGATGGTAGGTGGTTGGTCATAGGCAAACCACCAAGTTGCACTGGAGTTTGTACCATTCCACCAACTCTTGGATGCATTAGGGTCACCACTTTTCTTACAGGGACATTGTCCCCAAAATGGGAGACATAGTTCTGCAATGGCACAAGGTAGCCACCCCCAACCTTAAGAGTACCATCACCAAAGACAGAGTTTGTTCTACTCACACCTAACTTAGATTTCACAGTTTGCCTAGATGGAATAAACGCAGGTCCTCTTTGTAGAGGCGGTGGGGTGGGAACACCTGCTTGTGGCATCAGCATATTCCCTTGCATCATCATAACATTATGTTGTGGCACTGTTACATTTCCTTGTAGCATCGGAACGTTCCCTGGTGACATCATAACATTTGCCTGCGGCATTGGAACATTTCCTTGCAATGATGTAACATTTGATTGTGACATCGGAACATTTCCCTGCGGCACTGACACATTTCCTTGCGACGACGCGACACTTGATTGTGATGTCAAGACATGTGCCTGTGACACCTGTTTGGAGTCTGTGGCACAAGACTGTAGCTGAACTTCAGACATGGAGGCACCATCTCCTTTCTTTTCATGTCTACTTTTCTTTGATTTCTTTGATTTCTTTGATTTCTTAGATTTCTTTGATTTCTTAGCATTCTTTGATGACCTAGCTTTACTCTTTGATGACTTGGGGTCACTCTCGGCAGGTTCTGCTTTAGCATCCAAAGCCTTAGCTCTTGTGGTCTCTGGGATTAGCTGGTGATCCTTGAGAACCTTGACGCCTTCGGCGTTGGTGAGCATGGACGCAAGCAAGCCTTCGTTGCCCTTTATGTTGATATCCAAAGCCTGTTATGGAAATGATCAAGTAGAAACCATTGTACAAGGTTGAGTGACTGAATATTTTTTGCAAAACTTACATGACATATTCTTGAACAAAAAAATTACTCACCCCATAAAATACAGCAAAGGAAAGAGATCTTTATATTCGAACAAATGTTGTAAAATATTGGAGAAAATTCAAAGATTGCTTGATATACATATTTATAAGCGTTTTTACAATTTACCAAACTGGCCGGATTTACTAAGATGACCTAGAAAGACTTAGACGTTTAAACAAATAGATAAACTTTAAATAAACTAAGATAAAATATACAATCATTCTTCAATATCAAATTTCTTGTTTTCATACGCACAATTTCGAAATTCAGAGTTAAGACTATATATCCTGTTGAATGTGTTACTGATGTGTTTTCTGTAATTAATGGAGTTTCATTATGCATGCTTCTGATTGTATGTTTTAGTCATTCATATTTTGATCGTTCGTTGTGATGTACATTTACTTTGTAAATTGAGCAATTTCAGCTTTCCAGCTGCATTACAATAAACCAAATCAATTCAATTCAATTCAATAAAAGTGATTACATGGAGAAAAAAAAAATATACCAGATGAAATCATGGAGCTGATTGCCATTATAGGTAAGAGAACACAGACCTTGCAAAATATGAAGTTTAATCACTCTTGTTTTACCTCTCATGTCAATCTACATTCTTTATTCTGTGAAAGTTGGTGATGCACGGATCCCCCCCAAAATATTTTGGGCTTACCTTTTGAAATATTACTCTTTATCTTTAATTATTAAAGAGAAACAGAATTTTATATTTACCTTCAGGATGACGGAGAAGAGATAGTGACGTCTTTGTCTTCTCACCGATTTACTTCCTGTAACAAATAAAAGCGGAAATAATATGAATGCATAAGAAAGAAAAAAGGGAACTGAGCTCAGCATGCATTCAAGATAAAGTTAAGTACTGGTCATGTGATTGCATTGTGAAAGAAAAGGTGTGGAATGGATCAGAAAAAGTTGATCATGTAGCATGTAAGTATTGGTGTGTACTGCAAAGTTCTTGTGTCATCAAAATCATAATAAATATGGCCCAGTCTTGGTAAAGTAACAAGCACTGTACACAGAAAGATGTACATGGGACCACACAAATGGTGTCGGGCTACTAACCTTTAATTCCTAATCTTTCTATGCTCATTACTCAGCCAGTATACATTTTCTATCAAAATTGTTTGGCAAGTGACATTTAATTGTAATGTTGAACATTCACTGTAAGTTTCGTATAATTGTGTGAGAATTTATTTTCTTTTATTGAACCAGAACTCACCTTTATCTTTAACGTCTCATTTACATCAGAGTAACAATACCCTGAATGTAACATACCATCCAAGTTACATCTGAGTTAAACTGAAGTTACATGACCTTTGAATTCACAATATTTATGTTATGAATGTGTTCGTTCCAAGACAAATTTGAGTCAATAATAACTCCTAAAAATTTCGTTGATTGTTTTTCTACCAGGGATAAACCATCTATAAACAAATTACATTGTGGTTGGTCTTGGGAGTTAATAGTTCTAAAACGGATAAAATTAGTTTTACTTACATTTAATTGTAATGTTGAACATTCACTGTAAGTTTCGTATAATTGTGTGAGAATTTATTTTCTTTTATTGAACCAGAACTCACCTTTATCTTTAACGTCTCATTTACATCAGAGTAACAATACCCTGAATGTAACATACCATCCAAGTTACATCTGAGTTAAACTGAAGTTACATGACCTTTGACCTTTTGTAACAGTATGAAACTTTTATTTAAACTAGAAACAAACTTTGTCAAACTTACATGTTATTCATTATATTCATTTGTATGTTTCTTTGTATTGATATGAAAAAGTGGAAATAAAACAAACAAACAACAATGTATCCCTTGTTACACCAGACTTTCGCCGAACCCCAGCTTACCATAGAACATCTACCATGTCCAAGGGGTTGGCAGGGCCCATCCTATAGGCTTGATTGCATCCATTAGCTGTCTATACAACTCAGATTATACATCCTTCTTAAAGCCTATCTGTACTAGTGTACAGAAGGGATTAGACCACCCTGCAAGGTCACTGGACAGGTAGTTATCTCATCAACTCAGCTCTCAATTAACATAAGAAAAAGAGGATCATGGGGGACCAATGGTCACCGATTAGGCAGCGTTTGTTATATAGAGTGCGCAAGTAGCTATAAGTAGTGCAGTGGGCCATTAAGCCTCAAAAACACCCAAGTTAAGCCAGAATTACACCCAAGTAACAACCTAACAAAGCATACTTTAGAACATCCTCCATATCCCAGGGGTTGGCAGGGCCCATCCTATAGGTTTAATGGCATCCATCAGCTGTTTATTGAACTCGGACAAGATGCTCCTCTTTAAAACCCTTAAAAGTTTCTGAGTTATACCCGAGTTATACCCGAGTTATACCCGAGTTATACCTGAGTGACACCAAACCCCAGCTTACCATAGAATGTCCTCCATGTGCCAGGGGTCGGCAGGGCCCATCCTATAGGCTTGATTGCATCCATTAGCTGTCTATCAAGCTCAGACAAGACATTCCTTCTAGTGATGAAAGAGGCATTCTTGGCCATGAGAGGGGAAGGTGGACTCCTGGGCTTGTGTCTCTTACGTTTGTAAAGCTGCTTCCAGTTCCTAGTTCCCTGCACCTGAAATTTGAAGAGAAAGTTGTTTGTTTGTTTGTTTGTTTATTTTATTTTAGCACGGTGGCATACTTCAGCATGTCCGTGCATATAAAAACAATCACAATTTTACAAAGAAACATACATTATAGATGAACATGGCTTACATACAAAGTTAACTAAAACATACACATATGTATATATACAAATAGGTTAGAAGGCGAGAAATCCAAAGTAGACTTTGAGTAAAAGAGGAAAACTATCTTGTTCTATAAATTCACATGTGCGAACAGCAGTAATATCACATAAAAGGTTCGCTTTTGAAAGGCTCTCATGCTCCTAATATAACTAATGATAATGCTACATATATTACTCATTGCAGATGTAGTATCAACAATAATATCGCTAGTGATATTCGTTTGTCTCGCAATGTATGGTCAACAAGGGATCTAAAAGATCACGACGTTTCGTGCGCCGCTGCAACACTTCGTCAGGGGATAAAATATAATGTCAGCAACCGTGTTTTATACTCTACGGGCGGACCGCAATGATAGTTTCAAAATTTGCGCCACATCTGAGCTACAAGGGGGCTAATCCTGTGTTGAAATACAGGAGTTATTGCCCTCGTCACTTGTGGCTCCATACAGATGATATACCTGTATGTGTGCAGTGCTTATAACTGTATGTGACTTTCAGCAAGACTTTCAGCAAAAAAGCCAAAATTTGAAAAATCTGAATATTCTGGATTTTCAGGTCCTAGAAATCCAGAAAAACAGAATATTCCGGATTATTCGTAAGGGTTGGCAGGTATGATAGACCCATTAAAAACAAATAAAGAGATACTATGCAAAATGACCAAGATTTTGAAGGTGTAACTGTGGTGTTAAAGCTGATGTGGAATCATCCATTTATCTGTTTACAATAATAGTGGCAGATGAAAGCTAAAAATTAGTTTACTTACCGAAGGAAATTCTCCAAGACTCTGTCTGTACTCGATCATTTCATCCAGGATTGTAACCAATGACATTCTGCTCAAAACTTCCATTGATGCACCTTCTTGAAGGCTGATGCCTTTGGCTTTCTTGAAGAACCTATGGAACTGAAGTGAAGACGATTGCAGAACGTTATTATACAAGATGTACTATTGGTGGTGTTGGTTATTTTACCTGACTGCTAAGATAGCATAAAAGCTTTTCAGGGACCTAGTAATGAGGGTTAATGCCTTACCAAAGGGCACAAGCGCATCGACTTGGTTTCGAACCCAGGTCACCGGAATACGAGACCACTGCTCTACCAACTGAGCTATCGCGATTACATGTCATATAAGATTACAGTTTCTTGGGTGTTTCCATCAAATGTGACTGTCCATACTTGATCATAATGTCTGTGGAGAGCCAGATGGGTGCTAACTCAGTGTAAAAGTATTAAAGTATCTTAGTAAACACCTTTCTGGCTCTAAACAGACAATTTCATCTAGAATTTTGTTCATGCTGTGATGATGAGCAACTCAAAAGAAGCTCTTTCAACGAAGCACCTTTGATGTACTGGATGAAACCATGCAAATCATACAAAGCAAAGCATTTGATGATTAATCAGAAAAGCACTCGGAAACAAAACGTTTTTGCTAACTTCATCATCATAGTCTTCATCATTATTATTAACCCATTCTATTCGAAAAATAGACTTTCTACTTTAGTCTAAAAAAATTGACTGATTTTCATTAAAATGGGTGCTTAAAATGTTGATAATTGTACTCCAATTGTTTCTATTTTCAAAACTAAATTTTAAAAAGTAGTCACAAAGTGCGGCAGCTTTATTGTATTGCCCAAGTTATTGAATTGCAAGCTCGGCTTCTGCCGAACCTGCTAGAGCACGCTGCCAAGGTTTGGCTTCTGCCGAACCTGCCAGAGCACGCTGCCAAGGTTCGGCTTCTGCCGAACCTGTCAGAGCACGCTGCCAAGGTTCGGCTTCTGCTGAACCTGCCAGAGCACGCTGCCAAGGTTCGGCTTCTGCCGAACCTGCCAGAGCACGCTGCCAAGGTTTGGTTTTTGCCGAACATGCCGTCAAAGTTCGGCTTCTGCCGAACATGCTGCCAAAGTTCGGCTTCTGCCGAACCTGCCAGAGCAGGCCGTCAAAGTTCTGCTTCTGTCGAACCTGCTAGAGCATGCTGCCAAAGTTCGGCTTCTGCCGAACCTGCCAGAGCACGCTGCCAAGGTTCGGCTTCTGCCGAACCTGCCAGAGCACGCTGCCAAGGTTCGGTTTTTGCCGAACATGCCGTCAAAGTTCGGCTTCTGCCGACCATGCCGTCAAAGTTGGGCTTCTGCCGAACCTGCCGCCAAAGTTGGGCTTCTGCCGAACCTGCCGCCAAAGTTCGGCTTCTGCCGAACCTGCCAGAGCAGGCCGTCAAAGTTCGGCTTCTGTCGAACCTGCCAGAGCAAGCCGCCAAAATTCGGCTTCTGCCGAACCTGCCAGAGCACGCCGCCAAAGTTTGGCTTCTGCCGAACCTGCCAGAGCAGGCCGTCAAAGTTTGACTTCTGTCGGACACGCGGTCAAAGTTCAGCTTCTGCCGAACATGCCGCCAAAGTTCAGCTTCTGCCGAACCTGCCAGAGCAGGCTGTCAAAGTTCGGCTTCTGCCGAACATGCCGCCAAAGTTTGGCTTCTGCCGAACCTGCCAGAGCAGGCTGCCAAATTTCGGCTTCTGCCGAACCTGGCGTCAAAGTTTGGCTTCTGTCGAACCTGCCGCCAAAGTTCGGCTTCTGCCGAACCTGCCAGAGCAGGCCGTCAAAGTTCGGCTTCTGTCGAACATGCCGCCAAAGTTCGGCTTCTGTCGAACCTGCCGCCAAAGTTCGGCTTCTGCCGAACCTGCCAGAGCAGGCCGTCAAAGTTTGGCTTCTGCCGAACCTGCCAGAGAATGCCGCCAAAGTTTGGCTTTTGCCAAACCTGCCAGAGCATCCCGCCAAAGTTCGGCCAGAGTAGACATCCATAGAGCATCATTCTTTCAGAGGAAGAGAGCTGCCTCTCATCTTCCAAAATCACGAACAGAAAAATGTCTCAAAACAAGTATTCTCTGTACAATCTGGCTGGAAGAATACATTTGAAGCAAATCAGAGGTGACCACATGCCACATAAAGATGAAATTTGTTTGCCCCATGTCTACACCAAGAAAGATATACAATGAATACCTCCAGGACAAGCCACAAGGCAGAGTTATTTTATTCCAATGTTGGGCAAGCTGAATTCTACAAGCTGTGGAGGTAATTATTCTTCTGGCACGTAAAACTGAAAAAGGCGAGTATGATCTTGAATCAATTTTTCATTAAGATATTGATATTTAGGTCTACATACATACAAGAGAGCAATGAGTGTGTGCCCTTTTAAATTTTCCATGTCTACATGCATGTACGTCGATCCTTCTATTTCATGCAATTTTGAATGTTAACTTACTTTGGAAGATCTGCACTATGTTCTTCTCTCAGCTCTTCTGTCAAGAAATTTAATTACTTAAGTTACTTACAAAAATCACATGCAGTACTAACTTCCCCCTTAAACAGCCATCTGCACTGTACTTTTATGTCCGACACATATTACAAATGACAGTGACCAATGCCCCAATGTGTATGGCATGTTTTCTTGTGGACAACGTGAACCCAGGGGTCAGACAGGTCAGGGGTAACCTAAACATTGCTTGACCAGCTAGAAGTGCCCATGGAATACATACACAGTATGGTAAATGTACATTGCAAATAGGCATAGTGTTGCACAAGCTCTTCAAGTCATCTTAAAGGGGCAAATACAATATAAACAGAAATAATCATTAATGGACATGGATGTTATTTTGCCCCTACAGTCAATACAAACATCTATGTTCATACATTCAGTAGAAAATTCCTTTCCAAGTTAATATCAAGTGGAAAAATATAATTTCAGGACAGATGCCTGATATCAATTGTTACTTCCTACGTTCCCACATGGCCAAACAAATTATATGTCTTTAGTATAAATGCAGTGCATGCCTTTGATTTTCCCCAGGATTAAAAGGAAGTTGTACTATATTAAACAAGAAACGGGATGATGCGAGGAGGAATATGGGAAAAAATACTATCATAGATGGTATGATTGGATCAGTCCAAAACTAATCTACCTAATAAAGTAGGTGAGTTTGACATTAAAAAACCCTCTTATGAAGATGCTACATTAAAGTTTAAAGGGAAATCCTACCTTTATAGCAACTTGCTCTGGGGAAAAGCGAATAATCATATGATAGAGATTTCTTGTTTATAGCAGGATACATGTATATGCAATCCATATATATTTTGAATATTACCCAGAGTGAAAAGGTGTTTAGGAGAACACTGGAAATTAATGATTTTAGCGTACAACAAATGGGAGAGTTTTCAGGGAATACGTCACAGTCGAATGACTATAGTTTGCCAATTTAAGATTCCCTTATGTGTAGTGATTACAACTTTTTTAAATCATAACTTTTTTTATTCTTTGTCTAATTTCCGTCAAATTTTCACCAATCTACTATAATTTTTCTACTTTCCCTCAGAGCAACTTTCTGTTTTTTAACTCCAATTCAACATAAAATAACATAATTCTGGAAAAATCTGAAGCTGCATGCTCATCAACTCACTCTGTAACAAGAGGTGCTCACTCTACCCTGCAACACAGTTACCAATGCCCCATTATATACCATGTGGACTATGTGAACCCAGGGGTCAGACAGGTCAGGGGTAACCTAAACATTGCTGGACCAGCTAGAAGTGCCCATGGAATACATACCGGTACATATACAGTAAGGTACATGTACATTGCTAATAGGCATAGTGTTGCACAAGCCCATCAGGTCATCTTAAAGGGGCAAATACAATATAACCAGAAATAATCATTAATATACATGGATGTTATTTTGCCGCTACAGATAATCTATATTCATACATTCAGTAGACAATTTCTTTCCAAGTTAAAGGGATCGTTTAACAATGTTAAATCTGAGATACACGGCCCTACGTGTTATCAGTGTCTGTGATATGGTGTAATATTGAAGCCCTAAAAAAATTGCGCTTCAAAATGATCAAGAAGTGCCTCAAAAAAGTAAAAATCTTCGAGTGACCGGTTTTACCATACTCGTTTCCCCTATAGACTGTAGTGTTATGAAAACCGTCAGGCGAACGGTTTTCAAAATGTGTAATTCCAATCATAAATATCTTGATAATCAGACAGGCGATCGGCTTGTAAAAGTCATAGGGTTTCTGACTGACCTAAAGGTTTATAATTATCATTGCAGCATGAGCTAAATCCAGAATTTTGTTTCAGAATCTGAGACAAAGTTACCGGATCTCTTTAAAACCAAGTAGCAGAATATAATTTCAGGACAGATATGCCTAACATCATTTGTTACTTAATTCCTACCTTCACACATGGCCAAAAAATTTGCAAAGAGTACCATAATGATTTCAATTAACTGCATACAAATTATATGTCTTTAGTATATAAACAGTGTTTGCCTTTGTTTTCCCCCAGGATTGAAAGAAAGTTGCACTACAAAGAAACGCCGGGATGATGTATGGAGGAATGAGAAGTTTTTTGTCAGAAGAAAACTTTGGCAGGGTGGTCTTGCAGGTTCAGCAGGAGCCAAACTGTGGCAGCGTGCTCTGGCAGGTTCGGCAGGAGCCGAACCTTGGCAGCGTGCTCTGGCAGGTTCGGCAGAAGCCAAACCTTGGCAGCGTGCTCTGGCAGGTTCGGCAGAAGCCAAACCTTGGCAGCATGCTCTGGCAGGTTCGGCAGAAGCCAAACCTTGGCAGCGTGCTCTGGCAGGTTCGGCAGAAGCCGAGCTTGCAATTCAATAACTTAGGCAATACAATAAAGCTGACGCACTTTGTGACTACTTCTTTAAATTTAGTTTTGAAAATAGAAACAATTGGAGTACAAATATCAAAATTTTAAGCACCCATTTTAATGAAAATCAGTCAATTTTTTTAGACTAAAATAGAAAGTCTATTTTTCGAATAGAATGGGTTTATTATAATCTTCATCAAAATCATCACTGCCATCATCATCACTATCCCCTTTTTCCTCCCCCTTCTCTTTTTCATAATCATCATCATCATCAGGCCTAAAAAAAAAGATGTTGTATTGCCCTCTGCGGCTGACCCCAAAATCTTGAAATCTACAGTCGGCTTTTAACTGGGGGAATAAAAAGATTTAAAAGCAAAAAAAAAAAAAGGATTTCAGACCGACCGACCCATGTTTTGGCACCTAAAGGGCAATAACTTTCTTTTTTTGGCCTCATCATCATCATCATCATCACCATCATCACCACCACCATCACCACCACCACCACAACCATCACCACCACCACCACCACCACCACCACCACCACTACCACCACCACCACCACCACCACCACCACCACCACCACCACCACCACCACCACCACCACCACCACTACCACCACCACCACCACCACCACCACCACCAACACCACCATCTTTATCAATGGATTCCTTCTATGCTCACCAGTGAATTGAAGCGATGGAGAACAGAGTTTGGTGTGCGGGTGATACCAGTCATCTCATTCAGCTTCTTTGCAGTGGTCACCCAGTTTCCTGCATGTACAGAGAGAGGTAGCGCATGAGGGAAATGGAATGTGCATCAATATACAAATAATACACATCAGTGAGGGCATTAGTAAGAATTACCTACACAAGGTACCTCTGAAACAGTCTAACACTAACAGAACCTACAGAATACTATGCTCAAACATATCAGTATTTGGAGTAATATCACATATTGAAGGAATAAAAGTGGAAAAGTTTCCATTTTGACATTATCACCAAGAATAGAAGTTTACATTGTCTGAGAAATCCATAAGGGCTTCACTAACAGAACCTACAGGATACTAGCTAAAACATATCAGTATTTGGAGTAATATCCAAAATTGGAGGACTTGTAAATGACAAAAAATTTCACTGCAAGAAACCGTCACGAATTGCAAAAATTCTGTGGCACGAACGTTTCATGCTAAGGTTTTGGTTCTAGGGTAACCTTATGAGTAGAATGAATGAAAATCAAGCTTTCACTCACCGACACCATGCTCTTTCACATTTTGCAAGATGGCAAGGTCTTCCTTATAGGTGTAGTTTCCCTTTGTGTTGTTAGGATTCAGAGTGTACAGCCATCTAGGTAGAGAGAGATTGCAGAATTATATTGTTATTATTATCATTAAGTATTTGGCGTCACCTGTGCCTGGGAGGCGAAAAGCAAGAGGAATCACTGTAATCCTTGGGTCTCTCCTCCCAGTATAACTGATTGTGGTTTGTAGGTGGACCACTAAACAGGGGTTTCTCCCTACTCTTATACGAATAGCGCAGTGGGTTCTTAAAGTACAGAGGTCATGATTCTCCTCCCAAAAGAGCCTCGTAGCCAAAATATTGAAAGTACAGTTAAGGAGCATCTGATGACTGGAAACATAAATTTTTGTGACAATTTAAAAATGTGTGTTTCTCAAAAAAAAAAATTCTATTATCTAAAAAATCATGCTATTAATGTTCGTGCTCTTTAATCCAATAGATACGATATGAAATCTGTACAACGCACGTTACCCATAGTCTCCAGCCAAAGTTATATCACACTTGGTATTGAAAGGGTTAAAGATAAAGGTGAGTTCTGGTAAAGCGATTACATTGAAAAAGAATAGGGGTGGAATGGATCAGAATCAGTTGATCATGTAGCATGGAAGTATTGGTGTGCACTGCAAGGTTCTGGAGTCATCAAAATCATAATAAATTTGGCCCAGTCTTGGTAAAGTAACAAGCACTGTACACAGAAAGCTATATATGGGACAACATTTCCTTGTCTTTCTATGCTCATTACTCAGCCAGTATACATTTTCTTCCAAAATTGTTTGGCACATGTCATTTATTTGTAATCTTGAACATTCAGTGTAAGTTTCGTTTGATTCTGTGAGAATTAATTTTCTTTTTTTACCAGAACTGGAGTTTATCTTTAATCTAAGGCGACCCAACAGCTAAAACTAACCTGTCTCTTATCTGGGATGAATGTCTACCCTTCACAACCTCAGCTATCTTGGTCCACTTGTGCCCATACTTCTCCATGCCTCTAAGCAGAGCCTAGATATGCAAAAGAATTGTGGAATAACAACATTAAAGGGATCCGGTAACTTTATCTTAGATCCTTTAGAAATAATCCTTGATTTAGCTCATGCTGCAATGATAATAATATACCTTAAGGTCAGTCAGGAACTCCATGACTTTTACAAGCCGATCGCCTGTCTGATTATCAAGATATTAATGATTGGAATTACAAATTTTGAAAAACGTTCACTGAACGGTTTTATAACACTACAGTCTATTGGGGAAAACGAGTATGGTAAAACCGGTCACTCAAAGATTTTTACTTTTTTGAGGCACTTCTTGATCATTTTGAAGCGCGATTTTGTTAAGGGCTTCAATATTACACCATATCACAGACACTGGTAACATGTAGGACCGTGTATCTCAGATTTAACATTGTTAAACGATCCCTTTAAGAGAGCTGTAAGTAAAGCCTTTTTTCGGGTATGAGTTGATAAACCATGGCAGTTTTTAAAGCCGGTCTGCACTAGTTTCGCCAGGGGGATTAGACCTCCCTGCAAGGTCACTGACAGGTGGTTATCTCATCAAATCAGCTCTCAATTAACATAAGAAAAAGGGGATCATGGGGAACCAACAGGCACCGATAAGTAGTACAGTGGTGCTTTAATACAACTGATAATTGATATTGTTAATAACTAATAACAGTTCAAAACATTATAATAAATTCTAATTGTGTATTAAAGGGACTTTGTAACATTGTTCAGATGAGAGATAGTGGTGCTAAGGTAGTGACTTCAATGCTAGATGTACAATTAAAGATAACCTGAAAATTTGAGTGAAAAGGGATCATTATTCATGGTACAAATTGGGAAAAACTGATCTGATTGATTCCTTAAATCTCCCAACTATATTATTCTACTTCTATTCTGCTACTTGTCAAAGCCTGTTCAGCATCAAGACAAGGACAATTTAATTACATTTTAGGTGAATGTAAATCACAAAGCAATAAAATGGCTCTACATTCCATTCCAGACAGTTAAGTGTTGACAGATTTTTATAGCCTGTTTAATGTATTTTTCTCATGGAAAAACGGTTGGGAAAATGCAAAAATGGTTGGGAGAATTTACTGTTAATCACTGTTAGAGGGTGCCTCACATCGACGCCTTCAAAGAAAACCATAGATATCTTTGAGGTTTGAGAATTTGTTCAGGATTTTTTGCATGTCAGAGGGTTAGTATAGTAGAAGGAATATAGTAAGTAACATTTTATACAAAAATTAAGCAATTTTTTTCATCAACCTTCAACAATGTTACCGAGTCACTTTAAAAAGTGCGGCCATTTACCTCATCCTCTTCTTTTGTCCAGAAGCCCCCCCTCGATTTTGGGTTGAGCTTTTTCAACCATCTTAATGAAATTTGCCTCGCTAATCTCTGATCCATGAAGTAAGACACTACAAAAACAAACAAAAGATGAAATACATTCATGATTGAGTTAAATATTTTAACAATAATGGTATGTATAGCATCCATCAAAGCACAAGAACATAAAGGAAATTAAATGGTACTAATTAAAGATTTAACATTTTACACAGCAACAATTATGAATCTCTCGACTAAAAACTAGTAATATATAGTTTGTTTGTATAGAACTTACACAGAGGTTTCCAGAATTAGAAAGAAATCCAGGTTTCAAAACATTAGTTTGAATGCCAAAAAATAGGAATAATTCCTTCAGAATAGGAAAGGATGGCAGCTATGATAACCCCTCTATTGCCCTAGGTAAGCATACAGAAAAATGCTGCATAACACTTTTATATTTTGTTTCCAGCTAATTATCTTTACTTTTGTTTTACCTTTGTTAAAGTGGATGTCATTGCCAACTTTAAACCTCTCAGCTAAGTCCATAATGAGCTCATCTTCTTCTTGTGTGAAGGGCCTGTAAGAAAATAAACAAACAAACAAACAGACAAAGATTATAATACAGAAATCATACAAAAGACTGCAGCATCGATTACAGTTTGTAGTGGGGCATTTGCGCCTATCAAGTTAACTGTGTATCCTATGCAGCAGTGTAAAAAAAATATTAAAAAAATTACCAAAATTATTTTTAGATTTGCCATCTTAAGCAGGGCTCCCACTTAGCCGAGTTAGAGCCACAAGTTGTGGCGAGCTGGCGCGATCTTATGGCAAGCCATTTTATCATTAAAACATATTTCTTGATATCACAAAATTGAATTCTTGATATCACGAAATTGAATTCTTGATATCACGAAATCGAATTCTTGATATCAAGAATTACCATTGCTTTACAACGTAAAATTATTTCTTGATATCAAGAATTTATTTTTTTGGTATCAAGAAATATGTTTTAATGATAAAACGGCTTGCCATTAGATCGCGCCAGCTCGCCACAACTCGAGGCTCCAACTCGGCTAAGTGGGAGCCCTGCTTAACAATGCATTTGCATCGATTCTTAAATACCTATTTGTTCATTTTGAGCAGGGAAAATATATGGGAGTGGAGAGCAAATTATCTCTAGTATAGCTCAAAAAAGAGCTTTGGTAAGAAAAGAAAAAGAAATATGAATATATCACTAGCAAATATAACTTTTTACAATGGCAACAAGAAAACAATTTCTTGCAATATTTTACCTTTCCTGTACATCAACTAAAATTGATTGTAATTGTTTTGATGTACGATCATGATGTACTAAACATCTTAAACAAAAATTATTCAATGCAAAGAATTACATTTTCATCATGACTTACCTTAACACATACGCAGAGATCTCTCGATTTTGAAAGTTTGAGAAGCAGTCAAATGGAGACCTGTTTGTCTACACAAATCAACAAACAAACGAAATAAATAAATTTCAGTCAAGAAAGCTTTTAAAATATAAAATTGTTTATCATAAGATGTATAGAAATTCTGACACAAAAAAAACCTCTGGTTGAACCAATTTAATCAGAGAGAGATATTTCATCTAAATTAAAATTAAAATTTATTTCCCATTTTAGATTCCAAAATAAAAGAATAAGCATGAAATTCATAAAATTGGCAATACACAGTATAGTTTTAAATCTTTATTTTGATGTTCAAATTGGCAAATTCATGTTGTACTTTGTGATTTCCTTCATAAAGGTACATTTATTATACATATTATACATATAAGAGATAAGTGGAGAAAATATTTGGTGTCAAAAACTGCCAATTTGAGGAGGTAGGTGTAAAACTGATTCAATTCGACTTCAGGTGAATTCTGTTCACATTCACAGTTTTTGGTAATTGTACAAAAATCAACATTCACTTGGCATTCACAAAAATCAACAAACAACTGGGACCGTTTCACAAAGCCTTTTTTCAATGACAAATGACAAAAATCAGTAAAAAATCTGCAGTTAACCAATCAGGAGCATGGATTTCAGTAGCTTATAACAAAAACTGGCATTTGTCACTGATGACAAGTTTTGTGAAATGGGGCCCTTCTATAGGATAAGAAATGAAAGATGTAGTTACCCCTAGCTCATTGATGACACCCGTCCAGTCTCTTCCTTGAGCGGTCTCCAGGATCCCATCCAGGCGTTTCTCCTCTTCCTTGGACCACGCCTTCTTGTTGACCGATGGATGGAGGATGTTCTCCCATCTCAGCTGGCACTCAGTCGCAGACCTCTCACCGTTCAGCTTGATTGAGAATGCAAAAATGAGGAGATTGGATTGAGTTTTCAACCTGCGTATAATCTAACATCTGATCATGATTGATTTCAACAAAGATATAGAGTTAGGGTTAGGGATGTGATTGGGTTTGGGGTTAGGCTAAGGTTAGGTTCGAGCTCCTCTTTCTTGGATGCAGGATGTTCTTCCATCTCAGCTGGCACTCAGTCGCAGACCTCTCATTGTCAGCTTGATTGAGATTGCAAAAATGAGGAGATTGGGTTGAGTTTTCAACTGCATATAATCTGACATCTGATCACCGTCTTACAAAGAGTTGCGATTGATCCAAGTCAATCGCTATTCCTCCAATCAATCAGAAGTTTGCAGTCTCTTATCTCTTATGTATATAGTTGTGATTGATATCAACTCTTTGTAGGACCAGGCCCTGAAGGCTGAAAGAATAGCTCTGACTTACGTGAAGGGAAGATATCTTGAGCCAGTCCATGTCCCTCATCCTGTCTCCGAGCAATTCCTCTTCTGGAGCTCTACATAGGGAAGGTGAAATCATGAATTAAATTAGAGTTTTTGTTAATTTGTGTTCTTTTTAATTGATTATGTTTATATTGATTTATAATTCATTAATTGTGAGCCAAGGGTGCCTCTTTCAGGCAGATTTGTGCGCCATATAAGCACAGAATTATTGTTATTATAAGGCATTAATATCATTTTCTCAATAATGTCAAATCCAAGATAATTGCAAAAGAACTAGCAATGAATGAAGACAAAATCCACTCAAAGAAGAGTGTAAAGTATATAACATGCATTGATATAAATAATATTCTGATAATTACATCAAGATGCATTTCATCATGAGTTTGTCCATACTTTTCCTTCTTCAAGATTACAGTCAAAATCAGCTTGTTAGAGGGAAATATCATATCCGAACAAGTATTAATCTTTAAACATCCCATATAAACTATATTTTTCATAAAAATAATCAAACCTACAAACCATCCAATTATATTGTTTGTTCAATCATCATATTTTTACTTCATCCAATCTAAAACGTTTGAAATCAGCAGACTAATAGACAAATCTTCTCTATCTCTCTAAGTGCCATATCGATTGACTTTGGCGATCATGCTGTTCCACAACCCTCGGCTCCTAGCCTTCTCTATTAGCACCACTACCAGTTCTTTCACTCCTCTCTCTCTCTTCCAACAATATCTGCAGACTGTCCATCCAAAGTATCCTCCTTCTTCCCTTACTCCTCCTCCCACAATTTTCCCTGTCAAAGCAAGATTCTCTAGGCCTTCTTGACATGTAATGTGACCCATGACCTGCCATTGCCTAATCAACATCTGACTCATCAACAAATCTTACACCTGACAAAGATTCAAACCTACTTCAGATGTTCCAGTCTCGTGGTGATATTGTTGATCTCCGCGGTGAGCTGATGCTTCTCATCGTCTATGGCTGTTCGTCTCTTCTCGTAGAGGATCTCCTGCCGGGCCATCAGGGGTTTCATACAGCGCTGTAGACCGTCGTTACGCACACCCTCGTACAGAGCTCGGTCCTCATCAGCGGTCCCTGCGATCGAGTCAAATCAATTTATGGTTTTGTCATAAAAAAAAAAAATTCTTCCCTCAACCACATCCCCTTGAGTAAAAAAAAAAGAAGAAGAAGAGGATTCAGGGGGGGGGGGGGAGGAATGGCATCTAACAACATCCCCTCCCCCCCTTTTGAGTAAGAAAATTGGGAAAATATAGGGAAGAATAGAGAAAATAAGGGGAAAATCAGGAAAATCAGGATAAAATCGGGGGGGGGGGGGGGATCAGGAAAAATCAAGAAACCGATTTAAAGCTTATCTGCCATAGTTTACAGGAGGGATTATACCGCCCTGCAAGGTCACTGGACAGGTGGTTATCTCATCAACTCAGCTCTCAGTTAACATGAGAGAAAGAGGATCATGGGGGACCAATGGTCACCGATTAGGCATTGTTTGTGATATAGAGGGCGCAAGTAGCTACAAGTAGTGCAGTGGGCCTTTAAATTAGGTTATTATCAGGCCTGTTTGTTCATATCAAGGATATTAAGCTACACATTGTGTTGATGTTTTTAAAAAAGTAAGAAAAATTCATATATAGCCTGAAAATTGTCATTTTTAGCCATATAAGTACAGAATTATAGTTACAGTATTATAAGGCATTATCATCCTTTTCATTATTACAATTTTGTCTGTCATACTTACATGATTTGGATGGTTGAATGAAAGGAGTAGGAATATTCTTGGCTCTAATCTCCTTAGCTTCATCACTCAAAGGTGGCATCTATGTGAAAAGAAATGTTCAAACTTATGTTAGGCTTTGGGAAGAACAGGCATGTTATTCCTATTACAATGACTCATTCGATATTTCATTTTTTAATTATAGCACACGTTTGTTTGGGTATCTGTTTATTGAAAATGTAGTGGCAGTATTGAAAAGGTAAAAGGAAAGCATATTTTTTGCTTTCTCACTCTCTGAATAAGCCATTAGTCTCCCAATACAGCTGTGTCCTTGTGGATGCACAGTATTTCTGTCACAATTATGTGGCCCTATACAAAAAAAGCATTTGAACAACCGATTTAAAGCAAAATCCTTCAATATTGCCTTCTACCAAAATACACAAAACTATAAAATGTGAATAAACCTATGATTTTTATACGACCAAATACTAAAGAGATAAATCATAGCCCTTGTGAGATCTTTTTGAAGTCCCATCTATTCATAATTGTGTTATCAATATCAAGAAGTTACAATCACTTAATGTTTACCAACAATCTGTATTAACACATCCCTGACCAACAATCAATACTGACTTCATGTTGTAATAATAATAATAATAATAATTACAGTGCTTATATAGCGCCTAACACTTACTTTGTCAGAAGTCTCTTTAGCGCTCTACAATAATGCAGGGATGCCAGTTAGAATTGATCAGAGGGCCTGAAATCACCTAGAATGAGCTATTTTGTACACAAAAAGCCAAACTATGGTCTGAAAATAACTCACCAGGGCCTGAATTCAAGCTATTGCCTGGAAACTAGCGTCCCTCGTGTGCACATGCCTTTTAAATTAAAATAAATGATAACACCATTTGCTTACTGTGCTCGAGTGTCCAGAGAAGTAATGCCTCTGAAAATGTGTGATGGGTCGCGCTCCTTTGACATAGGTTGTGGTCTTTGATGCAACACCTTTCTGCAAAAAGTAAAAGAAATATAGATCATCGATCAAAATCACAAAGGCACATTGCAAGAGGGAAAACCAAATCATAAAAACACATTACATTTCTGTCATATGGAAAATCACATATTGGTAAATTTTTACAATTCAAGTAACCCATTAGTATTTCAGATTTATAAACTGCTGATATTGACAACTTTGATCTGTGAAAGTACATTCAGTAGCACAAAATAAAATTTATCTTAATTCTGTTCAACTCAATTCATTTGAAATTTTGAATCAATGCTGAATTGTGTAAACGTGCAAAAACGCACATGTATAATAATAAGAATAATACGAAAAATCTATATAGCGCTTGTGACATAAAGTTTCAAAGCGCTGTACCCAAATCAAGATTACTTCAAGAAAAATCATATTACGAATGGTATTAACATTACTTAAATTACCAAGAAGATCAAACATTAATAAAGATATTAACATAACAAGTAAATTCCTTGGAAAGTTAACATAATATCTATAATAATAATACGCTAAGGCTCCGCGGGGGGCGCGACGTCTCGGCGAGCCTTTGTATTCTATTGTTTTTTAATGAGATCGCCGACCCAAGTTGGTGCGGCTATCTCCTCCTGAACCCTCCCCTCGGGGTACCCGTGCCCGGTGCCGTCGTCCGCGGGAGAGTCTACTCTGTGGAATTGGCTATACTCCACCCGAGGTCCTCCTCCGTGTCGACGTCCAGGGCGAAAACAGACGCGATATGCATAATGCAGGATATGCGTGACGACAGAGATACCTCATGGATATTCAACATTGCATCCGTAAACACACGACTGATGACCATCCACTCACATTAAGTTGCGTATTAAATGCACGACGCACAGGCTCGGGCTTACCCGAGTAAAGCATCTTTCTATAGGATATCCTTTGTATAGTAGCTGCACAAGCCACAGAGATGCACACAAAGCTTCCCGTCCACGTCCAAACTTAGGGACCTATTTCCATCATGATTGCCGCGATTTGTATATAGTTTTCGTGAATGGAGGTATGACATCAAAGCTTATTTTGTGATTATTACGGCCATGCTACTACATTTTGATTATCATTTTCTAAAGGAAAGTTTTCACAAGAAAACCATTGGACTGACAGTTCTGTCGCAAGCTGCCTTCAGTCCTCACACATACAGAACACACAGTGCAGTGTAACACCGGCACCACGCACAGCAGGCGTCCGAGGCTGGCGGCGTCGGTGTTCGAGCTGTCTGGAGTTACGCTGGAGTGTGTGTGAGTTGAGCTGAGCTCGAGTCGAAGAGATTTGACACTTTGAAATTGTTATCTGTTGGTTTGCATCATTATTGCCGCGATTTCAATATAGTTTCGTGAATAGATTTACGAAACCTGAGCTTAGAATTAGTAAAAGTATTACTAATGTCTACGTTTTTAAACGACTGTCTGATTTTCTTGTGAAAATTTTACTTTGAAAAATGATTATCGAAATTCATGGTCAGAAATAATCACAATCTGGGGTCTATTAATTATGTTACAGTTCTTGCATCAAATCAATGCATGAAAACTTAGTTATTGAACTAAAAAAATGTTGTTTTTTTTAAATAGGCAATTAGACCTAGGTCTATGAAGTATTAAGCCTGAAACCTTCGCCTACTAAACAAATCTCAACAAAGTGTAGGCCTATCCTTTTATGAATTAATGAAAAAGTAGCCCCAGAAAAAAGAGCCCCCGAAAGTTGAAAAAGTAGCCCTCGAAAATTTCCCAAAAATTTGAAATTGAGCCCCCGAAATGAAAAAACTTAATTTTTTGCCTGCGCCCCCCCCCCCCCTCTCTAGAATCCCGCGGATTTCCGCGGGTCCTGAGTTGAGTGTATATATAATATAGATCTAGGCGTGGGGTCCACGGGTTTCAAGGGGCCATAAACCCCCTAAAGCTCGGGGGTTACGTTCTTCAAAGTTGGGGGGGGGGGGAGAGATCAGATCACGGCGAGTTGAGTGTATATACAATATAGGCGTGGGGTCCACAGGTTTCAAGGGGCCATAAACCCCCGAAAGCTTGGGGGGTTTAGGCGTTTAATTAGGGTCAGATGAGCATAGTTTTAATACTTTATTTGTGACACTTGCGGGTCACTAATTGGCGTGGGGTCAATATGTAGAGTTGCGTAGTGTTGCGTACCAACTACGCTGGCCTACGTTTCTATATGCTGAGGGACGGAAAGAGGTACGCAAGATGAACGAAAACAATTCAACATGTTTAATTTTTTTCGCGTAGTTTCGGCGTAGAAACTTGACGCAGAAAGTACGCCTTTTTACGCAACACTACGCTACTTGACTACACAACAGTACGCTACCCTACGCCAGATCGTCAAAGCAGTAAAAGCTTTCTACACAGTAAGCAACCATAAGCAAACCTGTACGCCAGCCTACGCATAACCTACGCAGGGACTATTTTCCCATTAATACGCAGCCTAATTTCTGCGTAGTCGGTACGCCACACTACGGAACTCTACGCAGTTCCAGTGGCTTATAGAATAACTACAGGTACAGTTGGATCGTTTTTTGTTTTTTTATATAAGGCCAAATTAAAAAAAAAACATGTTTAGCGTCCTGTTTTTTCGAAAAATGGGAAGGAGGAGGCCCTTTTTTTTTTTTTTTTTTCTTTCAAAATGGCCGCTCCGTACATTTTCCCTGACCGTCTGGCTATTTTTCAAGATGGCGGCCGACAATTTTTTTTTTCTTTTTTAAAATCAGAAATACATTTTAGCAGTGCTTTTCATGTTTTTTTTCTTTCAAAAAATAAAAAAATAAAAATGAAAAAAAAATAAAAAAATAAATAATAATAGGAGGCGGCCCCCAAAAAGGAAGCAGGCGGGGACGCTGTTTTTTTTCCTTGCAAAAAAAAAATAATAATATTAAACAATTCCAAATTTTTTTTAAAAATTTAAAAAAAAATTAAAAAATTAAAAAAAAAAAAAAAAAAAATAGGAGGCGGCTTCCAAAAAGGAAGCAGGCGGGGACGCTGTTTTTTTTTCTTTCAAAAAAAAAACAAAAAAAATTCAAAAAAAATTCAAAAAAATTTCAAAAAAAAAAAATAGGAGGCGGCCCCCAAAAAGGAAGCGGGCGGGGACGCTAAACATGTATATTTTTATAATGGCCTGAATGGCAAATAAAGTTCTTGGTGGTTTTAATTTAGGCAGTCTCTATATATCTATTTACACCCCCCGCCCCCCTCTAGAATCCCGCGGATTTCCGCAGGTCCTGCTAGTATTATTATATTAATAATAGCAACAATATTAAGATATTCAAAGATAAAAACCCATCCTGGCCAAAAGCCAAAAAGTAGAAGACATGACATGTGATTATAGACGTCAAGTTGAAAGAAAAAAAATGAAAAGGAAAGAAAAGAAATGAAATGAAAAGAAAAAAAATGAAAAGGATGAGATTTATGTACTTGTATTGCAGCATTCTTCCTTCTTGCTTCCTTGATGTTATCGAGGAAAGTGCACACCATGTCCTGGTAACTCAGGTTGATCTGTAACAGGTTCTCTGCCGATGGTTCCAGAGGTCTTGCCAGGGAGAGAGACTCTGGGACAAGATGCCTGTCAGGTGATACCTGAGAGTGGAGAAAGAAAGAGAGAGAGGGAGGGAGAGAGGGAGGGAGAGAAGGGGAGATAGACAAAGAGAGGAGGGAGAGAGAGAGAAAGGGAGAAAGAGAGAGGGGGAGAGGGAGAGAGGGAGGGAGAGAGAGGAGGGGGAGAGAGGGAGAGAGAAAGGGGGAGGGAGGGAGAAAGAGAGAGAGAGAGAGAGTGAGTGAGAGAGATGGGGAGGGTAGAAATGAGAGAGGAGAGGAGTTAGGAAAAGGGGGAAAGAGGAAGAGAGAGGGTGAGAGAAAAAGAAAAAGGAACAGGTAGTTCCAAAAACATAGCACAATCAAAATAGATAAAGGTAACTTTCTTCAAATGAAAAATGATTTGTCAAATATACTCCCATGAAACATGCAACAACAAAAGATACGTGGTCATATGAAATATCAGTAGTTGATGCAGATAGCTTAAATATTTCCTTGTTCTTATGAAAGGGCATTAAAGATAGTTTCAAATTAGTTAAAATTTCATCTGGTATAAGATCTAATCACATGAGGCAGTGCATAACTTAAACAATTAGATTCTCCATGTTGGTCTTCAATGCCACTGCCACTCGTAAAGCTTGCAGAAGTAACTTAACTAAAATCTGTTTAAAATTGAGAATCTGACAAGCCTTTTAAGATTTAAAGACCCATAGTCACAAGTTCCCATGATTAATTTGACACCACTTTGGGTGTTTTCCCAATAACAGAGTGGACTACGACCGACAGGTCATATGTACTGCACTCTGCGCTCCACCAACTGCCCCATAATGAAATCTCTCCTTCACACATTTTCCTCCACTCCCATGAATTGAAGGCAAGCTGGACTGATTTTCTGTTGGGTCACAGTTTCACTGCTTGGGAGACCTCTACACAAATTAATTGGTCATTTAACCAAAGTAGGTGGCAGGTAACTATGAGACAACACATGTAAACAGAGAACGCATGGCTTGAACAGACTTACCTGTGAAACTGCTGCTCCTGAATTACTAGTACCAGCTGCCAAGTATGTTCCTTCATGAAAAAGGAAAATTATTAAATGATGCAAACTTATTAGTATTTTGACAAATCTTACTTTGTAAAATCATCCTTTAGATCTGAAATATACTTGCTTGCCTTTTCAAAGACAGATATCGACCTAAAATAACAAAGTAATTCTGACCGTTTTTTCTGGAAACTTTGCACATAAATGCAAGACCTTAAAGGTTTAAGGTCAAAGGTTAAAGGTTGATTCAGCCATGAATACAGTTCATTTGTGACTGATACAGACGTGACATTTAATTTTTTCATTTTGTTTGTTTGTTTTTGTTTTGATTCGGAAAAGAAGTAATTAAAGATATGCACAAGAATAAAAGCTCAAAAGTATTGAAAGTTTGTAATGGAAATCAATACCGGTACTTTAAAATTGAAGGGCTGCAAATTGGATTACTTTAACAGATGTTTGATAAAGTTACTTTGTATTTTTTCTCATCTAGCTCACATCTACTACTGGTATAGTGATTTTAACATTCTTGGCCCTATGGCTCCACCTGACACTACTTGTCAGTTGTCAATGAAGTGACCCCCCCCCCTCCCCCCCCCCCCTGACAATTCTTGTACAGTGTTGTGACCCTTGAAATGGAACTGAAATTATGTAGAATGTAATGAAATGACCTAGGTTAAAAGTTTAAAACCTAAACCGAAAGGACTCGTTACCCTCTAAAAACCTCTACAACCCCAAGATTCAGAAGCATTGTTTTGAGCAGGGTTATACACACATAAACTTGAAAGAAATTCAGGATACATAGACCCCTACATTTTCTTAAGAACTTCAATTCAACAATTCAATTTATTTCTCCACAAATGCCAAACATTGGAAAAAAATGAAATAAAATATATATAAACAATACTCTAACAATATTTAAAATATTGTCAAAGTCCTGTGCACACAAAAAAAAGTCAATATGGATCATACAAGGATCTTTGAAGGAAAAAGAAGTAATAGTGACGTACAGCGACACCCTGTTTAATTTACAAGCTGGAATTTTTATTTCAATATATTTTTTTTTAAGAGAAGCCTCACCATCTTCTATTATAAGGCCATCTTCCTCTTCATCAGATTCTTCTAAATCTTCATTTTCACCAAGAACTTTGTGAATCTGTTGGATGTCTTGCTGGACCTCATCATGCTCATGGTGATCTTCCTCTGTGCGCTCCTCCATTGTCTGAAATATTGGCATTAAAATACAAGAGCAGTATAGGGGGTTAGGAAAGGACTTCAACGCTACATACAGGAAAGTTGAATAAAACTTTTAAAAAAGAAAGAGCATCATGATGATCATCACTCACAACAGCGGGAGGTTCATGATCAGATATTGTTTCTTCAGCTACATTTAGAATCTACTGATTCAATATGTAATATAGTAACAGCTTTAGCCTTTACTTCCAGTTAGAACTCAGACAATTATTTTGGAGGACCAACCAACCAAGTCTGTAAATTTCACATTTTGAAATAAGTAATAAAAGCTTGCATAACTGAACATAGGAGAAGAATATAGATTTTTTTCTAGCTGATTTATAAATCAGAAAATTAGATCTAAATAAAGAAAATCGGGGGAAAAATTTTCCGAGTGTCAAAAGAGGTACAGAATGGGCTAAATCTATCCCCCCTGTGTGAGTTGTCTGGGTTACCGTCTGTGTGTGGGGAATGTCAACAAATGTCAGTTTTATTAAAGAAATGACCCATATCAGACGATTATTTCTGTCTAACATAGCGCCCAAAGTTCTACATGCTGAACTAGGTTTCTATTTATTTGAAATTTTAACAACAACTTCTATTTTCTAAAATTTTAACAAGATGAGGTCAATTAGAGTGATTGTTGCAAATACACTAGGCCTAGATCTACATTCATTATGACAAAAGCCATGTAAACAGGGCTGTCAAAAATCCCGCATTTGGAGGGAGTCTCACACCACCACGCTCATTCTCCCGCCGTCCCATCAGCTCGTAGCGGGAGACTCCCGCCACCTCGCCCTGCCCTTCCTCCCGCAATCTCCTGGTTTATGAAAAAACCTCCCGCCAGACGTGTACAATGAACCATCGTATGGATTTTTTTTGTGCTCATCTGGGGGGGGGGGGTGGGTAGCCTTAAGGGCTCTCTCGAAATGTTTTTTTAATGATATTATTCGAGAGAGCCTTAAACGGCTCCCATACCCCTGCACGGAGAGGCATGTAAACAAAACTCAAAAGTGGTCCAAAATCACACTTTCGCGCACCCGACCAATATTGGACAGTGGCTTTGATAAATTTTGTCGTAGTTTTGGTTTTAATTACCGCTTTAATTTCAAAATCGGATCTAAAAATAACAAAATAAGAGCAATTTTCTTACCAGACCGATACAGCTCAGCTCCCTTTTCACGTGTACCGTGTGAATTCACGATGTCTACACAATGGTGATGACCTCTGACTAGCACTTCCGTAATTGTGGGTAAATTGTGCTGCTTCCGTATAATGCGCTGTATGAGTGTTATTCAGCGCATTATACGGAAGCAGCACATTTACGCATACCTGCCAACCTGAGACAAGAGAAATTAGGAGTAAATTTTTCTGGATGGACTACGAGGTCGCGAACCACCGAAGGATTGGGGTAGTAGCCCGTAGATTGGGGGGGGGGGGGCAGAGATGCCAACCCTATAGGATGGCTGTCAGTAACATTTACCATATTTGTCCGTAACAAATGGGGGTCTATTTCCGTAACGCAAGACACCGCAGCATAATTTTCGCGCAAAACGTACACAAACACCCAATCACTCTTACTGCATTTCGAACCTACCATATTCAAGTCCAAAATAAAGATGTGCATAAAAACGTTTTAAAAAATCTGTTTCCAGTCAAAGGATCTCCTTCTCGGGTACTCGCTCTTTTGAGTGAATCCATGATAATATTCAGGAAGAAAACACCTCGTTCAAGCGTCGAATGGCAAATTCGAATCCACAGTCAAATGGCAGAGCTCGTATTCTACACACGCACACGTACACTCACCAGTACCACAGACACACCATACAGCCCAGGCCGCTAGGCCCGGCGTTCATGAACAACACACCGTATACCGCACTGCACTTGCAATGCGCCCGCTGAATCACCGAAGTCTTCGCTACTATATTGCGGGCGCCATGCGCACGATCATCTACCCCCATGCTCCCCTGTTTTGGAATTAAACAAGATGGCGGCGGACCGACCATGTGCGCGAAAGTGTCTATCCAGTGTAGTCAAATTCAGTGAACCTATGAGTGAATGCGTGCGACATGCAGCGCTGTGTGCGGAGGCCATGTGATAAGGGCTTAAGGCGGCATTCGCTATATAAAGTGCTTATGTTTATCGTTTCCCCGTAAGGCGTGATCTGGTTATCAGTGCTGTGTTATGCTTTAGTCTTATGCAACAGTCGTTTGTTTTAAAAATATTTTAAAATTACAAAAAATCGGAGTTTTGAGGCATGCAATCGGAATTCGGAGTGGGTATGAAAAAAGCGGAGTAACTCCGCCTAAATCGGAGTGGTTGGCAGGTATGTTTACGAAGTGCTAGTCAGAGGTCATCACCATTATGTAGACATCGTGAATTCACACGGTACACGTGAAAAGGGAGCTGAGCTGTATCGGTCTGGTAAGAAAATTGCTCTTATTTTGTTATTTTTAGATCCGATTTTGAAATTAAAGCGGTAATTAAAACCAAAACTACGACAAAATTTATCAAAGCCACTGTCCAATATTGGTCGGGTGCGCGAAAGTGTGATTTTGGACCACTTTTGAGTTTTGTTTACATGCCTCTCCGTGCAGGGGTATGGGAGCCGTTTAAGGCTCTCTCGAATAATATCATTAAAAAAACATTTCGAGAGAGCCCTTAAGGCTAGGGGGTGGGTAGGGATCACTTCAATTTGTTTTTCTTTTTTCTTACTTAACTCCCCCTCCCTGTTGAGCCCCAAAATAAAATAGATCTAGCATACGAATTACAATCTCCCTCGAAGCAGTTCCCCAAAGTTGACAGTCCTGTGTCAAGGACAAAGAAAGTTGACTGTGCATGTGTATTGTTTAGTTGCATTTATTAAATGCAAGGCCTGGCCCGACCTGAGGCTGAGCCCGCTAGCCGCTGACCGGCATGAGCTGAGCCAGCGCCGGGCAAGGCCAAGGCCCGGCGAGCGCGCGGCCCTCGGCTCAGCTTCAGCTCAGGCCAGGCCAGGCCCAGGGCAAGATGTGCCTCGCTTTAGCCTTTACCAGGACCAGATTATATAACCTCGATTGCCGATTAATTTTTAAGATAATGCATGGAAGATAAGGGAGATAAGTACAAACACTCACAGTTAGCGCCTATAGCAGGCCCTCGCCCGAGTAATCACTAATAGTCTACTAATCGTTGTTCAAACGATGCACGTTCACCACATATCGCATTCATCGAAAAATCTACCCGAAAGTTCAGTTCAACCGTGCCAGTGCATTATTCGTATGGGGAATTTCCCTTATAAACAAACCGAGCGAACGGCGTATATCTGAATTAAGCGACGATATTATAAGAAACAATTGTAGTACATAATGGTGTCCTCAAAAGTGTTACAACAGTGACAATAAATTCAGTAAGATATTGTACATCGCCTTGGAAATGTGCTCCATCAATTACACTTGCTATATATATGTATGTTTTCTCAATTATATTCGCTTCATGTGAATAAATTTTATCTGTAATCGCACCCAAATAACTCCTCAGAGAGCGTCGATGTGGCTCTAAGTTCATCTAAAAATTAGATGATGTCTGCAACCCACTCTATTTTTATCCCGGCCCCCCCCCCCCATCAGGGGTTGGAATGACCGCATGCGTGTTGCCAAAATGTCCGGTAAAGGGGTACTTTTCGTGCGACAAAGTCCGGCCCGAGAATTGTAAAAAAAGGGGTGTATTTGACTTTTCACCCGGAGATTTCTTTAAAAAGGGGGTGTTTTTTCTTTTTTTCTCTCATCTCTTTGGACTCCTGAGAAATTATTCCGAATTTAGGGGGGTACATTGAGCATTTTTCCTGATTTAGGGGGGTCTCCAAGGCAGAAAAAGCCCGCGAAAGGGGGGTTCGAAAATGTTGGCAGTCCTCAGATAGGGGGTGCTTTCAAAAAGAGGGAACGAGCATATGCGTACCCTAAATAACACTGAGTGGGGGGGGGGGGGCAGCATTGTTATTACATATTTATTTATAAAATGTTCATCAGTATACTTACATTGCCTTGGAGATGTATTTTAATTGCTTTATTTCTTTTGTTAATGAGAAAAAACAAATTTGGGGAGGGGGGCAAAATAGTTTTCAAAAATTGTGTTTAAATAGTTGACTCGGGCAGGCGCGTACGCAGGGGGGGGGGTTAAACTTCCCCTTCATTTTTGTTTATGTGTATGTTTTGGGGGAATATCTCTCTTTCTCTGTATTCTATCCATCTATCTCTCCGTCTCTCTAAATCTTTATCTCTCTCTATCTCTCACCCTCTCTTTATCTCCCCTCTATCTCTATCTCTCACCCTCTCTTTATCTCCCCTCTATCTCTATCTCTCACTTTATCTCTCCCTCTATCTCTCTCCCTCTTTCTCTATATAAACTCTCTCTTTCTCCCCCTCTCTCTCTCTCTTTCTATCTCTTTAGCTATCCCTCTCGTACAACGTTTGTAACATTATTCTGCCAAAAGGGGGTTTGACGGCATGGTTTATCTTAATTCAGAGAAACACAGAAAAATAATGTTTTTTCAATCTCTTTGAACACCTGTAAGGATTCAGAAAAGGCTAAAAAAAAAAATTAAAAAAAACACTCATTCGTGACCGTTTGATAGTGTTTAGTAAAAGATCTCTCTGCTTGGCAAGAACTTGCTGGTGAAACAAGAATGAGTCTCAGAAGTTGCTCAACATTTGGGAACATCCCCCTAACTTCCGGAATCGTGCCCTGCCTGCCTTCCTGCATTCTTCCACAAAAGAATATTTGAACTGATGTCGGAGGAAGACCAATTCTCACCTAAGACCATTCCCCGATTCAAACTTGTCAATGAGATCATCATCTATTGATCCACATAGTAGAAACGATGCCAGTCTCTTTGTTCTTCTAGGTCTGTTGAGATCCCGGCCCCCCACTCAGAGGTCGGAATGACCGCATGCGTGTTGCCAAAATGTCCGGTAAAGGGGTACTTTTCGTGCGACAAAGTCCGGCCCGAGAATTGTAAAAAAAGGGGTGTATTTGACTTTTCACTCGGAGATTTCTTTAAAAAGGGAGTGTTTTTTTTTCTTCTCTCATCTCTTTGGACTACTGAGAAATTATTCCGAATTTAGGGGGGTACATTGAGCATTTTTCCTGATTTAGGGGGGTCTCCAAGGCAGGAAAAGCCCGCGAAAGGGGGTTCGGAAATATTGGCAGTCCTCAGATAGGGGGTACTTTCAAAAAGAGGGAACGAGCATAATGCGTACCCTAAATAACATTGAGTGGGGGGGGGGCGGGGTTGAGGTGAAGTAGATCCTGAAATTGGAAAGGGCCGCACAGTTTATATTAGCTTGAAGAACTCTACACGATACTTTTCTTCTAGAGATTCTAAAACATATTGATGCGATCCCTCAGTGTATCTAACTGGACTTCTTTATTTGCGTGACATTAGGGGATGCAGCTTCCACTGTTCGATTTTCTTCATTGCTTCTTCATATTTAGAGCTTTAAAACTCTCTTCAGAATGGAACTCTCATTCTCATTCTCATTCTCATTCTTAACAAGCTCTGCAGAAGCAAGAATTCCTGAAATAGTGGCTGAGGGACTTTGAAGAATTCAAATGAATTTCTCCATACACATCAGAACTGGTAATGCCACAACAAGGCCCAAAACACATTTTCCTGCCGAGAGACACTTCTTCAAGCAAGTGGCACGGGAAGAGAGATCAGTTCCAAAGTTCTTGGATGAAAAATGGGGAATAGGGCCTAATGAAAAGATGGATGGTCCAAAATAACGAATAAACAGTGGGAACACTTTAGTTCAGCTGGCAACTTTTGAAAAGTAAACAAATAAAAATAAACAAAATTATTTTAAAAAAATCAACACAGAGAAAAAGAGAGAAAGAAAGAAAGTTATTTTTTTAAACCCCAAATCGTGGGGGGGGGGGGGGGTACATTTCACCACCTGAAAATTCGTGGGGGACGTGTCCCCCCGCCCCCCCCCCCCCAGGGTTGACGCCCATTGTTGCAGTGAGCACTTCATTTTGCCCCCCCCCCCCGAGATTTGAAAAATGTCCCGACCAATATTTCGGGGGGGGGGGGGTAAAAAGAAAAAAAAAAATCATTTTGCCCCTGACATTTTTACTTTTTTTGTTTTTGGTCCGCCCAAGGTGGGGAGCGGAGGTTTAACCCCCCCCCCCCCCCGTAGATCCGCCCTGATGAAATAATTGAGATAAATTAATTGAATGTATTTTTTAAAAACATGAGCAACAATTATCAGGTTCTCCCTGAAACGTTTTCAGTTTTGTGGTTTATGTGCATCTGTATTATTTAGCTGTTCAAAAAGTTCGTTGACCTTAATGCAATCTTCGTTTCCAATTCCAGCTTTGAGATAGCTGAGGGGATTTTGGAGTGATCTTTCAGCTCTAAAACAAGTCTAGAAAAAGCTTTGAATATAACCAAGATGTTGTCAAGATTCCCGAAAAATGTGGTAAGCTTCAATCGCATTTTAATTTTTCTAGAAGCACATTTTCCTATCTAAAACAAAGTCAAGGACAAGCATTTCAACTTCAAGGTAGATTTCTTGCTGTCTGGGCTGGGGTTCGCTGGCAACTGTGCCGGTGAGAGTGGCAGCTCCAGACGGCCCGGCCCGTGGGCCAACGTCAACGGGCGTGTCCGTGAATTCTTCCTGACGCTCTGCAACAAACTTTAAACAGCCAAATATTTGAGCTTGCGCGCTTGGTGATAATATGCAATATGATTAATATTGCTATCAGCAACTTGACCAAGCCTTAAATATCATGAATATATTATTGGCGTTCATTTGCCAGTGTGGCTAGAACCAGTGCCTTTTGGGCAGAGTGATGAACTCATTCGAACACAGCTTGGATTCTTTTTGGTCAGACAAACACTGTGTTATGCATGTAGCATAGTCTGACATCCACGCATGCACTGATATAGACCTTTACTAATGTACCAAGTGATCTGACCGGAGACCTACATACAGGATATCCTACACTCCTGTATAGATGATGATTATGATGAATTGTAATTCTATTTCTAAACCTAAACGGTAAACCTCAAAGTCAAACTCAGTCAAAGTCAAAGCAAATTAAAACAATGTGTAGGCCTACGTTATTACCCATTCCTGGACAAACCTTGCAAACTAGACCTTACCTGCTTCACTTCTGCACTTCGGACTGTGTTGCAATACTAGCTCTTCTTTCTACTCTTGTAAAGCACCTTTAAATGAGTCAACATGACATTTAAATAGAACTTTTGGAAACTTGGCAGCAGAGTTCTATAGTTAGACTGAATTTTCTGTCTCTTTCGTTCGTTAGCCTCTGATTTGGGTAGCCGACCCTACCCGGATCAGAGGAGGAGCTGACCCTACCCAAATCAAAGGCTAACAAGAGAGGAGCCGACCCTACCCAAATCAGAGGCTAACGAACGAAAGAGACAGAAAATTTGGTCTAAGTTATAGTTAGAGATGAGCTGTGCTTAAAATAATGTACAGTACATGTGATGTATCTTCCTGATGATAATGAGCTAAACATAGACCACAGCTTTATGTATTCGTTTTACATTACAATAACACGTACACTGACCTCTGATGAGAGTTTGAGATGTTGATTCTGCTGGAAACAATTAGAAATGTGGTGTAGGCCTACACAAAAGTGGCTGTCTTTCAGATTTCCAATTTGATACTTTCTTTACGACAACAGTGATCAGTGTTCAAAGGCACGAGGGGAGTGTTGCTAAATTCAGCAAACACCCTGCAGGTGCACACACCGAAGTACACTAAACACCATTCTCGTAAAGTCAGCATCAAATTGGCAATGTAAGATCAGCCATTATTTCACTGTATTTGTGTTTGCGGCAGAATCAACATCACAAACTCTCATCAGGGTCAGCATTTTTGTTATTCATATCGCATGTTGACTCATCAGTTTCAAGGATGTTGGGTCCCCTAAATGTACCTTTTTTGAGTGCTTCTCCCTCTGTTTGTTGGTGATTTGATATTTTTAATTTCCTCTTTTTCAGGAGTTGGGAGGGGATGGAGGAAGTGTGTGCGCGTGTGTTTGGTACAATCATTGACCTACTATTCCATCGTACAATGTGTTGTGGTTAAAGAGAAAGGTTGAGTTCTGGGAAGAGGTGAAAAATGATTTGTGAGCGTTATCATTGTTATGCAATTGGGGAAGAACATCAGATTAAAAATGTTCCCTGAAAAACACGGCTCTTCAAATGCCTTGATATTCTAAATATGGCATGTAACAGCATAAAATTGGGACAGATTTTTATGCGACATGTTCGTGTAGTCCCATATACATCTTTCTGTGTACACTACAGTGCTTGTAACTTTACCAAGACCAAATTTCTTATCATTTTGATGATTCTAGAACCTTGCAGGACACACCAATACTTACCGGTATATGCTAGATGATTAACCTTTTCTGATAGATTCCACACTGTTTCTTTCACAATGTGATCGCATGACCAGAATTCAACTTTATCTTGAACTTATGAGTAACGGTAGTATGATGATTTGGACCTCTGAAAGAGATTGTAGAATTTTTGGTACGGAGTTTGTGTTTTGAGAGACACAAAAGGTGTATTGAGACATTGAGAGAATGTCAATCTGCTTTATAATCTTCCATCCCTTTTTATATTTTTCTAAGCTAGCTTGGTGCCGGGTAGGTCCTTGCCCTATAATACCCAAGCTTACGTATTAAAATGATTCCATCAATATCGATCATGTTTTGTTTGATCTATTTCTATCAAATCAAAGAGATACCAAATCCCCTTCGTTTGAATGTACTTCTTACATGTAGTACTTAGTCCAGTTTTGTAATATGTTTTTGTCATGTCTATTTCTAATTTAAATGTGCAAACTGTGCAATACAAATTGTTACTTTTCACTGATCCAATGCAATCTGTTAGGTTCAAGAGTGTCCATTTATTCATGTATAAATCTCAATGAATCTGAATCTAAACTACATGTATCTGGCATATATGTACATGTACATGTCATGTACATGTATGTTTTGCACAATTCTTTAATAAATTCATTTTCTTCTGCTCTAATTCTATTATTGGGCAGGCTTTTCAATGTGAAAGTGGGCTGATATTTCAGGTTTTTAGTTTTAACTCATCATTTATCTTTGCCCTGAATGTTTTTAAGCAAAGGATTTTAATAATCAGCAATCAGCATCACTTCCCTTTTAAAGAAGCCTGAAACACATGTTTAATATCAATCAAACTCTTAAATTGAGGAATAATTGCACAGAAAAGATGTTCATTAGTTAAACGACGTTGTACGTGTATGCTTATAGCTTACACAGGATTAGTGCCTGATGTGACGTCATCAAAACATCGCTAAATTTGCTGGCTAAGCGCTCATGTATCCCAGATCATGAGAGGTGCTTTTATTTGTGTTTGTTTTTTATTGTCCAGTATGCAGTTGACCTAAGACTATTGTAAATTGTGTTGGTTTCTTGTGATAAATTATTGACCATAATTGTGGTTTTCACTTAATGTCTACTTAGTGTCTACAAGTTGAGTTCTGGTCATGCGATTGCATTCTGAAAGTACCAGTGTGGAATATCGATCAGAACTTGTGTACTGCAAGGTTCTGGAATCATCAAAATAATAAGAAATTTGGCCCAGTCTTGATAAAGTAATTACAAGCACTGTACACAAAAAGATGTATATGGGACTACACAAACATGTGGCGTAAAAATCTGTCCCGCTTTTTATGCTGTTACATGCCATATTTATAATAACAAGGCATTTGAAGAGCCATGCTTTTCAGGGAACATTTTTAATGTGATGTTCTTCCACATTTGCATAATAACAATGATTACGCTCACAAATGATTTTTCACCTCTTCCCAGAACTCAACCTTCTCTTTAAAAAATCAAGATTTATGCTCAGTACGATAATTCTTACTTCCATGTAACGTTGTACAGAAGGTCAAGCTGAATGTCAGGTGACCTACGTATGTGGGACATGTACAGTATGCAGTCACCTGACTCACCTCCAGCTCCAAGCCCATTGTCATGTGACCCCATTGTAAACAAATGTAGGTCAAGCTTTTTATTGGCTCTGAGCCAAGGCTTAGACCCAAAAACGTAAACAATGCATGTTCAAGGGCAAAGTTCCCATTCCCTATAAAGCTGTCAAAGTGCATACTGGTACCGGTCCTACATTACAAGTATTTGCCAAGGGATAAGAGACAGTAATACCAGTATCTGCTGAGTTCAGTCATTTGGAGTTAGGAACTGATAAGTGGTACCGGTTTTATTTGATCTGTGATGATTACACCAGTTATAGTGGTCAATTTTTATATAGATTTGGTGGGCGGATATACAACCCTGTACCCTGTACATGCAACTAAATTGTCTGCAATAAAAATTAGTTGCTACTTAAATCTTTTACCAGAGCAGTGATATACATGCACAGGATTATTAAACAGTGAAAGGTAAGGGTATGCATGGTATGTACAGGTATGCATGCCATGGTATGGGCATGTGACTGTGAGGTTTTTTTTTAAAGTTTGCTAATTAACCAAATATTTTCAAAAGACCAAGAGTATCTTTTGTACAAAGTACTGGTATTGCACTATTCATAGAACTTGTACACTTGGATGCAGTCTTGTGACTCATAATGGCAGTGTGCAATATATATGCAATATATGCAATATATATGCAATATATGCAATATATATGGGTCTAAACTCAAACTAGAGAAGTGTACAATTACTTTTTATATCATTATTTCTTCTTCAAAATTTAGCAGAGGTATTATAAATTGTATGTGCTATATTGTGATACTGTTGACAGCTTTAAACATGTCTTAAAAACGTTTTGTTTTTAGAAAAAATTCCAATGTTAACTGATTGTATGATGAGCGTATCTCACTCTTCTCAATATCATTCTTCTCCTTTACAGTGCATAGGGACATATTTGTTATAAAGTGTATGGCATATTTGTTATCATTTATATTACCGGTATAACAATTAATCAAGTCAACTGTTTCTGAAACTTAAAGCAATGTCTCTTGCTCAATTTGAAACTATTTAAGAAGTACACTGTAAATCAATCCACATCCAAGACAAATAAAGACCTACCGGTACCTTTTTTTCTGAAGAGATAAACTCCATTTACTGTTTCAGTTACATATTTTATCAGCGCTATGGTACAATGTACATGTATATATTTTGAAAAGTGCAGTATAAATGACAATTGTTATTGTTATTATGTCAGTGTTATGATTATCATTATTAGTAGTATTATTACTGTTGTTGTTGTTATTGTTTACCGGTACCTGTCACAACATTTAGATTTCATGACATGGTTACATGTACTCGTATATTTGTTAGCTCTCTTTATTGTGAAAATAACATGCAATGGAATCATTAGATCATTGGAGATATTGTGAATCGATCTGCAAGTTTGTTGATAAATACAAATTTATTTTGTACATGTAAAAAAAAAAAAATCAAATTCATGTATACCATCTTTTTCTTTATCCAGGCCTGATAAAAACCAGATTTAAATCAGTTTCTCGATTTATTTATTTTCTTCCCGATGTGAACCTATTAGGTGATTTTCTCTATTTTTCCCCCCAATTTTCCCAATTTTTTCCCCCCAATTTTCCCAATTTTTCCCCCCAATTTTCCCAATTTTTCCCCAATTTTCTTACTCGAAAGGGGGAAATGTTGCTAGATGCCATTTTTCCCCCGCGAATCCTCTTCTTTCTTTTTTACTCAAGGGGGCGTGTTTGAGGGGAAAACAAAAAACCTATTTTTTTTTAGTGCTCACTATCACCCCTGTTTATCTTCCGCCTAATAGATACGTCGAGTTATGGGCATAACCGGTAAAGATGGTGCACAACTGCCCGCCCGATTGGGGCCCAGCGACGTCCATGCAGGTCGGATGTTTGCTCACCAAGACTCCCTCGCTAGGCTACCTGTACCTCCGCTGCAGCAGACGTTGTATAAGTACCTGATGGCGGTCAAACCCATCATCAGTCCTGAAGACTATGAAGTCACAAAGAAGGTATGGTGGTTTGATAGCAGGGGCAAAGATATTCAAAAAATTGGGAGGCTACTTTTCAAGCTTGCATGAAAATAACACTCTTTATTCTTTAACTTGTTTTGCATTGAACTCTATGCAAATTTTTGGTGCTCTTTATGACTTTCAAGGGCTCTTCTGGGCATTTTGGGGGCATTTTCACCCCAAGCCCCCCTCTATTTTTCCCTGTCTTATAATAAATGGGTTATTACTTACTCATTGTAAACCTTGTGGCATCTCCATAATTATGTTCTAGTTGAGTGGTTTTGTCACTTTACCGGGGATGTACAGTGTACATGGTGATGCGAAGGTTGAGGGTTCGAATCCCGACACGGCACTAATATCCTTTGGCAAGATACTAACCTGCACTTGCTACTCTCCACCCAGGTGTTAAATGAGTACCCAGTAGGATGCGACCGTCATTGTTGGTCAAACAGTTTTTGAGCGCCAATTAACGACATGCTGGAATTCTCCCCAGGGAGTGGAGATTGTGCACACAGTGTGTGTGGGCAAGTAGTGAATCTAATGACCGGGGTAACAGTATATCTGTAAAGCACTTGGAGACATCATAGATCTATTAGTGATATATGAAAGCGGAATTATTATTAGATGCTTTGAGTTTGAGCCACTGACAATTAACAACTAAAATATTCATAATTATTTATCAATTATTTGTAATTTGTTAAGTATGTGAAAAATTGATTTGTCCAGATAGATCTCTCTTGAGAATGTTACAAATTATAGCTTACATCTAAAAGTATTCAACAAAGGCCCTAATTCAACTCATCCACTTTTCAATCTTGAGTTACGAAAAACACAAAAAACATTAAATTTACAAGGGGTATGAAATATTCAGTTGTTAACTGTACTTTAGTTACATTGCTTCTCTTTACCTAGGTGTTAATTTGGTACTCAGTAGGGTGCACACATGTACATCATTGTTGTTGTATTAATATTAAATAGCTTTTACACATATGAGTACAAATCTACATTTTGTCTTTACCCTGGTGTAAATTGGTACCTGATATACCAGGGTACTGCATATTTAGCTGCTTGACTATAACTGAAGTCATTCTGAAGATATTCAAGTACCAGGAGCATCACAGCATCATAGACACGAGTGCTATTTGTTAGTAGTAGTAGTAGTAGTAGTAGTGGTAGTAGTAGTAGTAGTGGTAGTGGTAGTAGTAGTAGTAGTAGTGTTACCATTAGGCCTTTAAAAATTGTATTGTCCTTTAAGTGCCAAAACATGGGTCGGTCGGTCAGAAATCCTTTTTTTGTTTTACTTTTTTTCTCCCTCTTTAGGACGATATTTCTCAGTTTTGAATGCTTTAAAGCATTTTTTCAAAAAAACGGTAAAACACAAAAAAACTTTTGGAAAAAGCCGACCATAGATTTCAAAAAATTTGGGTCAGTCACAAAGTACAATTCAACTTTTTTTTTGTTTTAGGCATCAGCATCATCATCTTCATCATTATTATTATTGTTGTTATAGTAGTATTATTATTTTAGTTTTAAATATCATTATAATCGTCATCAATAATTGCTTTCATTCTTGAATTGTGATCATTTGTCTGTAGATTGTAGATGACTTTGGGAAACCAGGCGGTGTAGGACAAGATCTTCAGATGGGTCTGATTAACAGAGCTAAGAAAATGGACAATTGGGTAAGTCAAGTTCTTATTGTCATCTAATCTTATCATCTAATTTCAAGTTATCCCAAGTCATTTGGCTTGGGGGGGGGGGGGAGAGAACTGTGTATAGGGTATTTAATGTTTATATTTTATTGTATTACCTTGTTGGGGTCATTTTCATATGATTTGTTCAGGTGCCTTCTGTTTTACAAGCCTCGTGCCTTTTTTGTGAGGTATACTTTCATCTATTATTCTGCCAATTTGTGTACCGGGGTACATGTATTTATGATTGTTATTTGTGAGTGTTTTCACATTGTTGGATGATAAAATTAATGAAATTAATTGAATTAAAGCCAACAACAAGAGTGGATGAATTTGTTCCCCCTTAATCTTTTGGTTTGGTAGGTGCTATTACACTACATGATGATTATAATCAGTTTAATTTATTGATCACTCATAGGTTGAATAGGATATGTTTGGTTAAAACTTTGAACGTAAACAGATTGATTATAAAAACTGTCAAGCACGGGGCTCAAGCACAATCTATGATTGAATTATCATTCAAATTTCAAGATTATTTTGAATGCTAGAATATCATTTGCCCTAAAACATGTGTGTGATTGCAGTTCTGTCTGAAGTCTTTGGACTATCTTAGATTATCAAATTCTAAAGCAGCTGCACACCTTATGACCGTATATTATTAAATTTCAAAAGAAAGTACATACAGGTTAGATATAAATTCTTCTTGAATGAATTCCTGCATTGTCTTATGAAGAGTAACATCACCAGGACATTTAGCCTTTCAGGCTTGTACAAAGCGTTAGGTGATATAGTAGGTACTCAGATGACTGGTCTGAGGTCACTATTAGGCCTGTCGTCATCAGCTCCAGATTGCCAAATATCCTGCAATTTGAACTATCCCTATCCCGATCCCGATCTTCATCAGCCCGAAGTTGCAATTAGCAGGATATTTGGTCGAGATAATCATCCAAAGATATCTTGGGCTAGTTTGCAATATATCCCGCTATCTGGCAAACTATCCCACTATGTGGCAAAATATCCCACTATTTGGCAAAATATCCCGCTATTTGTCCAGTGCGTCTTCACCAGCCCGAAGACTGTCAATATGCGTGAATGCTGAGCAAAATATCTCGAGCCAATTTCCTGATCTCAAGTTTCAAGTTTCGAGGTAAAGTCTTGAGCTGATGAAGACGCGATTTGTAACTTTCGGGATCATTTCCCAAATCAGAAATAGTGGGCTATTTGGCTATCTCAAGCTAATGAAAACAGGCCTTATGAATTGCAGCCAATCAGTTTTTCCTGACTGGAAGTCCAAAGGTCATCCTTTGATAATGGCCTCAGCCTGATTGGCCTCGGAAGGAGTCATATGTAGTATTTTTCAGCAAAATTGTGGCTGATTGTTCACCCATATTTTATTGGAATTTGCATTAAATAAAAACAATTGTATTTATGTAAGTATGACCAGAAGACTCTCAATGCTCTATTTATTTGACAAGTTTGTGACTATGATCACAAAATATTTATATTTGATGAATTGTTCCATTGTAATCTTACTACAATGTCTACCAGAATGAAATGGTTGTTGGAAAGAAAGGTGTGCAGTGCCTGTAAGATTTAAAATAACATCTAAAGCTTGTCAATCTTTGTTGTCCCGTCTCCAATCTCCAATCTCCAATGATGATCTAGTTATCAGACTGGTGGTTGAATGTAGCCTATCTGGACTTCAGATCGCCGGTCATTGTCCATAGCTCACCGGGGGTCGTCTTTCCCACGGACGAGATGTCAGAGTTCAAAGGTCGTGAGGGTCAGCTCCAACAAGCAGCCAAGCTCATCAGGAGTGTCATGGATTTCAAGTACTTAATTGACACGTAAGATAAGAGTTGCATTTTCATTGCTAGCATTCTGTGAATTTTTCATCTATCATACATTTTTCTTCAAAGTACTAGAAGAATGCTCATTCTCCTGCAGAGTACCAGGTCCTAAGAAAGACAAAATCCTGATCCTCTCCTCCCCCCCCCTCTCTCTCTCTCTCTCTCTCTTTCCCTCTCACTCACTCAATTCATCTCCATCTTTCGTTCTCTCTGTCCCTGTCGATAACATAGCTTGTCAACCTTTATGCATGGATCAGTCTGGCAAGGTTCTAGAGTCTTGCAGGATACCAGGTCCCAAGAAGGACATAATTCTGATCCTTCCCCCACCCTCCCCCCCCCCTCTCTCTGTCTCTTTCCCTCTCTCTCTCTCTCTCTCTCTCTCTCTCTCTCTTTCCCTTTCACTCACTCAATTTCCCTCCGTCTTTCATTCTCTCCTCAGTCAATCTGTTCCAGTCGATAAGATGGTTTGTCAAACATTATGCATGGATCAGTACTTCATTGTACAAGGTTCTAGCATCTTGCAGGAAACCAGTTCCAAAGAAAGACAAAATCCTGATCCTTACGCCACCCCCTCTCTCTCTTTCCCTTTCACTCACTCAATTCCTCTCTATCTTTCATTCTCTCCTCAGTCAATCTGTTCCAGTCGATAAGATGGCTGGCCAACCTTTATGCATGGATCAGTACTACAAGGTTCTAGCGTCTTGCAGGATACCAGGTCCCAAGAAGGACGAGGTCAAAATCTTCCCACCCAACATGCCTAATGCTCCAAAGCACATCACCGTCGCCTTCAACAACCAGGTAATAATGTTAAGCTGTCATTTGGTAAGTCATCATCAGCTCGAGATTGCCAAATAGCTCGCTATTTGTGATTTTAGAAATAAGCCTGAAGTTACAAATCACGTCTTCATCAGCTAGAGATTCGACCTCGAAACTCGAAACTCCAGCTAGTTTGCTCAGCGTTCGCGCATAGTGGAGTCTTCGGGCTGGTGAAGACGCACCGGACAAATAGCGGGATATTTTTCAACTAGCCCAAGATATCTTGGGATGATTATTTCTACCAAATATCCCACTAATTGCAACTGCGGGCTGATGAAGACGCAAATTAGCTGGATAATTTGTGATCGGGATAGTTAAAATAGTGGGTTATTTGGCAATCTCGAGCTGATGAAAACAGGCCTACTGTCACTTCAATGTTCAAGGTCCTATTTCATGCATAGACAGCAATATGATACAATACAAAGACGCTTCCATAAATGCTCCAGTGACATTTTCTCTAAGTTTTATTTCATCCAAGACAAAGGGCTAGGGTTAGGGTGAGGGTTGTACTTGGGTTTGTGGTTATGTTTAGGTTTAGGTTTAGTGATGATGTAGGGTTCAAGTTAAGAAGTGTCGTAGTCGAGTGGTTTAAGCACTTGACTTGAAATTCAAAGGTTGTAGTTCGATCCCTGACATGGCACTAATGTCCTTTGGCAAGGCATTAATAATAATAATAATAATAATACACAATATTTATAAGGCGCTTAATACTGGTGTCTCTAAGCGCACCATATTCTTCATTTGCCACACTCGACCCAGGTGAGGTAAACAGGTACCTGGTAATAATTAATTCTTTGAAATGCTGGAGCGCTGTGATGGCAGCTTGGCCAAAGCCGAGGTATAGAATTTCTAGATAGACGGCGCTATAGAAATGCCTATTATTATCATTATTATTAAGAATTTGTTTAATGCAGGATAGTGACAGAAGAGTTACTGTTGCCAGAGCGTGTGTGTTGTTCAGCCAATCCAAGGACCAGCAGCTAGAAAAGAATCTTGCTGTAAATCCCAGTATTAATATTAGTCACAGAATATGTACATGAATAAAAAGATTATAGAAAAAAATCTTGCTGTAAATCGGAATATTGATAATAGTTACAGAATATGTACATGAATATTGAAAGAGGTCTGTCCCATGAAGGTTCCTAACATAATACTCAGCATGTTTGTAAGTAACTCCTTTGTCTACATTTGTGCAGTTCTACAGCGTGGATGTGCTGCGGCCCGACGGAAAACCTTACAGCCTGGATGACCTCTATGCACAGCTGAAATACATCGTCATGGCAACCCCGATGCCTGCGGTGCCGGTCGGTATACTCACCGCCGAGCACAGGAATACATGGGGAAAGATCTACAAGAAAATGAAGAAAGGTGAGCTCTAGAGTAAAGTAGAGGAGAAACAGACCTTGAGGGCAGTTGCCAATTTGATTAATTTGTATCAAACCGCATAGAAACAATTATGTAATATGCGCTATATAAGAATTGAACATTATTATTATTAATATCAAAACTTTCCTCCAGATTATGAGAACAAGGACTCCTTTGAGAAGATCAAGCGTAGTCTCTTTCTTGTCGCCCTGGACCAGGATGAGAGGCTGGGTGCAGATGGAAGTGATATAGCCATGCGAGGGCGCCAGTCGCTCTATGGGGGCGGCAGTATGATCAGCAGCGGCAACAGATGGTTTGATAAAACATTGCAAGTGAGTTAAAACCCACACCTCAGTCACACTGCCTAACCATCTATAAACAAATTCCAAACTGAACGATTTCTAGGTTTTGGGGGCAGTGTATAGCCCACCTGTATAGAAAGACCACCTGTCCATAAAGACCACATTTTCTGTTTCCCTTGAACAGTGTTTGTCATTAGTCGCAAGACGACCTCCTGCCCATAAAAATCACTTTTATTATCTCCCTTGAGTGGTCTTTATATACAGGTTTCAGTGTATTTTGTGTGGTATGTTGCTGGTCTAGCTAGGGTCGATCTCTGGTATTACCAATTTCACATATTCTTTGAAAACTCCTTGAAATTGACAAAAAGATTCATTCAAAATCTGGTGCAAATCGAGGATTCAAGCTTTTGATATCATCAACGGGCGTGAATTAATATCTTTTTATTTGATTCAACAAATTGAATGATGAAATGCAATGAAATCTTGTTCAAGGTATTACTTCGCAGTTTATAATTATTTTTTTGACCCAATGTTAGTAGTACTTTCTTTTTCTAAATAAAAGATTGTTAACTTGTATCGCCTATTTGAAGGACAATATGTGATCATTTTAGTCAAAAAATAAATCCTGTTCTGAAATGGTAAGTGCCCTTCTGGAGATATCCTCTATAATGATTTGAAGTAAAATCATTTAAATTTAACAATTATGTGATAAATTGAATGTTATAAATCAGATGCAAAGCATGACTAAAGTTTTTAACGTGATTTGCTTGGTAATTTTGTTTTCTTCTTTTTGATATACAGTTCTGGGTTGGTACTTCAGGTTATATGGGCCTAACCTATGAGCACTGTACTGCAGAAGGCCCACCTATAGTAGCTATGGTTGACCACAGTCTCAATAACATGTAAGTCAAGTACGGTGCGCCAAAAGGGCTTAAAACATGTAATAGCGACAGGTTTGAATTTTGATTTTACAGTTTTGAAAATTAGTTACAGGATTGAATCTTGATTGTACAGGTTTAAAAATCAGTTACAGAAAATATATGTGTTTCCATTCTGAAAAAATTAATCTGATTTGAAAGAACCATGTTTGGGTGGAAGGTATTTTACTGGAAGGGAGTACCTATCTTAAATAAAGTATATCCCATAGGCCTTTTGTCACCTTTCAGATCTGCAATTTTGAGAGAGATCCAGATTTATGAAACCCTGCCACCAAAATGCTGACCATTAACATTATATGAAAGGCTAATTTGGCGTAGTTTTCTAGTTTGCAGCAACGCTGATTGTAATTTAAATGTTTTATATACATTGTTTTTTATTGTGCAGGGCCAATCAAGGATAGCAGTTTGTTAGCTGGAGAAGCGACCCTGCTTAAATAATAAAATAATAAAAAGGTATTTTATCTGTTCACTGTTAGTTTATCAATCCAATGTTGTCTGTACCCCTAGGAATAATCTAGTGACAGAAGCCGGTTCAGATACACCCAATCCACCTAAACCAGAGCGTCTCGACTTCAACATCAGCCCTGATATAGTAGAAGCCATCGAAGAAGCCAAGCATAATGTTGATGTGTAAGTACATTGAACAAGTTTCTTGAGGGTATGAATGATTGGGATAAATCATCCGCCCCCCCCTCCTTTTTTTGTTAGAGATTGTTTTGTTTGGGGGCCAGATGTATTGTTAATTCTTAGTCGAAGATTAATTTCCTAAAGAACCTGAAATGAAGATGTTTATAATAGAATTGTTGTCATAGAATATTTGTAAATTGATTAAGTTAATTAACCAGAATCCTCAAGCAAATGTATCTCAGAGTAAATATCAATATAAACCAAAGTAGAGAAGTATTTTTAAATGATATTCTTACCATTGTCCGCATACACATACACTTGCTCCCAATAACCCATATTGTTATATTTTCTTTAACTAAGTTTCCAAAAGTTGAATAGGATCTTCTCCTGAAGTTTTAAAGTAAAAAATAATTCATTATAATAATAATAATAATATTGGGTTCTTGTATAGCGCTCATGTCACAGTCTGTCACACTTGACACTCCTGGCGCTCCTGATTATTACCCCGGCTTTAGCATGGCTGCCATTACGGCGCTCTAGCATTTTAAGGAATTGATTCCTGCCAGGTACCCATTTACATCACCTGGGTTGAGTGTGGCAAATGTAAATCAATGTCTTGCTAAAGGAAATTATGACCCAAAGTGCAGGGAGAAACTGTTCAATATCTTGAGGAGGATACAAATGATCAATCTTCTATTTTACTTTCCTTATCCATATATTGTTTGCAGGGCTCATAACGATCTACAAGTTACCCTCTTCCAGTTCAAGGATTTTGGTAAAAACCTCCCCAAGTCTCAACGTCTCAGTCCAGACTCCTTCATCCAGAATGCAATACAGTATACATTCTACAAGTAAGATCATCTACAAGTTTCTCCAAGTAGCTTTTGTTTAAATAGTGTGTTTTGAATTTTGAGGTCGTATCGAGGGTTCAGTGACACAAAGACGTAACTCCATATTTTGCCAAAATTAGTATTTGATCAAAACATTCCGAAAAATGTGGGCTTTCCAGGAAACACATAGACTTAACTCCTAAAGGCCCAAGTGCTCAGTGACACACATAAACCACTTTTTCTCAAAATGGCCAAAATGGAGTTACGTCTTTGTGTCACTGACCCCTCAATATAGTGTGTTTTGAATTTTGAGGTCATTATGAAGATTTATCAAGGGTTTTTAGATTCCTAATAACTTATGATTTAAGTAGTTGAAAAATTTAAGGGTGTGGGCAGCGAGATTATTTGAAGACAAATTCAGTGATGTAAGGACATAAAACTGACAGGATAATGTTTGATTTTAAGATGTCTCGTAACAAACTATAAAGTTTTGGGGAACAATACCTCTATACATAGACATTTAGCTTAATGGATCACTTATATTGCTTATATTTAAAATTTAAAAAATTATCAGTTATCTTGTACCTTTTTTATGCCTCTGCGCACCAAAGGCTGTGCAGCTTTGTTGTATGTTTAAAGTGTTGACAGTTTCCTTAATAGATCTATGTTCTCATATCTTGTTCATGTATGTGTTGAAGCTGCTTGAGATTTTTTTTGTTTTTTGGTTAGTCTTAGTATTATTGGCAAACTATACACCAATACTCAGAAAAACGATTAAGAACAATTCAGAACAGGGCTACGTCTTGTAAAGAGTTGATATTAATCACAGCTTATTTGCAATTGATATCAGTCGCAATTATGTACATAAGAGACCAGGGACTGTAAAGTTGAATACTATAGAAGTAGAAATTTGGGCTAAGATCGGCAAGCGCAAATTTTAGGATTCGCGAAAATATAAGCATGACTTCTTATGCATGTTTTTAACTGGCTGGATTGCGTGCAATGCAAATTTAAGAATCCGCGAAGATGTTTTGGTGTCGCTCAGCGCGAAAATAACAGCGTTTACAGTAAGACCAGTTCCAGGTAAGACAAATGTTTGCATTGTTTCCACAGGTTGTACGGCTACTCTACAGCGACCTACGAGAGTGGATCGTTACGGAAATACAAGCTAGGTAGAACTGACACAATCCGATCAGCGACCATTGAATCAGATGAATTCGCTCAGGGAATGTGCGACCCAACTAAATCGGTAATTTGAAGATATGGCCTTGACCTGACAAATACTCTTTTCAAATTGTAGAGGTGTCGTGGCCAAGTAGATACGTCGCCGGACTGTCGATCACAAGGTCCGCGGTTTGAGTCCCCCCGCAGCACTCACTATGAACACAACTGACAAAGAAAGCGGACAAAATATACAGTTCCTCAGGTAGACAAAGGAACATCCCTTCACTGCTATTATGTAAAAATGTGTAGAACAGGTGTCACATGCATATTCACCTTTTTACATAATAGCAGTGAAGGGATGTTCCTTTATCTACCTGATGAACTGTATATTTTGTCCGCTTTCTTTGTCCATCATATTCGTAGTGACTAATGTCCTTTGGCAAGACATTGATCTACATTTGCCACACTCGACCCAGGTGATTTAAATGTGTACCTGGCAGGAATTAATTCCCTGAAATGCTAGAGTGCTGTAATGGCAGCTAGGCTGAAGCCGGTTAATAATAAGTGCGCCTCCGAATAGAATTTCTAGATAGAGGGCGCTATAGAAATGCCTTTTATTATTATTATTATTAAATTTTGATAAGCAGGGCAATTTCTAAATTTCTTATTCGATCCTCTTTGCTAAACTGCATTTTGCATGAGAGATGATATGTCTGTTGTTAAACTGACGGTTTGTTTATTTAAATTCTCTGATAAGTTTCATTTTAAGTATCATTGATATTGATGGTTAGTAATAAGTATAAAGCAGTCTATACATGTTGGTGACAATAAGTAATTCATACATTTACTTTCTTGATATTCTTGTACATTTAAGTGTCACTCAATTTTCATATGATTCACTATCTATCACTCTATAAATATCTGTTTGATATTTCCACAGCCTAGTGAAAAGGTGTTGCTTCTAAGGAAAGCCATCTCAGCTCACAAGCAATACACAAATGATGTAAGTATCCTTGTCAATTACCAAAGTTACCTTGAAGACCCTGTCGGATGTGAAAACTGAAACGGATGAATTATATATCAATGGAGAGCAATTAGCAAGCGAACATTGCAAGATGTCACCTCTGAAAAACCCATAGTGCTTTGCTGTTTTTTACATTAATTAGCACATACGTACACGTCGACCACTGAATTACGTAATGGTATCTGCAAATTAAAAAACATAATGAAAATTAGTTTCTTCAACAAAACAAACCATATATTACAATGATATCAATTATGTGCTAGCTCAGTGTCTGTCATAGGAGTAACAGCTCTCTGAAAACTTGAAATGTAAGCTTTGAAAATAAGAAGTTGTCGACCTCAAAACTAGCTATCGACTTGATGACATCTTATGTGGAGTACGCATATTCACAAGGACTTTGCATTAACGAAGCACGGCTCATCACCTCAGCTATATAGGTTAACCGGTTGGGTCCACATGTTACGTTGTCATCGTGAATGCAGCAAATCTAACCCATGTTGACCTGTAATTCGGAGGGGTGTGGAAAATCGGGTTTCGATTTGCTTTGTGCAATGGTACTGAAAGAGAAAATATTTGTATTACTTTATATTTTTATCTACATTCAGTCAGCTATCCATCAATATAAAGTTGTTTTTTCATTGGCTGGGGTCTTTAATATCTACCTTTGTTTTCAAATAATTTACTTTTTCTATATATTTTCTGATTTAAGTGGCTATCTGTCATTACATTTCCTAGGAACCTTGCTTTGATAGACTTGTTTCATGTTGAAAATGTTGTCTTCAATTTTTGTTGGTAAAAGAAGTAATTTTGTGAGCTATATTTTCTCTTTGCTTACTATTTTTTCTTGCTTTGTACAACAGGTTATAAACGGTGATGGTATAGACAGGCATCTCCTAGGTCTGAAGCTAATAGCCATAGAGAATGGTGCCAATGTTCCGGATCTCTTCATGGACACTGCCTTCACATCATGTACTCACTTTAGGTTATCTACCAGTCAGGTAATGCTAGGAGTATAGATGATCACCATTGGTTTATAGAAAATAGTGCCAATGTGAGCTTTAACGTTCTTTCTTTTCACACGTAAGAATAATATCACAGTAGTGTTATTTCTTATAAATGATTAATTTTGAAGTGCTCTCATGTCTCATATATGACTACAAATAGTTTTCACCTTTGGAACAAATTCTTATGCCACATTACAGTCCCATGTCTCAATATCTGTGTCCTGTGCTTCTCATCGATTGTGATTTTCATCAAGATTAACTCATTCTGTCATAATTTTACTGATAAAAAACCTCATAGTATGCTATTCTCTGGCTATGAATTAATCAAAAGCCAGAATAATTCATCACCCATTTCTTTTTCAAAAATGTTGCATAACCAGTATTCAAAATTATCTTTGATATACTCTATGTTGATTTCATTTGTATTCTTATAATCGGTATATTCATCTCCTTGTTCGTCTGTCTTTCCCGTACCAGGTTCCTGCCAAGCATGACCTCACAATGCTGTTCGGGCCGGTCGTTCCTGATGGATACGGGATCTGCTACAACCCTCAGAGCGATCACTTCAACTTCTCCGTGACGGCTTTCAACACCAGTCCTGAGACGGACTCTGACAGGTTTGCGGACGGTCTCAGAGACAGTCTTCTAGAAATGAGTCATATCCTCGTCAATGCCCCTCCTGCTGCTAAACTTTAGACAACTAATCCAAGGGGGTGTTTCACAAAGATCCTAAATTGAACTTATCTCTAAGTTGGACTTAACAATTATGGAAAACCTTTAGCACCTTTGAAAATATTTTGTAAAATTTATTTTAAAAGGCATAAAATGTTGATTCAAATCATTCATATTTTCTATTATCAAGGGGATTTCATGTTCTTGATGTGGAATTTATAAAAAGTCTAAAATACTTACAATTTTTGATTTTGGAAATATTTTCTTTAAGGGCTACAAATGGCTCTCCATAATGTTTAAGTCTAACTTAGAATTCAGTTCGACTTCGGATCTTTGTGAAACACCCCCCAAGAACTAGAAGTACAGGATTGTCTCTTCAGCCTGCCTTGGGTGGCCTCTGCCAAGCTACTCTCAAGCTTCTCAAAGACTACTTCCTTGTATATTTTGAGTTGTCTCTCTTTTTAAAAAAGCTCCTGTGGCAGCCACTTGTTTTAAAAGACTGTTAAGACCATTTTTTGTGGTTTCTTGACTGGCCTTTTCCAGTCATACATTTAACCTGCTCTGATAATCACTGTTTTAAAAGACTGTTAAGAGCATTTTTTGTGGTTTCTTGACTGGCCTTTTCCAGTCATACACTTTACCTGCTCTGATAATCACTTATCAGTAAAGATTACTTATCTTTCTTCAAGTGGTATTCCGTTAAATAGCTCCAGTGATGACCTCCTATGTGTTTGGTTGACTATTCTTGATTCCCTCAAATGGCCCTTCTATAAAGGTTCGACTGTATGACACCTAGGTATGACAAAACCTGGGAGAAGTTTTAGAATCTGACTTTTCCAACAACAAAAAAATCCATGTGGAAGATGTTTTATTTCATTTTCTAGACAAGCTTTGTGTCTAAGGAGGTTATCAGTATGAAGATGCTTGGCTTGTAACCTCACTCAATCTTATTTCTTTCTTAGAATGCATTTTGAATAACCACACAATTGTAAATCAGGAAATACTTTTCTTGAGAATTCTGACTCCTGTGGTAGATCATGTTGGGTTGTAAATGTAATGGATCTTCATCATGTATCACCTTGTCTCTTTGCTAATAGAGTGACCCCTCCCCCCCCCCCCCCTCCTAGTTATCAAGTATGGATCAAGAATAGATCGCCGTTTTAGAAAAGTTCCAGGAACATTGTATTTTCCTGGTTCGAGAGGTGCATTTTTAGACAAAACTTTACCAACAGTGGTAAAACTTATTTTTAAATCAAAAAATTACAGTAGTTTTAAAAATTGTTGCTCTTTCTAGGTTACAAAATGTAGGTAGAAATACAGTCATGTTTTAATTCTTTTAAATCGCACTGATAAAGAAGGTTTCTGATTTTAAATGTTTTTATCTGATGTATTGTGTTGATGTAGTGCTATCAAAGAGATCTAAGTTTATCTTAACATTCATGAATGCTTACCGATACCTGGTAGAGTGTTATTGAAAAAATGTTCACAAAAGTGTAGTGTAATTGTGGTAAAGAGCATAAATAGAATATTTTCCTATTTACTGAAAGAAAGTCAGAAATCTATGTATTTAAATCACCGATTACTATTCAAAGTACCGGTATATGAAAACTTGGTGAACAAGTTTGTGTTCAGAGCATCAAAAATAATCCCTGTATTCCTCAAAACAGCTCTGAAATTGTTTTACTTAATGAAAAAACAAATTTGAGAGCCTGAGAAGAAAAAAAAGTAATTTGTAGGTTATTAGAACAGAGAAGAAGTGGATGACCAGAACGTTTCATTTTTAAATGTTCAAGTTTGTGCGTCATAAACTAGTATAGTTTATGATTTATCCATTGTGGACTGTTAGGTTTAATAGTCATTTTTTCATAATTTCAAATAGATTACTACTAATTTTTTAATACAAATTACGAACTATGCCCATTGTTAAGCAAGCAGTTTTCCAATTTGAAGAATGAAAAGTCTAATTGTATTTATGCTATGCATTAATTATATATATATATTTCTGAAATATATGAATATATTCTCAGGATTATAACTAATCAAATTGTTATGTTTTAACAAGTCAGTGTTGTAGATTCAAACTTAAATAAGAACACTATGAATAGGAATGTAGAAGGGGGGTATTGTCATTTTCTATTAGCCCTGTATAACTAATTGGTTTAAGGCGCTTGACTGTAGATGCGAAGGTCGAGGGTTCGAATCCCGACACGGCGCTAATATCCTTTGGCAAGATATTTACCTGCATTTGCTACTCTCCACCCAAGTGTTAAATAGGTACCCGGTAGGATGCGAATGTTCATGTGGTTGGACGAGCAAGTGTGCGCTTGTAGAATGGCGACTGGCTGGAATGCTCCCCAGGGAGTGGAAAATGTGCACACATTGTGTGCGGGTAAGCCTGAATCCGATGACCGGGGTAATAATATATCTGTAAAGTGCTTGGCCGGCACATCGTTGGATCGGTGTATTGAGCGCTATATAAAAAAACAGATTATTATTATTATTATTCACAATTAATATGTCTGTGCAATAATTGGAAATTATCTTCAGTTTGATTTATTGATGAGAATTGATATTGCTGGAGGTTTTAGATATAGATTATATGTATATTGTGTAAAACAGTCAAATGTATCAAGCTAATTATGTAATGAATATATGTTATGAAACCTTGTGATGAAAAAAAATTACACCGCTATTTAAAAAACTCTGCTTCTGGGCCGTTTCATAATTTTTTCATCTATAAAAAGATACAATAATTTTTGTAAGCTACTGAAATCATTGCAAATTTGTCATATAATTTTAGCATTTGTTATTGATAAGCAGTTCTATGATTTGTATTCTATGTTTTATTGTGTGTATTTTTCTTTGCTTTTTTTAAATTTCCATATATATTTTTGTAAGCCCTGATATAAAATGGTTTTGATGTAGCAAAATAATTTGATTTGACCCAAGGAGTTTGTTTAAATGAGGTTCCACTGTTTATTTTTAAAGTAATCCAGCACAAGAATAATAATACATAGAATGCAATAAAAAGGTGTGGTCTATTGTAAGTGTTATAATACAAATAACCCTTAACCCTGCATTGTCTTTGTAGCTGTAAAGGCAAGCGACTTGGTTTGATATCTGGCAGACACCACTCTTTTGGCATATGAATTAGGTAAAGCGATGATTTATTATAAGTGTCAAATCCATCTTCTTACGCATTCTATTCCTTCTAATATCTTAATTATAACAAAAAACATATCTAATAGTTCTGATATATGCATACCTGCCAACCCTCCCGCATTTTCCGGGATATTCCGCATTTCTGGAATTTTAGGACCTTAAAATGCGGGAGATTCCGCATTTTGGAAATTTAAGCCAAATTGGGCTTGTATTACCATTTGCCGCGATTTGTGTGAGAGCTCTCGTATAGTATACTGTGTGTGTGTTGATGGCCGCGGAAGCTCATTTGGCTTGTAATGACGGTTTTGCAGCGTATTTGTGCCACTGATCTATAGCGTAGAGATCAGCATTATGTGTGTGTGTGTAGCGTCTGGCCTGGCATGTACTCTCCATACACGTACACACACACACACGCATACAAGCGATGCACAAGAACATGCACGCTTGACGTGCGATAAATTTTGAGCGAACGGGTTAGCTTCGACGTGTGATCGTGAATGGTTACTAAACTTGCAAAAGTTTGTCAGTTTTACTTATAATGTCTTCCAATCCCAAGGAATACGCTTGCTTGATGGATTCATGGAGTTTACCGTACCATACTAACTTTTCAATTGTCTAATCCAGTATTTGGAAGGAGCGGTACCGGAGGTGAGTCAGTGCCAGTGGAGTGGGGCAGCGATGGCGAGGCGTACCGTACATGTACTGTGTATAGTTTGATCGATGCATGTCAAATGTTGCCGTAACTGAGCTGTGTTGGACAATCGCTACACCGAATTGAATTCAGCGTACCTGCCAACCCTTCCGAATAATCCGGAATATTCCATTTTTCTGGATATTTAGGACCCCAAAATCCGGAATATTCTGTTTTTTTCCAATTTTTTTTAATTTAATTTTTTTTTTTTTTTTTTTTTTGGTGTTGCTTAAGCCAAATTAAGCTTGTCTTATCCTTTGACGCGATGTTAGAGTTAACGTATTGCGTGCGTTGAAGGGCTGCATGATTAAATTCGCTTTTTTTGCACAGATTTACCGCGCATTGCCAGTTACACTGCCGCTAGCTGCATGTGCGAACGCCTGTTAAGTGTACAGATTTCTTATTTTTGAAGACATACCGCGCTAAAAATTCTTAATTCTCATTTTCAAATGTTGGCAGGTATGTATATGTGCAAACATTGGGAAATCAGAGTGTGTGTGTGTTGTGAAAATTTATTTTGAAAAGTATTATACTGGTTGATCAGAATTTTTTGAGAGCCAGTATGATGAGGTTTGTATTATATCGGTCTTGCCATAGCTTTCATGCCATGTAAAGTATTAAGCAATTTTTTAGAATAACAAAGAATGGAAGTGGTACATGTGACAAAAGATAAATGCAGTTACTGATATTGCGACTTTGTTTCTTGAAGTTCCTGGTAGATTGCAAGTCACAACTACAGATCACAAAAAGAATTATTTTAATTTGCTAGGTACATGCACATAGACAAGAAGTAAGACATGTATCAAAGTTGTACATTTTTCAAAGCTTTTATTGTATTTGTCATTTATATCAAAATCATATATAAAATAAAAGTGCTTATTACATGAATATCTCTTGTATTTCACATTTTATTGACTTTTATTTTTGTCATTTTCATTTTCACTAACTGGGAAAGCTGTTACTTTATATGGAAAGGTATCATTTTCATTAGTAAATGCTTTAAAAGCTATCATGAATTCTGGTAATGCAGCAAGATAAATTTAACAGAATTGGACTTAATTTGAATGTTAAAGACTACAAATCAATGCTACCTGTCCAAAATGTGTAGTAGCAAGAACCAAGTAAAAGAAATATTGAACGAAATCAAAATCTTAATTGATCTTAATTCCATTGAAGGGAAGAGACCTATTCTCTTCTGATTGTTGAGTTCTTGAACTTTAAGTTCTAACTAAATATGCATACTTGAGCATCCATCGTTCTACAACCTTGTGGATGTGACATAGAGATCCTCTAAGTTGTCCAACTGGACTTTGGTAGCTGCAAGGCGGGGCTGCAGGTGATCCACTTCGTCCTTTGGAACAGGCGGGGACTGATCGATTGGGTGGTCGGAACTGTCAGCGTTGCTACTGCCCATCCCGAGCATCTTCTGCACTGCTTGAATGCGCTCATGGACTTTCCTGGAGCTCCTGCGATGCAGCACAGGCAGTGGCCCTTCGGTGGCTTCCTCAACATGGCTTTGGTGCTGCAGCTTCGGCTTTGGGGAAGTACGAGGAGGTGCCACTGGCTTGTCAGATCGTTGCTCGATAAAACTCGAGCTTGGGTCAGTGATGTCAGTCGATGTATCGCAGTGCGTGGATGGATTCTGGATAACGATGTATCCTTGTTGATTGAGATTGTGCTGTCCCTTCGCATCAAGTTTTGTCTCTTCATTCTGGGAAGATTGGTAGAGTTGGTGGACCTGGGTTGGAGTCATCTGTGGAGCTTCAGTTTCGCAGACGCTCTCCGTTGCATGGGCTGCCCTCTGGCTTGGTACTGGATGTGTCTTCTGGTCTGTGGATTCTCCTTGTCCCTGGTGGACCTCCCAGGGATGACCGTTGATATCTGTGTAGCCTTTCTGCGCAGCTTCACTATGCTTGTTGTCACTCACTTCATCGTTGAAGTGCCTGACAGGTTTCTGGTGGGTCATCCCATTCTCCTGGAATTGCACCGGTGGCAATGGAAGGCAACACTGGTCATCACAATGAACACTATCATGTTGAGGGCTGGGTGGATCGAGTGTGATCTGGTCATATCCTGGTAGAGTAGCAGCAGACTGATGGTGCATGGAATTCCTTTTACTGCATAATCGCTTGACCGGTACTGGTTTCAGACTGATCAGATCGCTTGCATTTTGGTGCAGAGTTTGCAGGGGTCTTGCTTCATCACTCAGAGCAGCAAACTTCTGATCTGTAGGGCTTCTAGGAGATGTATGCGTGCTGAAGGTGTTGTGGTACTCATCGATGTTTCCCTGATCATGCCCTTTGCCAAAGTTCTGCTCTGAGACGTCTGGAAATCCCTGATGATGTTCCATGGTAACATTCACAGCTCCTTCGCCAGGGCTGTTGTGTCCTTGAGGACTGATCTGTCTAAACGTACTTGGATGCTGCCTGCCATGTTTGCTTCCTCTCTTCGAACCCCTAAGGCTGTACTTCCTTGGTATCGGATAATGCTCCAGGCTCTTGGCTGTACAGTGCTTGGGTTCAGGGTCATCCAGGACATCGTTCTTGACTTGCTCGGGTGGGGTAGGACGAGGATACAGAGCGGAGGGGTTTATAGGAGGGAGGGGTGGAGGAACTGGGGATGGGGTTGGGAGGGTCTGGTATCGGTGAATCTTGAAGCTGCTAGTATGCCGAAGCTCGTCCACAACATCCTGCATAGGAATACAATGAGAATTATCTTCAGAGACATCTTTCAAACACATTATTTTTGTGAAGATGGTTTAAAATGTATATTTTATCATGACTGTTACAACTCTGATCTTGATTTCAAGTGAGTGATAAACATGGTCTCATTAAAAATTACGACTTTATCTCACTTTTTTTTCTTCTACAATAACATTTGTCACTATCTTCTTCATATAAAAGACAACCGTTCATTCATTTCTCTCAAATGCAGGATGGCAATATACATTAGAACTACCAGCGCCATGAGGCTAACAATCACGTCTACTCAACTCCAAACACTGCAGCATTCGTTTTTCTTTAATCAGTTCAAAGCAATTCTATTCTATCCAATTAACTCTCTCATTATTTGCTACACAGCAATAATGTCCTTATAATAAATTATTTAAAAGATATGGATTCATCAGATGATATTTATTTGATGATTATTGACAAGAAATTATTCATACATCATGATAACATGTTACCTTTTTGAGTTGCGTTTCTTTTTCCGTTGGGAATGCCTTGGTAGGGGTGGCCACCAGTGAATGAATACTCTGCGAATCATAGATCCATGAAGTTTCAGGCAAATCACTCCCGTGCCGTCCTCTGCTTTTCATTGATATCTTGTCTTTGTTGTCTTTGGATGAAGGTGTATTCTAAGTGGTGAGGGGAGAGACATGAAGTAAAATGATCATCTTCCTTCTAGTTCTATTAAAAATCATTTAGAGTGTTGTCGGATTCTGTAGCTGAGTGATTGGATAACTTTAAACACAACTAATTTTATTTTGGATAAACTTGATAGTGAAAAAACTTGATTATGTAAATCAGTGCATTTATTCTGATTAAATATATCAAACAGATGAACCTCTTTCTGATAAACATATAGGAATAGCAACAGGCCTTAGTCCTATACCTTGAATTTGTACTTGGTCCTGGCGTGCTGTTCCGGTGCCTGGTCCTGGTTCTTGGTTTCGGTCTGGGTCTGGTCCTGGCTCGTGGCTTCGGACTGGGTCTGGTATAACTTCCATTGTCGGTTCCTTACCGGGGCGATGAGTAGACAGTAGATATAGAGAAACCCTACCAGGGCCGAGACCATACCGACTACACTAGATACCAGGTATACGAGGTAGACTGAAACAAACAAAAATAGATATCATTCATATCAGCCATTTATATAAAATTCCTATCAGTCAATTAATCATTTACTAATTGCAGTAGTAGTAGTAGCAGTAGTATATTAAAGTAGTAGTACTATAGTAGTAGTAGTAGTAGTAGTAGTAGTAGTAGTCATAATAGTAGTATAAGTAGTAGTAGTAGTAGTATTAGTAGCAGGCCTGATTAGTAGTATAAGTAGTGGTGGTGGTGGTGGTGGTGGTGGTGGTGGTGGTAGTGGTGGTGGTAGTAGTAGTAGTAGTAGTAGTAGTAGTAGAAGTAGATATAGCTTAATTTTAGTAGTATTTGTACTTGTAGTAGAAGTAGTAGAAGTAGTAGTAGTATAGTATATAGGGGAGGGGGCCCAATTTCAACCGGTGTCTCGAGAAAAAAAAACAGTGCACATTTTCTAAGCATTCTGTTTTGTTGTTGTTGTTGTTGTTGTTTATGTTTGTCAGTATGAATACAGATAATACTCTATTTATTAACACTGTAGAATTTTTGATAAAATTATACATCCTTTATATGCCACTCAATAAGCTACAGAAATTGTATGAACAAGTTTTGACAACTTTGAACCTGACACATTCCGAACTTACTGACGTATGGTGAACGCCACCGTGTATCCATTGAGACTGGGCCACTGTGATCATGCCTTGCAGGTAGGAAGATACTCATCTTTTCTGCAAACTCCAGAAGCAACATACTGGCGAAACAGAGCAGGAACGACGCTCCGCTTATCACGATCAGAATAAGACTCTATTTGTAGCAAGAAAACGTTATTATCCATTTTATTCGATTTGGTAGTAAATTTCATATGCACTTTCAAGTTGGAATTATGATATAAAAATATTGATATGATTCTTATGATTAGTATGGCATATAGGATGAAATTCACTGATATGGCGTGATGAACCAGCCAATCACTCCTTTTCCCTTGAAAAAAATGGATACAGATTCTCGGTAAATCACTAATGGAATGATTCAAATCCGCAAAGCCATTCACCGAATACAGAAATCAACATGATATCTACAGACTTTGCAGAAAACAATCCAATGACGGACTATAAAATGTTTTTTTGGGGAAAATGGGTATAGAAATAATGTGTAACGTATAATATCATGTGTAACTTCAACAACTTCAATAAAGTTACTCTTGTCTAAATGTGATTACATAGTTATTCAATTATCTTGAAAAACGGAATCATATCAGCCTCCAATAGATGTATAACCAAAGGAACATTTAAACGACCTACCTTCAAATAAGAAATCTTGCCACATAGTGCTATACCGATAGTGAGTATTCCTCCAATGAAAACCTGATGATAACAAAAGAACAACACTTGCCTTTGCCATTTATTCCATTTATTTCTACATACAAATACATCTCCAAATGATTTCATTGTTTCTTTCCTACTAAACTAAAGAACAGAGATATAGAAATAGGGAGAGAGAGAGAGAGAGAGAGAGAGAAAGGGGCGAGAGAGAAAGGGGCGAGAGAGAGAGAGAGAGAGAGAGAGAGAGAGAGAGGGGAAGAGAGAGGAGAGATATGGAGATATTTCCCAGTTTCCCCTACCGTCATGCTGCAAAACCTGATATATTAATAAGACGACTCTAACATTTCTGATACAAATCTGGACTATACTAATATACGCTGTCATTATCAGTTATTATAACTTTCCTTAAAGCTACAGTTATAATACTTAGAATATGTGACCAATATGCAGGCGCGGATCCAGGGGGGGGGCCGAGCGGGCCTTGGCCCCCCCCCCCCCCGCAAAAAAAAAAAAAAAAAAAAAAAAGAGAGAAGAAAGGAAAAGAAGGGAAAGGGAAAGAGGAGAGAAAGGGAAAGAAAGAAGAGGAAGAAGAAAAGAAAAGGGGGAAGAAGGAGATCGGGGAGGGGGGGCGAAAGGGCCTTGCCTCCCAGGCTGTTGACCCCCCCCCCCCCCCAATCAAAAAAATAAGAGAGAAGGAAGGAAAGGGAAAGAAAAAAGGAAAAGAGGAGATACTGGCGTACTGATGAGGGGGGGGGGGGCTTGGGGAAATCAAATTCAAACGTGGTTTATTTCTAATTCCACAACGGTGGATTACAAATAATGCTAAAATGACATAATGTCCGAGATTTTTCCTCACTTTTTAGTAAATTATACGTTTGTATGTGTTTGTTGGAAAATGACAAATTCCTAAATTTACAGCCAGGCAAGAAATATGATTCTTGAGATTCCTACATGTCAGGGCCCGAGGTACAGCGGGGATCGGGAGCCCCGAGCTCCCCCCCCCCCCCCCCCCCCCACTTTTTTGAAAAAGTATATTAAAGATAAATAATATAGAATGAGAGCAAGAAAGAAAGAATAGTTAACTGCCAGTGTTAAAAAATAATGAGGCATCAAAATATGCTCATCTGACCGTGAATAATGCCTAAAACCCCTAAGCTTCCGGGGCTCTGCCCCCTGGATTCCACCTAGGGCCCTACGGCGGGCCCTTAGATGCTCATCTGATGGTAATTTAATGCCTAAAACCCCTGAGCTTGCGGGGTTAGACAAGGTATCAAAATGTGTTTATCTGACCGCAGGCGCGTAGCCAGGGGGGCGGTCCCCCCCCCCCCCATTTCGGAAGAGGACGTAGGAAAAAAAAGGAGCAGACAAAGAACATCTGTGAAATTCAGACAAGGATTAAGTATATAGAGAACGGTACAACGAATCGTCTTCTTTCTCTCATAATCTTATGAAACGCCAAAGCTTCCGCGCTTCGCGCGGAGGGGGGGGGGGAACCTGAATTCAGACGAGGATTCAGAGGCGAGAACGGTTATACGAATCTTGAATGGCTTAATGAAAAGTAATATATTCCGCGCTTCGCGCGGGATGGAGGGGGAACTAAATTCCTATGTGGATTATTTTCGAGAGCGGTACAACGAATCGTCTTCTTTCTCTAATGATTTAATGAAAATTAAAAGCTTCCGCGCTTCGCGTGAGAGGGGGGAGCCTGAATCCAGACGAGTATTCAGAGGCGAGAACGGTAATACGAATCTTGAATGGCTTAATGAAACGTAAAATATTCCGCGCTTCGCGCGGGATGGAGGGGGAACTAAATTCCTATGTGGATTATTTTCGAGAACGGTACAACGAATCGTCTTCTTTCTTTAATGATTTAATGAAAATTAAAAGCTTCCGCGCTTCGCGCGAGAGGGGGGAACCTGAATCCAGACGAGGATTAAGAGTCGAGAACTGTACAACGAATCGTCTTCTTTCTTTAATAGTTTAATGAAACGTCAAAGCTTCCGCGCTTCGCGCAGGAGGGGGAGGGGGAGACTGAATTTAGACAAGGATTAAGAGTCGAGAACGGTACAACGAATCGTCTTCTTTCTCTAATGATTTAATGAATCGTAAAAGCTTCCGCGCTTCGCACGGGAGGAGGGGGGGGGGAGAATCTAAATTCAGACGAGGATTATTTTCGAAAACGGTACAACGAATCGTCTTCTTTCTCTAATGATTTAAGGAAATTTAAAAGCTTCCGCGCTTCGCGCGGGAACCTAAATTCAGACGAGGATTAAGAGGCGAGAACGGTAATACGAATCTTTAATGGCTTAATGAAACGTAAAAGCTTCCGCGCTTCGCGCGGGATGCATGGAGGGGGAACTAAATTCCGATGAGGATTATTTTCGAGATCGGTACAACGAATCGTCTTCTTTGTCTAATGATTTAATGAAAATTAGAAGCTTCCGCGCTTCGCGCGAGAGGGGGAACCTAAATCCAAACGAGGATTAAGAGTCGAGAACTGTACAACGAATCGTCTTTTTTCTTTAATAGTGTAATTAAACGTCAAAGCTTCCGCGCTTCGCGCAAGAGGGGGAGGGGGGAAACTGAATTTAGACAAGGATTAAGAGTCGAGAACGGTACAACGAATCGTCTTCTTTCTCTAATGATTTAATGAATCGTAAAAGCTTCCGCGCTTCGCACGGGAGGAGGGGGGGGGGGGGGGGGGGGAGAATCTAAATTCAGACGAGGATTATTTTCGAAAACGGTACAACGAATCGTCTTGTTTCTCTAATGATTTAATAAAACGTAAAAGCTTCCGCGCTTCGACCGGGAGGAGGGGGGGGGGAGAATCAAAATTCAGACGAGGATTATTTTCGAAAACGGTACAACGAATCGTCTTCTTTCTCTAATGATTTAAGGAAATTTAAAAGCTTCCGCGCTTTGCGCGGGAACCTAAATTCAGACGATGATTAAGAGTCGAGAACTCGACAACGAATCGTCTTCTTTCTCTAATAGTTTAATAAATCGTAAAAAATTTCCGCGCTTCGCGCGGGAGGGGAAAAATTAAATTCAGACGAGAATTATTTTCGAGAATGGTACAACGAATCGTCTTCTTTTTATTTAATGAAACGTCAAAGCTTCCGCGTTTCGCGGAGGAGGAAGGGGGAAATCGCCCCTCCCTGCACCGACCCCCCCCCCCCTCCGCATTACGTCACTGTTGGTCACCATTACGTACCAATATTTGGCTCGCATAATTTCAAATTTGGGCCCCCCCCCCCTAAGAAATCCTGGATCCGCGCCTGCCAATATGACACCATTTGGTTGTACTTATTCATACACTTCTAAATCTGTCACTGTATGTTCTCCGGACAATCCCCCCCCCCCCCCGTGTACGTTCCCTTCCGGGCCTTCCCCTGTGCCTCGTGAAACGTTGGCGTACCAACGGGGTAGGATGCTTTCTTAATCTGTCACTGCATTTACATCTACCGCAGATTTGAACCACGAAGATTTGAAGCATATAGATGTAAGAGCAAAATTTTCTAAGTTGGTCTGAGGCAAATGCCAGAATATAAATTATGGGAGCGAGCAATATATATATATATGTTATATACATGCATATATATCTTTTGAAATTTTACGGTGAAAGCTATTTTTCTTAACATAAAAATGATGTCAGATATAAAATGTAAAAATTGTTAACGACCACTTGCTGCTCGAATATAAGGTGACGCCTTGCCCAAATATATTTTTTATATTGGTAATGCCAACTATTCGGGGAGGGGAGCGGGGGGGGGGGGGGGGGGGGCTGCAGCTCACCAAGTCAACTGTATGACACACAACCCAGTGATAATTTCTCCGTGGTCAATTAAATTTCTTACACTAACCCAATACTTAATTTAAACTCTGTATCCAGCACAGTTGACTACACGTTTTATTAGATAAATAAGACCCAACAATCTTTTTTAAAGAAAGAATCTTAAATTGTTTACTTACAGCTCCACCGACCCACAATGGTGTCTTGATGCTAAGGACGATCCCTTCTTCCAGGATGGCATATATTCCAACAGTCACGAGACCAATAGCCGAGATCACAGAGAGAGTTCCAAACAGACTTAGACCAAAGATGGCCGATAATTTGACGTCGAGTTTCTCCATCCTGAAATAAAGTGCATTTAATTCAATTTAATTCAATCAATTCAATTCTTTTTATTCATCCAAATTCACAAGAATACATATAAAAATTTGTTTTGGTCACAAATTGTAAAAATACCTATATGAGAAACTATATCGTTGTGTTTATAATCATCGCAGAACCATCAAAATAAAAGGTAGACAAAATAGAAATATTCTTATATTCTAGTATTACACATCGAAAATGATGAAAAGGATAGAACATCAGTGTGAAGGACGGAAGGAAGGAAAACCATATTCATTTACATTTGACTAAATTGTATTTGTCTTATGTTCTGAAAGGGGGATAGCCCTTCAAAGAAAGTTGACTTGGATGGACCCCTCTGCATGTATACAACCACTGGCGTACTGGTGGGGGGGGCTTGGGGGGCGCCAGCCCCCCCCCCCCCCAATAAAATTGAACCATGACTTATTTTCACAAGTAATGTATAAATGTTCGTGATATCACATGATTTTCAACAAAATGCTATAGTTTCTCCATTATTTCTTGCAAACTGACCCATTCCCAAATAGTCAGGAAGAGCATATGTTTTTATATAGTCACTAAGGGCCTTGTAGTGGCCACTAACAGTAACACTAATTCCTTTCCAGAAGCTACTGTGCAAATCACTGTCGGGAGATAACATGCTACCCACCACTCGGGCTGAGCATGCACAGATTTGCGAACGAGCGTTCCATACTTACATCATGTAACACAGCACATATACCATTAAGGGGCTCAGTGGGGGGAATTGAATTCAGACAAGATTAAGAGTAGAGAACGGTACAACGAATCGTCTCCTTTCTGTAATAATTTAATGAAACGGCAAAGCTTCCGCGCTTCGCGCGGAGGGGGGGGGGGGGGAAACTAATTTCAGACTAGGATTAAGAGTCGAGAACGGCACAACGAATCGTCTTAATCTTTCTCTAATAATTATAAAACGCGAAAATGATTTCAGACAAGGATTAAGAGTAATAATTAAATGAAACGAAAAAGCTTCCGCGCTTCGCGTGGGAGGGGGAACTGAATTCAGACAAAGACACAATAAAACGACTCGTCTTCTTTCTCTAATAATTTAATGAAACTTAAAAGCTTCCGCTTTTCGCGCCTGAAGGGCGAAAATGAATTCAGACAAGGATTAATAGTATTAATTTATTAAAACGTCAAAGCTTCCGCACTTTGCGCGAAAGGGGGGGGGGGACGGAATTCAGACAAGGATTAAGAGTCGAGAATGGTTCAACGGTACAATGAAAATGAATGAATCGTCATCTTTCTCTATAAATTCAATGAAACATGAAGGCTTCCGCGCTTCGCGTGGAAGGAGGGAACTGAATTCAGACAAAGACACAATAAAAGGATTCGTCTTCTTTTTCTAATGATTTAATGAAACTTGAAAGCTTCCGCGTTTCGCGCGGGATGGGCGAAAACGAATTCAGACAAGGATTAATAATACTAATTTATTGAAACGTCAAAGCGAGTCGAGAACGGTTCAACGGTACAATGAAAATGAATGATTCGTCTTCTTTCGCTAATAATTTAATGAAACTGAAAGTGAATTCAGACAAGGGTTAAGAGTCGAGACCGGTACAATGAATCGTCTTTTTTCTCTAATAATTAAATGAAACGTCATAGCTTCCGCGCTTTGCGCGGGAGGGGCGAAACAAGAATTAAGAATCGAGAGCGGTACAAAGGATCGTCTTCTTTCTCTAATAATTTAATGAAACGTGAAAGCTTCCGCGCTTCGCACGGGATGAGCGAAAATGAATTCAGACAAGGATTAAGAGTAATAATGTATTGAAACGTCAATGCTTCCGCGCTTAGCGCGGGAGGGGGGGGGGGGGAACTGAATTCAGACAAGGATTAAGAGTCGGGACCGTACAATGAATCGTCTTCTTTCTCTAATAATTAAATGAAACGCCATAGCTTCCGCGCTTCGCGCGGAAGGGGCGAAACAAGAATTAAGAATCGAGAACATTACAACGGATCGTCTTCTTTCTCTAATAGTTAAATAAAACGTGAAAGCTTCAGCGCTTCGCGCGGGATGAGCGAAAATGAATTCAGACAAGGATTAAGAGTAATAATGAATTGAAACGTCAAAGCTTCCACACTTAGCGCAGGAGGGGGGGGGGGGGTAACTGAATTCAGACAAGGATGAAGAGTCGGGACCGGTACAATGAATCGTCTTCTTTCTCTAATAATTAAATTAAACGTCATAGCTTCCGCGCTTTGCGCGGGAGGGACGAAACAAGCTTTACGAGTCGAGAACAGTACAACGGACCGTCTTCTTTCTCTAATAATTTAATGAAATGTCAAAGCTTCCGCGCTTCGCTCCAGGAAGTGCCTGAAAATGTGTCTAATTTGGTTCTAAAATTGCAAATGCTTCTTACTTCTTACCCCTGCTTGGTCGCTCCGCTCCCTCGCCGTTAAAGCCTTGTTCTGTTGCTTCTTCGTTTTACATAAATTTCACCCCCATGCCATTTTGTGTGCCCCCCCCCCCGGTAAGAAATTCCTGGATCCGCCACTGATGCCCATGCCCCTTGAGCTTCGGGGGCTTCGCCCCTTGAACCCCACTGGCCTTTGCCCCTATACCCCACTTTGAGAAACGTAATTCAGCGGGGCCTGCATGTTAGAGTGGGGTGATTCGGATTATTTTTTGTCAGCACCCCAAAACGTTTTTGCTCATTACGCCACTGTATACAACCAGAGAAGTGAAAATCGAAATAAGATAATAGGGCCTCGGAAGGTCGACGGGGCGTATCCAGGATTTTGTAAAAGGCGAACCATAACATTCTAACAATTATTTGATAAGCCAATATACAAACATACATATTAGAAACGCTGTAAGTATTTTCTTATTTTGTTGTCATATTCACTGTCTTGGTATAAGAGTAATGCACGTCGAAATTTCGTAAACTGATAAAAACTGTTGGATTTAAAACATGGTTCTTCTTTTCTCAGTCATTTTTGCGTTAACCTATGCAATCATAATAGGTAGAGAGAGAGAGAAAGAGAGAGACAGAGACAGAGAGAGAGAGAGAGACAGACAGGCAGACAGAGAGAAAGAAGGCAGAGAGAGAGAGAGAAAGAAAGAGAGAGAAAGAGAGAGAGAGAGAGAGAGAGAGAGAGAGAGAGAGAGAGTGGGGGTTGCTTGCTCCTTTTCGTGTTTTTGATTTGCAGATTAAATTGCCTTCTCTGAAGGACCAATTTTCCATTTGATTATCTAGCATGGGAAAGAAAGGTAAATGGATTCTCAAAGATGAAAATGGACACCGTTATGCTAATATATAGATATTTTTATAATTAATGAAGACCTGAATAAATTGCATAATCATTAGCAAAAAATTGATGTAAATTTTGTTTTAGAAATTTAATTGAAAATTCAAATACATTGAAATCTGTGTCATTTTCGATTCTCGAAATCTCTTCATATGAAAGGCAAAACAATCCGGAAACCTAAATTTACTGACATGATTGTATTTTCAAACTCTAAGGAACTTCAATCTTCATCAGCATAATTTGACTAAAGTTGTTTCACAACTCCGATCAGGGTTTATAGACAAAACACACCCCAAAATTAACAAAGCAGATTAATTTGTTTGGAATAGTAAAAAAATTGAACAAATCGAGGCTGAACTCCACCATCGGCCATTGGTCTCATTCTATAATGTACATTTGTTCTAACAACTAAATAATTCAAACCCTTACCAAGTTTTGTAAGTATGTGAACAAATGCTTTTCTCCGATTTACTTGAGAATGTGACATATAAAAGCTACTACATCTAAAATTATCCATCAAAGGCCCTTATTCAACCACCCACCTTTTATTATTGACTTACGAAAATGGATGTGGATAACTTAGTTGTTACTGTATCACACTCACTACACACTGATTTAAAATAGAAATGTTTACATACGTGATGGGAAAAGCTGACCAGTCCAGTTCGTACCACTGTGATATATATTGACAGCAAAAGATCTATATAATGTACTTGATCTTGAGGAAGAGCAAAAGATGGATTTCTTCCAGTACGCCATCCATCATATCAGTTAGATATCCCCTTGTAGTGGACACAGAAATGTCTTACGCATGCACACTTCTTCCAGCCAACATTGTGAACTGATATGCAAATACGAATCGAGTGCATGCCTAGCAATGCAACGGGGGTTCGTTTCACTGTCCACGATATTCTTGCAATTTATCTCAACAATGGAACTGATTCCCCAAAAAGGTTCACCTATTGTTAAGGGATTCTATAGAATCAGATTCTGATTTCGTGAGCACACAGGATTTGCTGGTGCGTGTAACAGATGTTAGCTTCATCTGAGTAAGTTGTAGCACCCGTAATAAACATAGCTGTTTGTAATGTAGGTCTATTTTTTTATATCAGGAGAGAATATAAGCAAAACACTTTCGAAAGATCTTTTTGTTTTCCCAGTACAAAATCATACAGGTAATGCTTGATTAAAGAATAGGAAACTAGATGGAATTCGACTGCGCGCAGTCGAAAATGATGCCTCCGTCATAGAGCAATTTTAACCGAAACGGAAGAAATTTTTCAAATTCAAGTTCAATTGTAATCCATTAACATGTTCTCAGAATATCGTGATTACAAGCAATTTCTCATATACATATATGACCCTTTGATCTTTGACCTCATGACCCTAAAATCTACTCAGTTCAATGGCTCTGCAAGATTTCCTGAGTTAAATAGTAATCCATCTGTCAGTTCTAATGAGAATGCGTCCACAAGCTATTTTTGCATACATAATGAGCCCATGACCTTTGATCTTATGAACCATTCATTGGCTCTGCAAGATACATAAATGATCTAAGTTTGGCAGGAATCCAATCTGTTCTAATGATAATACGATCACAAGCTATTTTTGCATACATAATGAGCCGCATGACCTTGACCTTTACCTCGTGACCCCAAAATCTAATCAGTTCATTGGCTTTGCAAGATACATACATGACCAAAGTTTGGCAGGAATCCATCAATCGGTTCTTCAGATAACGCGAT